CCTGTACTTCACTCTTTTACCTTTTATACGTCGTGTCACCTTGTAGAACCGGGGCGGTCGGGTAGCCTTGTGGTTAAAGCGGTCGCTCGTCACGCTGAAGACTCGGGTTCGATTCCCCACATGGGTACAATGTGTGAAGCCCATTTCTGGTGTTACCCGCCGTGATGTTGCTGGAATATTGCTAAAAGCGGCGTAAAACCTCTTTCGCATGTAGAATAATAATACAGTGGTTTAATTAATAACAGAAAAATAAAGAAATGTACGAAATAAATAAGAGGAAAGTTTGTTTGTTGTTTAATGTCGTACTGAGCAATATATGATGGCGGTCTGTAAATAATCAAGTCTGGACCAGACAAGCCAGTTATTGACTTCATGACCATCGATCCACGCAATTGGGATACGGTGACATGCCTCACCACCCGATCCCGTTAGTTGCCTCTTACGACAAACATAGTCGCCTTCTAGCGCAAGCATGGGTTGCTGAAGACCTGTTCTACCCCGGATCTTCACGGTTCACGTGATACGTGATTTTCAATTAATTAAATATGCAACCAAAAACACATTCAAAATATTATTTTATTAAAAATAACAACATTTTCGGAGATATATCATTAGTTTCAAGGGAGGTTGGAGTAGCCTAAAGGCTAAAGCGTTCGCTCATCGCCAAAGACACGGGTCCGTTCCCCAGCTGTTGCGATGTATGATCACTCTGATACCTGTCCCGCAGTGATAAAGCCGGAATATAACTAAAAGTTGCGTTAAACTCTCCTCACCAGTATAAAACCATTTTTTCCATAACGTTTGCAAGAAACATAGCCGTAAATGTCCATTGCATAAGAATGACATGATCGCTCAAACCCCTTGTCTCATAGGCTTAACAAACATCAATATGTTCCTGTCCAGCATCGGTGTTACTACAACAGGAACAATCCCCTGTACTTGCACTGCGGGTCAACAGGCTATCACCAGTGTGATATCGGAATCATATTTGACGTTATGTTCAGCGGTCAACTGGCTCCACTAATTGGCAAGAAGCTTATTCAAACAGCCGACGGAAATTATCGAATGTGGCTGATTCGTGCTCAGCCGATCGGCACCTGAGCATCGCACGCCAACGAGCAAATAGAATGGTCTTTAAGAAGAGGGAGGCCATTATGCCTTGCCTCAATACGTGCACTACACAAGTACTTCTAAAGTGGTGACTAAATTTTGACGCTCTTCTTGGCCAACATTAAGACTTCTTTGTGCGGATGCATGGCTTGCAATCTAATACCTCTCACCGTCAATTTTCACTCCGCGTTCGTACTTGAAGCGATTTAAGAGGTAGTTTTAAACACAGAGGAATGATAAGGACATCTTCACATGCAGTCAGGTTGTATGGTTTTGACATTAATATTTTCGAATATTTACTCCCCAACTCTTCGTCCACCTGTGAGAAAAGGCGACCGTGTACTTAGTAATACCACAGCTTTTTGACGCCGGAAATTACTTTAAAGATCGTAAACGTTTATTGTCAAGGACTTTGAACTTTTCAGTTTTGTCTTCAAATTCAATTACGAGATGTTTAACGTATGAAACACGTTTCTTGTAATTGTTTTTAATCTCTGAAGGACATTTGGACAGAGCACTGTGTCAATGAGGATACTGATGCCATTCAGAACATTAATCATATACTATGTGTTTTACTTTGAACACCCTGTTTAATTCAGCAATAAAAATATATACATTTGCATTATCAAATTACCAAAGAGACAAATGGAATCATACGATGGTATCTTTGTAAGAAAGTTAGCATTAACCACATTGAAAGACCCAAACAAGCTCTGATTCAGATTCCATTAGAAGGGAAAATGTCATCTGATAATCAAAAAGCACAATCACAAAAATTCCTACATGTTTTACTAAGCGAAAAAAGCAAACGTCTCGCAGATGGTAATGAAATGCTATTATAATAACAATGGCTATGAAGGGTCTCTTTATATGGAAATTTCTCCAATCAGGGCGGGCCTGGGCCACAGACGTCCACTAGCTAACGGATCACTTGCTTTAATTGAAATCCGACATAAGTTCAATTGCTTGAATGCGGTTGGCGGCACCAAACGCCAGCTCCGGGCAAGGGGCCCCACTCAATAGTAAAGTTATTACTCGTGTGGACACTGCATGGAGAGAAGTTGATATTTTCACGGATGACTTGTTGTCGACCAGATACCGTTTCCAGCAAATGGGTCCACACAAAACAATCAATTCAGCCGTTTTGGAAGGTTCGGGGTCGGGAACCTTTTCAATAAAAGTCAATTTCTGGACAATCCTACGAGTTGTTTGATTACTGACAAGTGCCGGGATGGAGAATACATTTTGGATGGTTTAAGGAATTAAAACAAACTCATTCGAAGAAGACTTTCTGTTTGGAATCAGTGGCTCGAGAGTTAAGGTCTCAGGAACGTCGTTGGTCAGTGTGGACATTGGTCTCCTTTGGTTCTGTGGTCATTCCCTAAGAACCCTGGAGGATGTAACACGTATGGATAGCATGGTGTATGATCTGTGTTGTAGGACACCCGGTGTCTCCGAGTGACACACAGTGAATATCTGAGGAAAACATCGGTTGAAAAACTTAATTAATGACGTTCGTTTTCAAGGATTTTTAAAGAGCGTATGAAACTATGCCTTTGCTCTGTCTACAAACACGTTGAAGTGACGGAGGATACTATGATTTGATATTGCTCGACTCTCAGTAATTGATCGTGGATAACGTGGAGCCGATTCACTGAGCTGACACTGCCGAGGTAACGCAGTACCCGAGCTTCTGGCTCAGGTTACACTTCATATCATTGGTTATTAATGTTGCTGATTGACATGTTCGCTTGTGCAAAAACTGCACGGATATTTTATTACATATTTAGCATGAGAAAGATTTGGTCAATGTGTTTTGTTTGTATTGTGAATAGAGACATGACAACATAGATTGCATTACCGTGTCGAAGGGTTATGACTTCTTCAGTATTCCTTTACAACGCTGTTCTCTGCCGCACCCGTAGATCATAGCAATGGTTGGACTTCGTAGTTTCATGTCCTCCATGTCCACCAACTTCTTAACGAAAAAAGGAATTGATTCGTAATAGTTATCAGGAATCAAGTAAGGATACGTATTTAGGTCTCAGTATTCAGAGTATAATGCGTTGTTTCTAGTTAAGCTGAGAGATACTTAAAGTCGATTGTAGATTATACCTAGATCGGAAGACGTCGTGTTAGAAACAGTGTCAGTAGTTGTGATAGTAGTAGTAGTAGTAGTAGCAGTAGCAGTAGCAGAAGCAGTAGCAGTAGCAGTAGTTGTAGTAGTAGTAGTAGTTGTAGGAGGAGGAGGAGGAGGTAGTATAGATTGGTACTATCTCTGTTACATGAATGATAGTAGACGCCATGGGGTATTTGAATGCACAATGGCGGGAGAAGTAACTGACTGTTGTAGTAGTGGTAGTGTAACGTGGCGGTTACATCACGTATAGTAGTGGTGGTATAAGTTGTTGTAGTAGTGGTAGTGTAACGTGGCGGTTACATCACGTATAGTAGTGGTGGTATAAGTTGCTGTAGTAGTGGTAGTGTAACGTGGCGGTTACATCACGTATAGTAGTGGTGGTATAAGTTGTGGTAGTAGTGGTAGTGTAACGTGGCGGTTACATCACTTATAGTAGTGGTGGTATAAGTTGTTGTAGTAGTGGTAGTGTAACGTGGCGGTTACATCACTTATAGTAGTGGTGGTATAAGTTGTTGTAGTAGTGGTAGTGTAACGTGGCGGTTACATCACGTATAGTAGTGGTGGTATAAGTTGTTGTAGAAGTGGTAGTGTAACGTAGCGGTTACATCACTTATAATAGTGGTGGTATAAGTTGTTGTGGTAGAAGAAATAGTACGGGAAGATTAATTCTGAATCAATCCCCAAATCTCTTATAACTGATCAGAGACCATAAAACAGAGGGTGTATATGGTGTCTGAATTGATGAAACTAGCAAGTGAAACATTCGGATGCCTGCCGTCAGATCGGGCGCTCATTCGAAATATGAGAAAGATCTTTATAATGATTAAGAAAGTCATCAGATGTGTTTATATGGCTGGGATTTTTTTTTCAGTCAACTAAGTATGGTCAAAGTGTGTCAAAAGGCAGAATTTAGAGGTTTTTAGGAAACAGATTTGATCGTACTTAGATTTTCTCTTGAAATTAAAAAGATCGTACTTTTTTCCTCATTTTAGTAAGGCTAGTTTTAAAAAAATTGAACATCTAAACATTTGAAGATTTGTGATAATTTTATCGTTTTCCTCAATCAGTTTTCAGTTTCGACGTATATATGTACTCTTTCCTGTACTGGGTTCGGTCTACTAGTAATTCTATTCAACTACATGTGTTGACAGTATGTATGTTTCACGCACTGCCTCTGTCCGCGACATATTATTGGTTATTTGTCTGTTAATGACAGGTGGTTTCAATGTTCGGAAACATCTATATTCTTGTCATTTATACATTAACGAACCAAGCCCCAGCTTTCGTGTGTATCTAGTGGAAATACACACGCGGAGTAAGGTGATTAGTAAATCTTCTTTAATACATCGCCGTATCAATATTTGCTATGGAATTAAGGGAATGTAATTCCTGACGGGAAATAAGTCCACTCTTGGTTCTCTGACTGATTGAATCTGACTGGCTGACACAACTGTTTGGTTTCTTATAATACCATATTGTACGATAAAAAACAGGCGTTAAAACATCATAGTGTAAAAAAACTGTTTCGAATCAATACGGACATGGATTTCTTGATATCGGTGACAATTGCGACTGGACGCTCTATTTACTTTGACACAGCGGTTAACGAAAGTGTCAGGGGGTGATTTAATGTTCATATTCACACGGCAGAATTAGAAGTTGGTCCCCATTTCGATTGATTTTTTACGTTTGGTGTAATCAAATAGTTTTGTGACACACTTTCGATGATATGATATGGTGTCTCTTGTAGGACGAGGGAGGTCTTGACATCCGGGAACTGAGTCCACAAGACGAGGAGGACAGTATGCAAAACACACCCAACGATACATCAGTAGCGGTTCCCGCCGGACCCCCTCTGGAGGGGAAGGATATGGACCAGTATGAGGGGGCACACAGCCCAGAGGAGGGGCACGACCCCACCCTACCCACGTACAAGGAGGCGGTGGGGGACGATATTCCACCCCCGGAGAAGTCGTTGCAACCGGATGGTGACAAAAAGATTGAGTATGACCCTGAGAGCGGTGAGCCTCGGGAAACTTGGGGCAAAAAGATGGATTTTCTGTTGTCCATTATTGGCTATGCTGTTGACTTGGCCAATGTTTGGAGGTTTCCTTACCTGTGCTATAAAAACGGAGGGGGTAAGTATTATAATTACATATTTATTGCAATTTACTTTATTGAAATCAAACCTCTAATGTCCCTGGTCCACTTTTGTTTGCCCCATTGGATCATTAGGGTGACGCCTAACAATGTCCCGAGCCAATAAACTTACAAAGTCGTGAAATCATCAGGTCCGGGTATCTAGCCCCGGGGTCCAGAGTACTCTCTGGAACAACAGACAGTTTCTTATACGGAGTATAGGTTATTTACCTGAAGTGCAGTAATAACATTGACGGACGCGATCCTGATATCTGAGCCCATGTATACTTGAGCCATTTCTTACAAATCAGTATTTCGTGTATTTGGTTTTCTAGGCTGCTTCCCTATTTTGATCTCGTATTAAAAGTACGAACGTTCACTGTTGAACTGTTGAAGAATATGCCAATGATAGCAATTTCAAATCTGAACTATCCTAATGATTTTATATCAATATGTGTCGTTCAAAGAAAAAGTATTATTACAGTTTATTACCGCATGTACGGCTTTTTTGTATTGTCTTTCGTGGTACCTGTGTACAAACAGGAAAGTGACTTTGGCTATCGCTACAATGGTTGGTGAAATAGGTAGAAAATTGTGATGCATCGGTAGTTCGATCAGTTGTTTGACCCCTATACATGCGATAATAGTATACGTAATAGATATGTGCCTTCGGGAAAGACTTCGCGTTAATTAGATTCCTCTTTACCCTACTAAAATCAAGTATCATTATCAGGAAAACCTCGCACCGCACCGCACCGCACCGCACCGCACCGCACCGCACCGCACCGCACCGCACTTCACCGCACCGCACCGCACCGCACCGCACCGCACCGCACCGCACCGCACCGCGACGCAGGCAGTGGCGAATTTCGTGACCACATAATCAAATTCCTCTTTAATGAGAATAACAGACTTCACTGATTACACAAAGAACCCTTCACATGAATTAGAATGTAACATGAACGATTGTATCATTTTAAAGAGTCATTGGGAAGGACGGTAAGTACAAACCTTCTGATAGATATTTTCGGATGAGCGAATCATGGATACGGAGTATTATCTATTATATACTATCTAGTAATGTGGCATATATACGTCCGTAGATGTATGTCTGGATTCACGGGTGTCTCTAGACACTGTTTTGGCTTGTGCCACATGTTCCCGTGTTTTTTTCATGATGAAAGATTGGCGTGCCTTTGCAAGTGTTTGTGACAGGTGCCACCGGTGGGGCAGGATACGTTCACCTTTACGCGAACACCTGGTATCATCACTATTTGATAGTGCTCATGATATAGTCGGAATCGTACAACCGACTCTGCTTTATGCAGATATTTCTTTATGTATATTGAAAGGGCTTTGTCGCTTTTATCTAACAGGGTACAATAAAATACTGTCCAAAATCCACGTTATAACCCATTTACTCACAAAAACTCACTCACTTACTCTAATCAAATGTAACTGGCATCCATTCAAAAGAAGAAATAACGTGTACAGTTGGTAGAACTGACAACACATATTTAGTTTATCACATGCCAAATATATGGCTTTAGTGCATCATTGTTTAACGCCCAACCCACTCACTCGCACACTCTTAACACATTCAAAGGTCACAATCCTTCTTTCATTGTCAAAGACATGGTGTACAGAGTTGCGTCCCTCATCCGTTACAGGATCTGCTGATCGTTAGTTCGAATACATAATTCGCGCCGATTTTGACACTGTTTGTCACATACATATCTTGCTTAGCAAAATAGTAACCTCCACGATCTGTGTGATGTTCAGTTATCCGCCAACATTTATCTTCAGATTATGACAAATATTTTCTTAAAAATCTGATTTTGTACCGATCAATGTGAGGTGAGGTGAAATAGGGTTTAACGTCGCGTTCAAGATTATTGCACGTATATCGCGACGTGCATGCATGAGTGTGTGTGGCTGTGGGGCCGCAGTTTAACAATATCACACTCAGACACAGTATACTGACTCCGAGCCGACCAGTCCTTTTGGTTCCTTAAAGCCGAGTGCCAGGCAGGGTAAGAACAAGTACCATCGTATACCGTCTTTTGGTATGACGCGGACGGGGATCGAACCCCGGACCGTCCGCTCTCCGGGCAGATGTCTCCGCCACAAGACTACGGAAGCAGTCTGTATCGAACAAAACCAGACAGACATGAAGACTCATTCAGAATTTTCAGAGCTCCATACTAGTATACATTTTATATAGTACATATATATATAGTACATGCATTACGTATATAAAGCAAACCTCAACGTTTAGAAGGTTGAACGTTGAATATATATATATGATATATATAGTTTACTTAAATTGTGCTCTATAAGAAGAGGGCGGTCGGGTAGCCTTGTGGTTAAAGCGTTCGCTCGTCACGCCGAAGACCCGGGTTCGATGCCCCACATGGATACAATGTGTGAAGCGGCGTAAAAGCGGCGTAAAACCATACTCACTCACTCACTCTATAAGAAGTGTTTACTTTCTAACATCCACAATGTCTGTGTTCCTTTAACTACGGAAAGAACCCGTACAATGCAAAGATGAGGATTTGCAGGGAGACACACTAACCAATGGTGTATATGTAAATTATACACGTAGGCTACTAAATCTGGTTCAACTCACACCGTCTTGTTCTGACACTACAAGTGACAATTTACTTCTAGAAACAATTTCAATGAACTGACGTAACCCTGGCGACGACGAAGCCACCTACGCTGTCACCTCATCATCACTTCCTGTTCTCAGTTGGTACTGTGATCCGGGGAGTAATTTATCGATTAGAATTGCCTCCTGGAATCGTTACACATGTGACAGTGCGGATGAGCACAGTTTTCACAACTGAAAACAAGACTTTCAAAGGATAAAGAACAGCATCATCACCATTTATGCAGTTGATGGAGACATGTATTGATACTATGAGCCTCTGGTTATCACAAGGACGAGTATGGATGACAGGCACGTGTTTTAGTGCACAATAATAAAGTGGATTAAAATCCAGCTGTATGACGATGAACGGTTAATAATCGAGTCTGGATCAGACAAACCAGTGATTTATCATATGTGATGTAGGGTGTGCTAGAGGTATGCGGACATGGTGTAGGGTGTGGTATGGCGAAATGGTATAGGGTGCGCTAGTGGTATGCCGACATGGTGTATGGTGAGGTAGTGGTATGCTGATATGGTGTAGGGTGTGCTAGTGGTATGCCGACATGGTGTAGGGTGTGGTATGGTGGCATGGTGTAGGGTGTGGTAGTGGTATGTCGACATGGTGTAGGGTGTTTTAGTGGTATGCTGACATGGTGTAGGGTGTGGTAGTGGTATGCCGACATGGTGTAGGTTGTGACAGTGGTATGTCGACATGGTGTAGGGTGTGGTATGGCGAGATTGTGTAGGGTGTGGAAGTGGTATGCTGACATGGTCTAGGGTGTGGTATGCCGACATGGTGTAGGGTGCGGTAGTGGTATGCCGACATGGTGTAGGGTGTGGTAGTGGTATGCCGACATGGTGTAGGGTGTGGTATACCGACATGGTGTAGGGTGTGGTAGTGGTATGCCGACATGGTGTAGGGTGTGGTATTCCGACATGGTGTAGGGTCTGGTATTCCGACATGGTGTAGGGTGTGGCAGTGGTATGCCGACATGGTGTAGGGTGTGGTAGTGGTATGCCGACATGGTGTAGGGTGTGGTATGGCGACATTGTGTAGGGTGTGGTATGGCGACATGGTGTAGGGTGTGGTAGTGGTATGCTGACATTGTGTAGGGTGTGGTATGCCGACATGGTGTAGGGTGTGGTAGTGGTATGCCGACATGGTGTAGGGTGTGGTATGCTGACATGGTGTAGGGTGTGGTAGTGGTATGCTGACATGGTGTAGGGTGTGGTAGTGGTATGCTGACATGGTGTAGGGTGTGGTAGTGGTATGCTGACATGGTGTAGGTTGTGGCAGTGGTATGCCGACATGGTGTAGGGTGTGGTAGTGGTATGCCGACATGGTGTAGGGTGTGGTAGTGGTATGCTGACATGGTGTAGGGTGTGGTATGCTGACATGGTGTAGGGTGTGGTAGTGGTATGCTGACATGGTGAAGGGTGTGGTAGTGGTATGCCGACATGGTGTAGGGTGTGGTATTCCGACATGGTGTAGGCAGTGGTATGTCGACATGGGGTAGGGTGTTGTATTCCGACATGGTGTAGGCAGTGGTATGTCGACATGGGGTAGGGTGTGGTCTGCCGACATGGTGTAGGCTGTGGTATGCCAACATGATAATAATTAATACCCCTTTCTTCAATATGGGACACAGTTCAGAGCTCTCTCCTTTTTATGAAATTTGAGTAAGCTCGGAGCTAATAACAATGTTTGTCATCGTAAAGAAAAGAGAAATATATAATTTAAAAGGGCCTCATTTGCCTGACAACCTTTGTCTTCATTATAAAAGCTTGCCCATCAACCATGGGTGAAGTATATGCACTTAACGACCTTACAAACCATTATGTAACCTGGTCCGCCTTTGATGACCTCGATCAGCAGCGGGAAAATCAGTAAAGTAGACATGTTTAACTGGTCAAAGACTAAACGCCATATTTCGCGCGGACATGTCACATTACGGACAAGCATGTAGTGCAGCTGTGTTGATTCCAAATTCAGTAAACTACGGTTATAACGAACAACACTTATAACGAACTAACCGATATAACAACTTATTTTGTAGTCCCGTCCCAATGTTGTATATATGCTTATAACGAACTACGGTTATAACGAACTAAACTAAGTGGTCCCTTTGAGTTCGTAATAACCGTGGTTTACTGTATAGGGTTCGATAAAATGGAAACCTACCAGATTCTCTACAGTTTGTGCCAACTTAATCAAACATTCAGATTGCGAACGTGTGGCCTACAGTTCCTGTCATATATACGCTACGGTATTAATTCTAGGCATGGTTGTCATGTGTATATCAGTTTCCTTTGACGGTCAAATCTGTAAAACGTCGAAGCCAGAGAGTGCTGAAAATTGAATTGATCAAACTATTTGCAGGGCAATTGAATTGTCACGTTGTTTTTCTATTCGCGTGTTGAGCCTAAAACCCGGTTAGATTCTACAAAAACTATGACGTCGTTTATGTGATCGGTGTGATACTGCCGCGAGAACTTGCAGCAGACCAACAATGACAAAGTGTACTTCAGTGTGCCCATGTTAATCCACATTTGTATCCTCCCTAAACATAATTAAATACTGTATGTGTTGAACCCGTGACTAAAAACATATTCCGTCTAAAAAGATGCCAGATCCCCATCTCCAGTAATAGTAAAGAATATTAAAGGATATTTAATGGTCCGCCCAGAACAATGTTTGCGCAAGCTATTCTCGTTGGAATTTGTATATTTCTTGCATCTAAACTATCATTTTCTTCGTGGTTACACACACACGAAACCTGAATAGTAACGCATTATAACAAAGATGATTATCGGTATAGCATAGGGTGAAAGGGTTAACATTGGCGAGTGAGCGGAAAGTTGTACTTTACTGTATATCAGCCGTGTCATGGCGGTCCGCTGAATTACTCGGGTCAGGTACCGACAGTGGTCGAGATTACGAGCGTCAATCCTCGACGTGTGATGACACCTCAGTGTAGGTGCCCACCCGGTACTATGGAACCTGACACGAACCATAATCCACAGGGAGTGTTGGAGTTCTGTCAGTCGGGATATACAACACTGTTTCTTTCCGCTCTTCCAATACAAGAACGACTCATTAACCTGTTTGTTGCTTGTACTGAGAACAAAAAACGGACAGCCTGTGAAAGGGAGTGGAAACAATTCCAAACGCGTGATGTTTTTTTATGCGAAGCACCTGTCATTACAGTTAAGAGATGTGAGTGAACGGTTTGCGCTTCTGGATCTTGGTTGATTGGACGTTCTGCACATGCCCGGATGCAACACAGGGAAAGAACACACCTCTGCTTCCGGTCTCCTTTCATAAGACAATGAGTTATGGTAAAAACGCTGAATCTTTACCAGAATATCCCCTTTGATCAGATACACACATGATTACAGACACAGCCTTCGACTGCTTGATTATAATTAATACACACCTGATGGGCTGATACAGTTGTTATGAATGCCCAAACTATGGATACAGCAAAGAGTTGTACTTCAATACGCGTTTATACGTTAAGCTTTCTTGGCACTCTCGCACATAGAGTATGAACCAAAACTATTTATACATTTTTTATCTTAATACTTGTCGTGTGTGATTTAGGGATATTTCAGCTGCATATGTGTGTACTCCAACTCACTGTTGTTCAGTTGATGCAGATTTATGAGGGAATTCGTAAAGCGTTGTTTTCTCATCAATATGACGTTGCGTGTGTTAGCGTTAAGTAAGGATACCATATATGAATAAACAACTTCTTGGTTACAGTTAGGAGCGACGTTTCGGTGTAGGTTCTAGCACCATTATCAAGACCCTAATTGAGTAAAGAAGTTGTTCATCCACATATCTTACCGTCACTTAGTACTCGTCACATTCAGTCATCTTCGTCACATTGTGAAATATATCAACCAATGTTTAACACATACTATAGAGAAACACAATACCTATCATATATAGTGGTTGTAACGGTACTTACACTTCATGACACCGGGGCAACATCAACTGTATTAAAGGACAGTTGTATCCTGTGGAACTAAAATACTAATATTCGAACTTACGGCCCTGCCATCCCCATCTTGGCACCAGAAACCAAGCTGCCGTTATCAGTCTATGAGTGAAAATAGTTCCTGGAGGTAAATGAGTAAGTTCACAAATGGTACTTAAGGGTAGAATCAACCTACGTCATAATCTAACGCGCAAGCCACGGGGCATCCCCTAAGCCTCCTTCATACAGGAGTACAACATCGCGTTCGTTCTATATCACGTTCGTTCAAAACGCTTATAACCTGACGTCCAAAAGAAACTTCACCAGAGTTTGAAATCACTCTTGCTAAAAAACAACAAAACATACATGCATGAAGTAAAGTATATTGAGAAGATCAATATATCAACATAATCAACACTGAAAATGACAATCGTACCGCGACCGAGAATGACGTCAGAGCCCCCCAAAGTTGGGTGTGGTACAAAACTCGAGCTTTCAGAATCATGGACAATAGGCAGAGTATATAAACAATCGCTCACGTTCAATAACAAGTCAATAGTAGCGTGTGTGACCACCAAATGCCTCAATACACGCAAAAACTCTTCGACGCACAGAAAAAGTCAGTCGTCTGATGAGGTCACGTGGGATTTGACGCCATTCTTCTTGGAGGGCCAAGATCAGTTCTTGCCGGTTGGCTGGAGAGTGGGGTCGTTGTCGAACACGACGATCCATCAAGTCCCAGAGGTGTTCTATGGGGGACATGTCGGGTGAGCGTGCAGGCCCCGGCAGGAGGTTGACGTTGTTGGCTGCGAGGAAGTTAGTGACAATTCTGGCTGTATGGGCTCTAGCGTTGTCATGCTGATAAATGACACCACGTTGCTGCTGTTGGAGAAATGGTCGGACAACTGGACGAAGAATGTTATCCATGTAACGCTGAGCTGTCAAGTTTCCGTCAACGATGACCAGCGGTGTCCTCTCCTTCCCACAGATCCCTCCCCACATCATGACACTCCCTCCACCATATGGTACGACCTCCTGCACGCAACACGCCGCCGTTCGTTCACCCCTTCGGCTGTAAACACGTTGTCTTCCATCAGCCCTAAACATACAGAATCGACTTTCGTCAGTGAAGACAACCCTCTGCCAGTCACGTTGTTGCCAACGTCGTACAGTCCGGGCCCATCTCAATCGCAGACGACGATGTTGCGCTGTCAATAGCTGTCCTCTGTATGGTGTAAAAGCCCTGATTCCATGAGCCCTGAGTCTCCTGGCCACTGTCTGTCGACTAACCCTGTGACCTAAGGCATTTGTCGCCGATGACGTCACTGTTAGGAAGCGATTTCAGAGGTGCAAGGTACGCAAGTACCGGTCATCATGGGGCGTGGTCACCCTGGGTCTGCCTGTTCTTGGCCTGTCAGCGGTCCGCCCTGTCTGTCTGTAACGTTGCATCAAGTTGGTAACGGCAACACGGGAGCAACCGAAGGTTCGTGCAATATGGGCGTGGGTGGCTCCAATCTGTACCATACCCAAGTCTCGTTCTCGTTGTTTGACTGTGAGTCGTGGCATTTCTTTTGTGTTTTTTTTATCACTGTGGGTGTCTGACTTGCCGTTGCAATCGTTTTATACCCTTACCCGCACGTGCATTTGCAGTTGTCCGTGGTGCACGTGTTTTTCCCTTTTTCTCGTGTTATCTCGCAAACATGTAACAGACGATTAACATTTTCTGCATACACTATTGTTGTATTTAGGATATGTGTTTTAGATAGACTTCATCGTAAAAAAAGTTATACTTTGTCTGAAATTTATATTTTCAGTTGGTAAAGTTTCTTTTGGACGTCAGTTTAGTTGTATTTCTTGTTTGTACATGGTGTATTTGTTCTTTTAAAGGAGCGTTCCTGGCCCCTTATTTCTCTGTCCTGCTTCTGGGAGCTATGCCGGTGTTCCTGATGGAGATGTGTATGGGCCAGTTCAACAGACAGGGGCCTATCACAGTGTGGAAGATATCGCCCATGTTTAAAGGTACGTTTTCTGGCAGCACTAATTATTGTTTGTTTGTTTTTTGCTTGTTGTTCAACGCCATTCTTAACAATATTCAAGTGACCTGTACATAATCGAGTCAGGACCAGACAAACAAGTGATTAGTATCATGAGCAACGTCTTAGGGAAAGCTCGGGTTGTTAAAACATCGATCCACACAATTGGGATACGATGACATGCATCAACTAAGTCAGCGAGCCTGACCAGCCAATCCCGTTAGTCGCCTCTTACCACAAGCATAGTCGCCTCATACGGCATACAAGGGTTGCTGAAGACCTATCCTACCCCGGTTTAGTTGAGATAGAAGTAGCACATAGAAGCGATATCAGTAGTGGTAGTGATGGCACTTGTACTAATTGTATTGGAGGCAGCAATGTTTATCAGTGTCCGACTTCGCCGCGCATGTGTAGATTGCACCCATAGGTACATTGCATTGACGTCTAACGCACCATGGGTCGCCAAACCCTCCATATTCGTTATACAAAAAAGGATTTTAGGAATAATATGCTACATAACCAATGTTATATTTGAGATAACACATTTTTAGTAACGTACAAATTCTTGTGCTTTGGCATTGTGTATTCATAGCTTTCGGCCATGGGAGCCGTGCCAATTTCCACTTGTCAGATGGGTACACAAAGTACGTGATCTAGACTACCAGTTGTCGGACTGCCATTTTTGCGGAAGCTGAGTGGGTTAGATCTCTGACTTTGTGTGCTGGCGATTCGCTGCCCTACTCCGAGTCTGTGGTTTCGAAACCCGGATTGGACTGAACCCGATAAAGTACTAGCATTTGTACTTCACTAAGAAAGTGATATCCCAAATATAACGTTTGTTACATTTGACCACTTTCTAAATGGAATTTTGTATTTATATGGAACAGTCATATGACATAAGTGGTAAAAGTCCCGACGTGAAGGATTGATTCTAACGGCCAGTGCCTGTAATTATGTCTGTATTAGACGAACATAAACCTGTAAAGAGCGGGTGGGTTCGGTTTGAACAATATTTCATGTATATCACGCCATTTTACTTTGAAGCCAAAAGTTACACAAATCTTGGAATGTCCAAGTTGGTGAAACCCAGCATGCTATGGTACTGAGAAACAAAGGATTATAAATGGTAGAAACCGGGTACACATGATCACCGGATCCCTGCACCACTATGGGACGCAATTCTTCACAGCCAGCCAGTTGCGTCGTCTTATATCATTGAGTGAGTGAGTTTGGTTTAACGCCGCTTTGAACAGTATTCCAGTTATATCACGGCGTATCAGCTTAATGTGGGAGGAAAGCCCGAAGAGATGCAGGTCTCAGACGCTTATCACTTCGGTGTAATCCACGAGCACGGATATGGTGCTGACAAACCTAGAAAAAGGGGCGAACCGGGATTCGAACCCACAATCATAGGTTTCTGGCGTGCCCAAGGAACGCAACTCTGCACAGCGAATCGCGGCGCCTTAGACGACTGGGCCACCTGTGCCCCCCTCATATCATTGTGCCACCAATGTTCTTTACTAGCTTTGAAGTAGCTTAGTGTTAATGTTCTCTGTCTGGTTGCAGGTATAGGGTTTGCCTCCTGCTTCATGGCTTACATCGTTGCCTTCTACTACAACATCATCATCGGCTGGAGCTTCTTCTACCTGTTCTCCTCCTTCACGTGGACGTTGCCCTGGACGACCTGCAACAACGACTGGAACAGCCCCGACTGTTGGGAGGTGGAGTGGTCCAATAACGAAACCCACAACAATAGGTCCTACAACGACAACACGTCCGTCTCCTCTACCATGGAGTTCTTTGAGTAAGTCAAATTATAAAGAGTCATATTATATACCTGACTGTTGTAGAATATTGTAGTCGGTGAGTATTGTTTTGTATCGGTTTTATGAATACCCAGCCATATCACGGCTTTACACGGCGCACCTCTGTGGGGGATCGAACCCGGATTGTCGGTACGACGAACCACTGCTTTAACCATAGGATACTCCATTGACCTTCTGTAATCTGTTTTATATGTAAGCAATTAAACCCTTTCTATAATCATGAGAAATATCTAGTAAAAAGTCCATTGTACGATTCCAACTATTTTTAAAAGCACGTGTTTATGAATCACTAAAAATAGTGATAATACCAAGTGTTTGCGAAAAGGTGAGCTTATCCTGCCCCGCGGTGGCACATGTCACAAACACATGCAAAGGCAAGTCAAGTGTCCCCCACATGTCTACAAAAAACCACACCAAACATTTGAAAGCTATAATAAGGATTTGACTGCTGTGATCATTCTAAACAAGAGGTGTATGACTTTCTTTGAAATTTCCGCCGGCAGAGCATGCGTGAATGTTGTGAAATGTAGAAGCCAAAGGGTGGAACAGCTTGAAAATTGCCCCAAGTACAGGGAAAGGTGAAGCTTGAACCACACTTAAAGGCTGTCTGACAATACATTTTATGACATCTCTTCGGGATGAGGAATAGATTTTCTGTACAGTATTGATATCTTATATCCTGTCTCTTTCGTTTGGTGAACCCGATGACAGTGACTCAATGTGTTTGTAAAAGGTTATGGTCAAATAACTTTATCAATTAAAGAAAGACATCGAGCGATACCCACAGACAGGAATACCTGAAGTAACACGTGACCAAAATACGTCACCTTTGAATTTCCTGTCTGCACAGAACTCAAGCGTTATAACTACTAGTTAGAACTAATGTGTAGAAAACTTTCATGCGCCGAAAATAGCCCGATAATGTAGGCTTCGTTGTGGGATGAAGCAGCGCTTGGAATGAGCGCTCGATGAATACCTTTAAAAGCTGAAGAAAAGCTTCTACAATGTGTAATACAAACCATATCGGTCGATTCCGCCTTTAGCAGCGAGAGCAATGGATCGTCTTTCAAGTCATAATACAAATCCCACAATGATATCCGACTGGCTGATTCAGGTCTTGAGTTTCGGTAGGCGCTATGTATGACAAGCTGAAATTCCAGTACAGTATTAGAACAAAAATAACACCATTCGTAACAGTTATCTTTTCTGATATGGAAATGTCTAATCGTCCAGTGAGAGTCTTTGTACCTGAGGATGCCGGATAGAATAATGGAACTCCACCTCTGCTTGCTAAACAGTGCGCTTGTTTATAAGAGGCTTACTGACACGCACACCCCAGGCGTTAAACAACAGGGGGTACACTGTAATCACATGTAATAGATGAGGAAATGGCAATTCAGTTGGTGAAAGATGCTACTTCTTCTATCGGGAAACAATTAACAGTTCGTCTGTCACCACCAAAGAATGACAAAATGGATTCTTTTGATCACAAAGTTCAGGTTGCTTTTCAAGTTCAAGGACTTTCATATTTGCAACTTTAGATTCATCGACTGCTTTTAAGATGCTTGGCCTGTAAAATAGTGTAATTATTTAAGGGGGCTATATAACTAGGTATTACGGTTTGTAGTGGAGAGAGGGGCGGTCGGGTAGCCTAGTGGTTAAAGTATTTGCTCGTCACGCCGAAGGCCCGGGTTCGATTCCCGACATGGGTATGATGTTTGAAGCCCATTTCTGGTGTCCCCCGTCGTCATATTCCTGGAATATTGCTAAAAGTGGCGTAAACCCATACTCACTCACTCACTTATAGTGGACGTCTCTAACAACCCATGCTTGCTAGAGATGTCTAAACGGATAAGGCGGTCAGGCGAGGTGACGTGGTTGAGTGCATATCATCGGATTTCAGTTATGTGGAACGATGATCATGCTGTCAGTCACTGGATTGTCTGGTCCAGACTCGATTTCTTAGAGACCGCCGTTATATAGCTGGAATATTGCGGAGTGCGGTGTTAAACAAAACACAGACAAATAATAGTGGGGACGACGTCGCAAATAGTATACAAGCATACAAAGGAATGATACACGGAAATTAAAATACGACGCCATCCATCATCTGTGTATATCTGTCTAGTTCACACGTTTTCTCATCACCTCCAGGGGCAGGAATTGCCCTGTCGTCAGAGACGCAGCGATTCGTTTTCCAGAGTTGCGCCCCTTTGGCGTGCCATGATCCAAGTGATCAATGACTAAAACAAGAACTTTATCTCCTGCTTTGTTCTCACATGAAATACTGAAAGAAGCGTTAAATACAGCAACTGATTCTAATCAAACTAACTTGTAAACTACGCTATAGATGCTTCACGTAAGAAGCGACTAACGGGATCAGGTGGTCAGGTTCGCTGACTTGGTTGATGCATGTCATCGTATCCCATTTGCGTTGATCGAAGCTCATGTCAATCACTGGATTGTCTGGTCCAGACTCGATTATTTACAGACCGCCATCATATAGCTGGAATATTGCTGAGTGTGGTCACTAAAACGCAATAAATTACTCTTTTTCTAATGTCCATATGAGATTGAAAAATGTGGGATTTGGGTAGGTGATTAACATTTGTGTGGTTGCTATTAAAGGCTGATAACATCCCCCTGATGTCACATGTAACATATGTAACAGCGCTCACATCCACGTAATCTGACAACCATGTGAGCTTTGTGGGATGACAATTATCTCATGCCATGAATCCGGTATCACAGGAATAGGTAGCACATCCGGTGACTAATCGAGACGAGTGATTTAAAATTCAAACCTTAGTCTAGATAAAAATCCTTAGATTTTTTCTCCAGAACAATAGAAGTCTCCACTTTCGTCACGATCAATGTTTCTTTCCCGCCAGTCAAGCAACAAGGTTGTTACAATACATATCAAACGTTTGAAAAATCAGAGTAGGATATAGCGTCCGGCATATAAACTACCGGGCAAAAGAAAGTTTTCATCGACTTCACTTGACCAAACACCAAAAACAAAGGCATATGTGAGATTTATGATGATGAATTTATAAACAAAAATCATTTTCCATGAATTAGAATGAAAATGCATTGTAATGCCGATATTGCATTCTCCGCAATACACAGAGAAAGAGTAAAGGGGTCCAAATTAAAAATTACACAAATCAGAGTTCATTGAAAAAGTGCATGAAGAGTCCATTAATGACACAGTAGTCAGGTAACACGTCATCAATAGCGAGTGTGACCACCCTGGGCATCCATGCACGCCAACACACGCCTCCTCATTGACGTCGTCAGTCGGCGGATAACGTCAACAGGAATCCTGTTCCATAAGTTCAATAGAGTCTGTTCAAGTTCCTGTCGGTTCGCTGGAGGCTGTGCAGGTTGTCTCAGCTGACGATCAAGATGATCCCTGAGATGTTCAATGGGGTTCATGTCTGGAGAACAATGTGGCCAGGGCAATGCGTTGACGTTAACGTTGTTCAGGTAGTCTTGAACAATTCGGGCGGTGTGAGGCCTTGCGTTGTCTTGTTGCAAAATTAATCCTCTTGGCTGATGTTGAATAAAGGGCACCACAACAGGTCTCAACACTTCATCCCTGTATCGCTGAGCATTCAGGTTTCCTCGGATGATAACCAGCCGTGTTGTAATCTGGCCACAAATGCCACTCCATACCATGACGCCTCAACCTCCAAACGGGTGAACTTCTCTAATGCAGTTTGGCGCCAGTCGCTCTCCCCTTCGTCGAAAAACTCGAACTCTGCCATCGTTCCTGAACAGACAGAACCGACTTTCATCTGTAACGAGCACTCTCGCCCAGTCACGTCGCTGCCACCGACGTACGGTTCGTGCCCATTGCAGTCTGCGTTGACGGTGTAGACGGGTCAAGGCCATTCCACGGAAGGGTCGGTAGGCTCGTATACCAGCCGTACGAAGTCGTCGAAGGACTGTTCGTCTGCTGATGGCATGCCCTAGTGCTGTTGCCGCCGTTGACGTCGCCGTCACACATCTGTTTCGGAGGTGAATCTGCCGGGTGTAGAGGTCTTCGGCCGGTGTTGTCACTCTCGGTCTTCCCGATCTTGGCCGGTCTTGAGTCTTTCCTGTCTGTTGGTAGCGGATTATCAACTTGCTGATTGTGGTCTGGGAGCAGTTGAAGGTTCTGGCTATCTGACGTTGTTTAGCCCCCATATTGGCCATACCGATCGTTCTGTCTCGTTGCGCTTGTGTTAGTCTGGGCATATTCTTGGTGTTTTTTTGCTTACTGAATGCCTGCTCTGTCCAACGTAACGGTATCTATGCCACAATCACGCACGTGGATTGTTACTAATGTCTCAAAATCACGTTTTGCACGTTTTCAACAATGCATGATTTGGAAAGCTGCGTTCGAAAATCTGCGTTGTGGTTGTGGTCTTGTTGCATTTGGGCGAATGTTTTCTACGGGGGTTCAAACCTGTACCAGCTTTTTTGCTTTTCATGCAACTATTTTTAAAGTGACAACTTTCTTTTGCCCGGTAGTGTATTTGTTCAAGGACTGTCAAACCTAGAGATTAGTTGAACTGTTGAAATAAAATATTGGGAGTTCTATTATTGTCATTAATTTTCACTTTGTCTTTGTGAAACACGTTTCCTCTCAAACAAACCATTGAAATCATATTCTATCATTAATGTCAAAACGGATTATAAAGAAAATTAAGAGAGCCGCGCAAAATCAGTTCGTCACTCACTGAGAAACAAACGGAAAGTGTTCGTCGTTTTGAATTTGTAATAATAAATACAATACTACGTTTTCGTGTGTTGTAGTTTATTAACATTGTAGAAATACATTCGTGCATGTTTCATGGTCACAATGAAATCCATTATATTTTTTAATTCGGTTTTGACAGAAATAATGTTATCTTACATCAACTTCTTTACTGACGAGAGCGAATCTATGCAGAGATATCGACTGTCTGTTGATTCAGTACCAAGTCTCTCACAAGTCAACAGAGCTTCTCTGATAGCATCAGTCATGGATGGTGGAGCTCCATCAACTGGTGTGTCTGGGACACTGCCTTGTTGTGTACAAGTACTGGTTACCTACGCCTGATTATATCCAGTAATTGTAAAAAAACAAAACATGGAGGCCTTCAGACGATGTAGACATGAGGTAGTTATCACCAGTAGCTGTAACCAATCACTGGATTGTCTGGTCCTTACCCGACTCTTTACAGGCTGTCTTCATAATTTGGAATATTGCTGAGTGCGGCGTTATAGGAGATGTACAGTAAACTATAAATATGGGATTAAATCATTTACAAAGAATATTAAAACAAGAATCTTGAAAGATAAAACTCGATATTTGTGACCAAAAAAACCCGTTAAAACCTACTCGTCCTCCGGAAACTACCGAGAGTTAATGAGCATAGTTGTCATCACGTGGGTGGTCGTCAAAGTGGAGAGTTGACTTGCAAGCAAGATAAATAGAAGGATATTAGTGGCTTGCATTCAGCTCACTACAAGCACTGTGACTCTACTCGTCTTGTAATACAAAAAAACATTCACCATTATAACATGGACTAGCATATATTAGAGAGACACAAACGAAGAATGAAATAAATATATTTAACAACAAACAAATGAAATGACAATATCACACTATAAATACCTGTCAAAATTTCTCTCAAAATGTAACCAAATTCAGGATTATGTCACCTAAAACAGTTTTTGTCAAACAATGACTTATCCCAGATTTAGGCTGGAAATGACTGAAATAATCGTCAGTGGTGGATCCAGGGGCGAGATTCAGGCTAGTAAACCACCCCCACCCCCAAACTCCCTCATTTTGAAATCCACAACCAGTAAACCCCCCCCCCCCCCCCCCCCCCTCACCGAGGGTAAAAGCAGTTCGTTTGAGAAAAAAACTGGATCCGCCTCTGATTATTAATAATCGATTATAAACATGTATCCAATAAAACTGACACACAATTACTTTTTTCACGTTAACATTTATCTAAAATCATTCCCGAGGCAAATACATGTAATTGATATATTTTTTTTTTTCATTTTTCATGACCAAGACATCTTCATGAATATCATCTACCCTGTTTTCATATAGAAAGGTTTATATAATGTACAAAAATGAGGCTACCAATCCCCTTTTTGTACGCGGGATTCGGGGGTCTATTCAGAGGTTATTCGGTACTCAGCGATGTGATACGCGGGACTTGGTATGCAGATTCAATATTTATAAATATATTGATGGTGTACTCAAAAGTATCCTTCATGTATTTACTTTTTCGATATTTTTTCAGTAATTTTACTTGAAATCGCATCCTTTTCTCAATGCTTTTTATATTGTGTTCAGTAGTGTTCCGGTTCAGGGGTGAGCAAATGAGTCTCAGAGTAAAAACTTAGATGGTATTTGGGATTCAGGAGACGAGGGGTTGGCACCCTAAAAATGTAGAAAAGTTCATCCTGCATATTTTGTGAATACAATAAGAGAGACCTTTCCCCCAGAATCAGACAATGGTATCAAGTACACAAGACCAGGAACTGAATATGTGAATTTATGTACACTAAAGTTGTGCCAAATATATAACCTTAAGGTGTAATATGATCAATGTGCATGGTCCTTTGTAATTGTTGTACGAGCGGAGTCAGTCATGGATTATATGTAACAGTGAATGCGAAATTTATTTTCGTAACCAAGTTCGTTTAGTATGTATGGACTCTCTTATAGACAGATGCCTCAAAATGCAAGAAACACAAAACAGCATGTCCAGTCCGGTTCCATTTCTTCCTCGCTGACATCACTTTTTCCAAACTTTGCTCCTCGCTAAATCGGCCCTTTCGCTTGAAAATTTCAAGAAATGACACTTTGTACTTTTGTTTGATGAACTTGTACACTCGTACGCCCACACAATACCCAATTCTGCGTCTTCAATACAGAGAATAACGGAAAATGACTTCAATGTCATGAAGATTTATGCACTGTAAACGAAACGAAATGGTGGATGTCTCTCCATGATGACGTCACAGCTACATCTCGGCCTCTAGCTGGGATTTCAATATGCATGCACGCTAGTTGTGGGAACAGGGCAGTTGTTTGTTGCTTTCAAGATAACAATGAAACCACATATGGCAAATGTACTTTGTAAGACTATTTAACATGTGTTTAAAAGATTTTTTGCATAAGAACTCCTAAGTAACAAAAATAGCACTATCCATTGTCCACATACATATATAGGATAGATATAGAATATGTACCAAGACTGAACGGTTGTTATGAGGTGAGGTGAAATGGGGTTTAACGTCAAGATTATTGCACATATATAGCGACGTGTGTGTGTGTGTGTGTGTGTGTGTGTGTGTGTGTGTGTGTGTGTGTGTGTGTGTGTGTGTGTGTGTGTGTTTGTACTAGTCCGCATAGTGCTAGCCCACTGAGTGAGATACCATGCTGCAGTTTAACATGAATACCCCACTCAGACACAGTTACTGATTCCGAGCCGACCAGTCCTTCTTTTAGCCCCTTAATACCGAGTGCCAGACAGGGTAACAACTAGTAACATCTTTTAACGTCTTTTGGTATATATCAATATATATCAAGTTGTCGGTCCCTAATGCGACCATGCCAATTGCTTTAATTCAGTTTCACATCGACAGTTACCTGTATGGAAGCTGACATTTCTATTCTCATATATGTCACTGTGTTATATCGATTTGTTCATGTTGCTTGTGCGGTGTGAATGTGTCAACAGTCATATATAAAACTTAAACCCAGGAGATATGGACTTGTGAACTTGTGTGTGTGGTATAATGACTGATAGGACGTAATTTGTTAAAGGCCAAAATCACTGATTCACATCCCTGCATCACGATAAAAACAGTATCTGTTTTGACAGACGTTCTCCCCAAAACTCAATTAGGTTTATTAGCGGATAATTGGCAGGTCCATCAGCTGCAGCCGATGTTAAACCACCTCGTCCAGTCCAACGAGCATTAAAACATACAAGTGTACATTTGCACCTATAGCCGCGTCATGTGACACAAGATTGTGAGTGTAGGCTAAATATTGTGCTGATGTCTATAAATAGAACTAAATGCGTATTCACTATGCCTCGGATCAGTTATTAAGTATTCGGTTTACAAGCATCCTGGTCATGTAGCGTTCTGTTCCCCACAGACGGGGTGTCCTGAATCTCCACAAGAGTTCTGGTATAGATGACCTTGGTCCGGTGAGATGGCAGCTGGCACTGTGCACTCTGCTGACCTTCACCCTCCTGTACTTCTGCCTGTGGAAGGGGGTGAAGAGCACAGGCAAGGTACGTATTGCTTTTCTTAAATATGTCAATTTTGGTTAATTATGAGAACCATTGTAAAATGTTGTATTGTTGTTTTCCCTCCTTCCCTTTCTGTGAGACAAATGGTTGACATTAACCATTTCAATACTTACGGAATTGTTTATCAGTTGAGGTGAATACTGACTCATAGCCGACCATTCCTTGTTTTATCCCCTTAATGCCGAACTAGGCAGGGCAACAACAAAGTTTCTGTATTGTAAAATCATTAAATAAAGACAATCTTTAGGCAAATTTCAATTCATAACCCGATAGAGGATGGTCCAAAGTAAATGTGATAGTTACAATTAACATACTGAGTTGTTTTTACTAAGAAAGATGTAGAAGATAGTACCATTTAACAGAAGGAGCACTCACATTCCTATATATAATGGAATGGGGTTTCTGGTAAATATAAATCTCCGGGGTCAATTCGACAGAATAGTTAACTGTACAAACAACTCTTAAATATAAACATATATACAGATATATGAAAAGTGCATACTTTTAAACGTCCCAGTTAGCCATATTCCAGCTATTTGGCACAGCGGCCTGTAATGATTAAATCTGGACCAGACGCACCAGTGATTGATGTGAGCAACGTCCCACGTTATCTGATGAGTGAGTGAGTGAGGTTTTATGCCGCTTTTAGCAATATTCCAGCAATATCACGGCGGGGGACACCAGAAATGGGCTTCACACATTGTACCCATGTCGGGAATCAAACCGGGTCTTCGGCGTGACGAGCGAACGTTTTAACCACTAGGCTGCCCGACCGCCCCCGTTATCTGATGAAGATAACAATGGCTATGGCCGCGTTCCACAAAGCGACCGTAGCACTACGACTGTCGTAAGTCTATGTTAAAGTATGGTAGTTACGATGGTCTAAGCGTTTAGATCGCTTTGTGAACAGGGCCCATGTCTCACATGTACCACACAGTATATATAACCACTCAATCCTACTTGAACTCGGTTATAACACCCAGCATTATAAACCTGGACACCCGGTGTCCACTCGACAAACATGAGGCTCAGGGAACCTAATCTCAACAAATATCCGCGGGCTTTGTCATGGAAGAACATATCCCTAAACAATCTCGAAATAACATTACTGAATTGGCAACATGAAAGAAATTCAGACAAGGAATTAAAAGACATGCACCTTTAATGAATAAGTACATACATACATACATACGGTCACACGATGGTGCATTTACGGATTTTGTTGAAACTACAAACGAAATGAATGTAAAAACACTAACACTAATCAGGAAGAAGCAGATAGCTATACAAAGTGTCAACACACCAGTTTGTAACATGCATTGTCATGTTTGATTTTAATCATTGATTCATTATCGCCGAGTGATCGTCAAAACGCCGTGCAAGGCTATTCGAGGCTAAGTCTGGCACCTATATCTCATCAGCTGTTACAAATCCAGGCGTACACCAAATAGCATATAGTGGGTTTGTTTCCTGTTTGTGTAAACAATTATTTGAATACCTCTCTTCAACACAGACCTGTGGAATTGTTTACAAGCGTCATTCATTCAATTAGGATAAGAACAGGTTGCTATCTAGCATTCCATTGGTTATCTACAGTTCCACTGAACAACAGGCGTGTTTCCCATCGTTCACACTTCATCACATCCAGGTATAAGGCAGCGTGCTTTCGTTAACCATCACTTTCTACTATAATACAATGTATCACCATCCACACATTTTAACATTATATGAAAACTTATGTAATACACATGCCAGTCTTACATGGTCCAGTAAAGCACCTGACATATTTCTGTGTTGTGTGACAGCATGCCAGTCTTACATGGTCCAGTAAAGCACCTGACATATTTCTGTGTTGTGTGACAGCATGCCAGTCTTACATGGTCCAGTAAAGCACCTGACATATTTCTGTGTTGTGTGACAGCATGCCAGTCTTACATGGTCCAGTAAAGCACCTGACATATTTCTGTGTTGTGTGACAGCATGCCAGTCTTACATGATCCAGTAAAGCACCTGACATATTTCTGTGTTGTGTGACAGCATGCCAGTCTTACATGATCCAGTAAAGCACCTGACATATTTCTGTGTTGTGTGACAGCATGCCAGTCTTACATGGTCCAGTAAAGCACCTGACATATTTCTGTGTTGTGTGACAGCATGCCAGTCTTACATGATCCAGTAAAGCACCTGACATATTTCTGTGTTGTGTGACAGCATGCCAGTCTTACATGATCCAGTACACGACTCACAAGGTACGATGGAGATGTACATTGTGTTAAGCGAAGCGACAATCAGCTGATTATACTTACAGCTTATTATACTTACTGCTGATTATACTTACAGCTGATTATAAGCCTGTGAGCTTGTCATAGAAATGATCATAATGAATGAATGAATGAACTCTTTATTTCCCCCAATGATTTGGAGAGTAGTACATACAATTACATTACATTATTTGACAACGGCAATGACAAAATACATGTAAGTACAACAGATTGGGCTGGGTGAGCAGTAATGAAGTGATGCGTGAAACTATATTTACATGATGTGTGACATAGCTTCACAAATACAATATGGATGTTAAGTTCCATGAGCTGACATGTTTAGCCACGATACTCATGACTGTTGCCCAGCTGTCAAGTGTCATGTCTTGGACCACATCTGTAATAGCACCGAGGTATGTCAGAATCTTGACGGCATCACTAGACGTGTCCTCAAGTCTGAGATATGTTTCAAGGCTAACATTGTCAAATAGAGACTCACTAAGCACATTTCTCTCTTTCATTAGGCCATCACAGTAAAGCAATTGGTGCTTAACAATGTCATCACATTCACAATTACAGATAAGACACAGTCCAGACGTTACAGGTAATATGCCGAGCTTTACAAGAGCATATACAGGGGGGGGGGGGGGGGGGAAGCAATATCATACCATACACACAGAGACCAGAGACGATGTGGGGCAAGGCGGGTGTGGATAGCACTAAACCTATGCATGTCTGGACGTTGTTGCAAAGTATTTCTCCAATTCATATTTTCAGACTCACTAATAGCTCGTTGTACCAAGCTCTTCCATACACTCTTAGATGGAAATTCCCCAGAGTTGATTAGTTTATCTAAGACGCCTGAGAATCCATACTTTTGAGCCACATTCAGTAGATCATGTGTTATGGATCTGGCACTGTGTGAGATCGTGGTGACATACTGGGATAGTCTGAGATAGAAAATCGGCTTCATAATGGTTGTGCCTGCTGCTCTACAGAGTCGTCCCAGAAAGAGAAGCTTCATTTTCTCCACCTTGCCCAGCATTGACCACAATCCTAGAACCTGGGTTGTAGCAGCTGTAGAGGATCTCCTGTGAAGGTTTTGGACTCGTCGTGCGAAGTAGCGCTGTAGGGTTTCCATCTCACTGATCTCACGGTTGTTGATATTAGGCCAGAGCTCACATGCATAGAAGGCAGTGGGGAAGATCACTCGTTGCCAGATATTCGATGAAGATACTGGGCTCAATCCTCCAGCTCTAAGACCAACATTTCTTAAGGAGTTGATTGTCTGTCGCGCCTTAGCACAAGCCCTAGTAGTTCGTTCACTTGCTTTTTCCGTGTGTATCAGAGAGCCGGCATAAATCATACTGCTTTGGATCTTCATTGTCACATCTCCAATTCTGAACACAGGTCTATTACAATGTCTTCTGTTATTGCAAAAAGACAAGACACAGCTCTTCTTGGCGTTATATGTCAGTCTCCAGCGCCGAGCATACTGGTGGATAGTATCAAGAGACATATTCAGTCCATGTACACTCGTACTCACAACAGTAGTGTCATCAGCCAGTATTACCGTTGGGATGTGCTCCTTACCGACAATTAGTCCACATTGTAGATTATCAAGCAGAGATATCAGGTCATTAATATAGACTAGAAACATCCATGCTGAGAGCACACGACCTTGTCCTACTCCTTGTTGAACATTGAACAAATCACCTGTGCTCCCATTGTATTTAACACAAGCACTTGCTTCTTGGTAAGATTGACGGATAATGTGCCATGCACGGCCTTTCACACCAAGATTGTATAGTTTCAGTAGCAGCCCCTCATGCCATATCCTGTCGAAGGCCTTTTCGTTATCCAGAAAGGCAACATATATATTTGAGTGTCTATCTTGATAATAGGAAATAGCCTCTTTTAACACATATGTAGCAACACTGGCGCCATGCTCTTTCCGGAAGCCGCACTGGAGACGATGTGGGAAATCAGGATTAATAGATTTGATGTAGGACTCCAGTCTGTCTAGCAACAGCCTCTCAAATACCTTCCCAATCACGGATGTTAGAGTGATACCGCGATAATTAGCTGGGTTGCATTTATCTTTATTATTCCCTTTGTAGATGGGAATAATAGTTCCAGTTCTCATCATGACAGGCGTGTAACAAGTACTGATCATCATATTGTAGAGGTGTGCCAGATGTTTAAACAGAAGATTGTCAGCATTACAGAGGTGTTCTACAGTAATACAGTCTGGTCCAGGAGACTTATTCTTTTTCAGCCTCTTAATGGTTGATTTCACTTCATTAGATGTAATACTTGTCGCCAGGATTGGATCGTTCTCAGATATGTTACTGTTTGCTATATCACAAACCTTTGATTTTGTTTCCTCATAAAAGTCCGTTTCAAACTCAGGCCTACCGAGAGGAGACAGCAGATCTCCGTAGTAATCAGTCCACATATTGCAGATGTCCTCGGGTGTGCTGGCCGTCTTGTCTTTATACTGTAGAGATGTACATGTTACATTAGTCTTCCTCTGTTTCCTGACAGTTCTATAAAATTCACCAATGTCCACTTCACAGGCAGAGTTCAGTTCTGTATACTTGTGTCTGTCCCATTGCCGTTCGGCTTTTCTTTTCTGTCGACGGAAGTTGCATTTAGCTGCTTTATACTGTTTATAAGAGCCATGTGCATCTCCTCTAGGTTTACCTTGAGATATCCATTGTCGTCTAGCATGACGCATCTGGTAGTGGTAGTAGTCTAGACTAGATCCTCTCCAATAGGGTCGAAGGTATGGTCTGTAGTGTCCTGTTGGGATGTACATTGCTGTTGACGTGTGGAGAGAGCTCACTATAGCATCAAAGTAATATTCCACCATATCGCTGTCAGCATGTGTCACGTCTGGAAGGGTGTCACCAAGTATTTTGTTAACTTCAGATGAGTACATCTTCAGTTCAAGGCCATTCGTACATTGTGTTAAGCGAAGCGACAATCAGCTGATTATACTTACAGCTGATTATACTTACAGCTGATTAGAAGCCTGTGAGCTTGTCATAGAAATGATCATATATAAACCAAATGTTCCTTTTCTTCTCCACTGATGAACGTACATATATCCTTTGTAAAATGAAGGTTTCACACAACGTTCCATAACATTTTGAAAACAATGAGTGAGTATGGTTTTACGCCGCTTTTAGCAATTTTCCAGCAATATCACGGCGGGGGACACCAGAAATGGGCTTCACACATTGTACCATGTCGGGAATCGAACCCGAGTCTTCGGCGTGACGTGTTTTGAAAATAGATATAATGAATCCATTCAAACATGCAATATGTGTTATACCTTAACTTGCAATACAGAAACAATTACAGGCTATATATTTGTTATTTTATCACGTAGTTGAATAATGATGTCAATGATCAGTAAAGGGGCTGTCAAAAATATAGAGTTGAACGATGTTGTTTTTACTCAGTTGTATGAGACTCATTCAACAGCAGAAAGAGTATGCCAGTAGACACCCTTATCTATACACCCCCGCAAAGCTCCGGTTTACAATTGGTCTTCAGCAACCCGTTCTTGCCGTAAGAGGCGACTAACGGGACCGGGTGGTCAGGCTCACGGACTTGTTTGATGCATGTCATCGTATCCCAGTTAGGTACATCGGTGCTCATGATGTCAATCACTGGAATGTCAGGTCCAGACTGTTATTTGCAGACTGCCGCCATATAGCTGGCATAGTGTTGACTGGGGCGTTAAACAACAAACAAATCAACAAAATTATACAACCAACACCAACACCAATAATAACCCCCACCGCACTAACGAAAACACTAATACTAACATTTCATCATTATGATACCCCTCCCCCACCGTCACCAGCATCACCTTTACAGGTGCTTGGCTTCAATGAATTGATTCATTATTTTAAGTGGGCACGGGTGGCCCAGTCGTCTAAGGCGCCGCGATTCGCTGTGCAGAGTTGCGTCCCTTGGGCACGCCAGTAACCTATGATTGTGGGTTCGAATCCCGGTTCGCCCCGATTATGTTTCTAGGTTTGTCAGCACCATACCCGTGCTCGTGGGTTTCACCGAAGTGGTAAACGTCTGAGACCTGCATCACTTCGGGCTTTCCTCCCACATTAAGCTGACACGCCGTGATATGACTAGAATACTGTTAAAAGCGGCGTTAAAACCCAACTCACTCACTCACTCATTATTTTAAAATAAGTTCAGATTCCTTTACAATGTTCGGGGTGTCAAATGACCGACAAAAGCGTCTGTAAAAGCACCATATCCGAGAAGAGATCATTAAGGCACATGAAGGTGAGGTGAAGTGAAATGGGGTTTAACGTCGCGTCCAAGATTATTGCACTGGTATAGCGACGTGCATGCACGTGTATGTGTGTGTGTGTGTGTGTGGCTGCTTGTACTAGTCCGGACTGATGCCGATTTATAGTGCTAGCTCACTGAGATACCATGCCGCAGTTTAACATGAATACCCCACTCAGACACAGTATACTGACTCCGAGCCGACCAGTCCTTGTTTTATCCCCTTAATGCCGAGCGCTAGACAGGGTAACAACAAGTACCATCTTTTAACGTCTTTTGGTATGACGCGGCCGGGGGCGGACGCTCTACCTCTAGACCACGGAGGCGGTCTAAGGCACATGAAATAGATACAGATACATACAGATACATGTAAACGTGCACACTTAACATGTGCTCATGTATACACATACACCGTATTTACATCAATATGAGAGGAGGGGCGTAATGTTTGCCAAATGATTAAATTGTGAATAATACATTTAAAAACTGAAACAATAATATTTTCCCTACATGGTCTTTACACATGAGTCTTATGATTTTTACTCCCCAGGTGGTATGGGTGACGGCAACCATGCCCTATATAATCATGGCCATCCTGCTAGTCAGAGGCTCCCTCCTCCCTGGAGCCAAGGAGGGCATCACCTACTTCATCACCCCCAACCTCAGTCGACTTGGGGACCCACAGGTCAGTAGCGAACAATGCATCATTGGTATAATATGATCAGTGGCAAAGATTATTGTGATCATCTTCGTATTTATCGCATTGTGAAACGCATAAGACAAAACCTCTCTCTTTTTCTTTCTAGATAGAAAATATACTACTATTTAATATTCTGAAGATGAACAAAATAAGATTTTGATGGTCTTAAGCAAAGATTAAGCAAAATCAAATTTCAAATGCAGTCTTGGTGTTCTTAAATAATTGAAATGGTTTCATGCAAGCCACATGCGATGTTCATCAGTTTCATTTTATCCCAATTAAAACAACACATTAGTCTTTGATCTGGTTTTACAAGTGTCTGTTCTGTACACACTTAAAATCTGTAAAACCATAAGCATATGGTCCATGTCATAATTGCTCTTAATCTCCCAATCATCCTGTGATCACAGTAACTTTGCCTTTGATCACACATGCCCAATAAAATATGCTAACACAATTTAATTATTAGGTATTCAAACAAATTTAAAGCATTGTCAATATTTTGGACACAGAGTCTTGATGTACCTGTCCTCCCATGTCTTTCTTATAGTACTTATTTCCTACCAAGTGACCTTAGTCCACTGTCGAAGCGCTGTTGAAGGGGTGGGATGAATACGAAGTGTAGATATTCCTTGTTGTTGTCTGGCAAGTGTGTCCCCGATATGGAAATTGAAAAGGTATTTACGTCTTCTTCCTTTGGGGAAGCAATGACTGTATCTTCCTGCACATAATCCCGCTCCTCTGCCATGGCCATGTGAGCTTCATTGCAGGCCTTTGATAGGTGAATGAAATATGTCCTAAATATAGGTGGTTCCTGTCGGATCTGGCCACTCGACACAATAGCAAAGGGTCCCTCTATATCTTCTGGGTGCTGAATGTTCTGTTCTGGGGGTGCTTGGCGCATCTCTGTGTGTGCCCTCTCAAAATGATCTTCCATTCTGCCAAGGTCCTTTGAACTGCTAACACACACTTGGCCTTCCTCATCTGAACGTGTTTCCTGTGCTATGGGGGTTTCTTCTCCCGCCATCTTAACAAAAAGATGTTATTCACTTAATGTTTATAACTTAGAATGTCTTACTTAAATAGGTCACAGCTCTCTTTTGCTACACGTTAAGGCTCCTTACCATACTACATTGGATGATGTATAGGTAAATCATATGCAAAGTGTGTTGTCAAGGTTTTTAAAAATGAATATATTAAAATCATTATTATTTGTGTATGTTTTTGAAAGCAACTGACAGTGTAATATGTTTTTTCCTACACATTCATAGACAACAGACATTATCGATGTAAGTACTTATACATAAGGAAGAGAATTTATGGATATCAACTTCTGTATTATCAGGAACGTCACGTTTAGGAGTATATGCTTGATCCTTCATCACCTGAAAGTGACATCCATAAATTCTCCTGCTTATGTGTACCACTCTTAAATGCAATTCAAAGACTCAGTACCAATACATACACAAATAATATGAGAGAGGATACACTCGATACCGAAGGCATCACGCGAATTTGATCTAACAGTTAACATCGTTAGTCATTTGGCCTAGATTTCCAACGAACTAGGATAAACAACTTAACATAAATAGGAAAGAAATATCTGTATAAACATCAGTCCAATCAGCAAAAATGGATGATTGTGCGTTTGGAGGCCAAAGGTATATTTTATTGTATCTTGATTAAATCGTCGAAACATTTCTCCAAGTAGGCATAAGACATGTAGGAAATTTGAGAAGCCTGAATATTTCCGTGTTGACACCTTACCTGGAATGAAGCGTTATCATCCGTGCGTGGTCCCCTTTAAAACGTGGTCTGGTTGTAGTGTCCTGAAAAGAAAAAATATTGACCAACAATGAACTCGATTTGGAACTCGATGAACTCGATTTGGCAAACTGCTACAAATGTAAGTATTACATGTTTATATCCTCGGTGTCGCCATTTTGCCAAACAGAATAAAAAATAAATACGAGGATTCAGAAAACGTATTGATGTTGTCATATGTTACCTGTAGGTCTTAAATGATCTGCTGTCATTCCAAATGAACAGATGTCTATATCTTTACCCTGAAAGATACAGGATACAGTGGCGTCCAAGTGAATGAAATGAATGAGCCCGTTTCATTCGCGATTGTATTCTTCCGCGCAGAAGCTGCACTACAGCGCGTAGTGATATTCTCGTTTAATTCTACAATTTGTCAAAATTGTATTTATGAACAAGTTTATTATTAACAGGTATAAGCAAACTGAAATGAGATATTTGGTTTGGCGCTTCAGATGTGTATTTCATTAAAAAATTGGCTATCCCTTAAGAACTATACTTTTTCATGGGCAAAGGCCAGACGTCACTAAAGTTGTTTGCAAACATCAGGTGGTGGTAGCATGCAGGTGGGTAGAAGCTCACTAAATGAATCTTCCCACCATAAACAAGGTCTTTCAAAAGTTGAAACATTACGTTTTGTTAATGTCACTTGTTGCATGTCGACCCACCTATCGTTTGTACTGTCGCAATTAGGATACCAGGAGATCCATGCAAATATCATGTGTCTATATTTAGCCCCTTGTAGTAGGTCATCGAGTTTCTTTGGCCATTCAGCAACCAAATAGTGGTCCGTTTTGCCAGATTCAGTACTGAGTACTCTATACCTCCAAACCTTGATTGTCCAAACGTAATCTGATACAGAATACATGACATGTAACAAACTGCTCTGTTTACAAATTGGCAATGAGAAAAAAAGTTACAGATTAATAGTAGCATTCCTGATCTGACAGCGAGACACAACTCCACGTGACGAGAGAGTGACGAAACAAACGGGGAAGGAAACCCCGCCAGGACATGGAAGAGTTGCTCAGCAACTGTGAACATAGCTGTAGTGATGGGACTGTATGTATACTGAACGTGAACACTGTCCTTGTAAAACTGTATGCTTGTCAGACAAAGACGGCGTGAGTGACCAGCTTGACAATGGCATAAACATAAACAAAATGTTACAAAACACATACCTCTTTAAACCTTGAAATGAGGATTACATCGTTAAGTTCCATAGCACAATCTGGTGTAAATATTGGTGATTTTTAGTTGCTTGAAAGTTTGTAGCACAGTAATGATCGTCAAACAACTAAAGAGTCATTATCATCATAATTACAAGATGGTGGCGTCTTTTTATGCACGGTGTCATTTTCTTTCACATATTAAATGTCTGTCAAGCGGTGGTAGGCTGGGACTGCTCCAATAGTCCCCTTATGGCGTCAATGTCTTCATGTGAAGACCCTGAAGGGCACAATACTGATTTATCCTCAAAGTATTTCTGGAAACCATGTGCCGGCACTGTGGTAGCGCCGGGCTCGGACTGTGGAGCAGGGGAGGTTGGCAATGGTCGGACAGGTTCTGTGTTGGGTTGAGCGTTGGGTCTGTGTGCCGTCACTGCTTCCCCATCGACATCCACGATGGTGTGAAGGTCACTCATCTTTACAACATAGTTGTACACTCCACAGAAGGTTGTTTAAAATGCATTTTGTCATTTTGTCCACACACAGTATTCTGAAAGGAAGAGATAAAGATGGGTATATATACATTGCAAGAAAACAACCAGTCTATCCGTCGAAACAGATTCCATTTAGTGTACAGTATATGAATGGACCAGTGATGGCACCAGGTGTTCGCGAAAAGGGTAAGCATTTACGCTCATCCCCAACAGTGGGATACACACTGTGATAATGTAACAATAATCACTCATTCATATTTAATTCAGAATTATCAGCTTGATCAATGCAAGTAACCCAAATGATTGGACGAAAAGCCTTAAGTTGTCATCCTATAGCTCGTTCCTGCGGTTGGGAAAGGCAAAATAAGAAAATGTATTTGATCAAAAGGTAAATGCTGTACAACAAGTGAATGTCGTTTTCACATCTGTGAACATCTGTAAGTGACAACACATCTTCATTCAAACTAATCATGAAGGAAACCGTGTTTTAAAATTTGACATGATGCCATTCAATAAAGAAAATGGCAAACATGTTTTTATTGTGGCTGTTCTTTCAAATCATGCAAAGAAAAGTACATTCACTAAATACGTTCACTTAGTCCAATACTATAAGTGTAAGTAAGAAACGTTGATGTATTTGGCAATTTTCATAACTGTATCACCAATCTGAGAACCGTTTACACTAAAACAGTAATACGAAAACTATACAATGTATTGGTTGCAATCTAACACAGTTCAATTAACAAAGTGTTAACGTCACAGGCTTTCTCTGAAAGAAAATAGTTCAACAATACTAAACTCTTTAGATAACAAGAATACCCAAACAAAAATCAACTTTCAAAATATTACCAGTGATAGGTCTAGTGAGATATGGCTGCCAATATACCACTAGACCTATGTTAATACCCCTAGGAAACTTTACTTATATTCCAAGGAACTAAATAGAAAATGTCATCAGTTTCATATTGCGTTATTTTATGAACTAGCTGTATGTGAATCCGGTCAGTCGACTTCAGGGTTAAATATGTATAACATAATGTAAAATGTTGTTTTCGGAGCTAGGTTTCTACCCTTTCACAGATTGGGAACGAAAGCAAACATTATTTCACAACAAACGTCAATTGAATTTTCACAACCATTTCCAAACAATTTGTACATGAATGTTCGGTGTCTACATGTGAATCCCTAAAGATATAACCCTCTGTACATTAAGTTTAACTCTCCCGGCGCCGATCATAGTGATTCGACTCTTGTCATTCTACTCGAACGTATTGGAGTTACGTCATTCGTAGCGCTAGTGTATGCATTATTCGTCTTCCTTTGCGTTGGTATGCATGCCAGCAATACCCCGTGAAAAGGACCACATGTGACACCTTGTTTATCGGTTCCACGCCGAGGAAGATGCCATTCCTTCACCTCGTTATAAGTATGTAGTTGTAAAGACATATCAACAAACGTTAACTGCATAATATAGGTGGATACTGAACAGAGTTAATTTCATATATTATGAAATATAAGCGACAAAACACTTTCCACAATCAAAAGAAATCTCTTCTAAAAGCAGAGTCGATTGTATGATTCCGACTTTATTATGAGCATGTGTTTATGAATCACTTTAAAAAAGGGATGATACCAGGTGTTCGCGAGAAGGTGAGCGTATCCTGCCCCACCGTAAAAGCATGTATGCAAAGAATGTGTAGAGTTCTCAGTATGGTTATTAAATCTATGTAAAATATAATATCGTGATGACGGATTCGTTGTACTGATAACATATTCCATATTAATTTTATCCACAACGGTATTTATACTACACGTAAATCGAAACTGAATGTAAACTGTTCAACATGGAGAATACAATACTCTACACACAGTATATAATTGTATGTGAATAGTCCAGTGATGTAGTTTTCTGCAGAAACCTGCTTCTGTTTGTAAGCATATTAGATCCTTTCAATTTACTCGACCTTGATAATAAATAAGACTTATCTAGTTAGATAGCAAACCTTAGGATGATACATACCTAAACTCGGTACAAACACAGCACGTTGTCCACCCTCGTCAATGCAACACAAAAAAGTGTCACAACTTGAATAACTCACTCTGAATGTATTTATCGTCAACAGCTCTTTCCGCGCGAAACGTCCAACCTAGTATCATGGCGGATGGAGTATGTCACGTGATCTGTTTGCATTCACTCATGTCGCTCTGCTCATGGTGGGATATTCAATATAAAGTCGACTTCCATCATAACCTCAAATGTCTTCAAGCATTCATATAAGCTCACGATTCCGAAACCTTATTTTCCGAACCTGTCCCTGTGGTCTAGTTTAAGCCGATACAATGAAGTTGTCTCTCTGAAAAATGTATGATAGCTGTATGCGTATTTGTGTTGTGCAAGTTATCGTGATGGCGGTTACATTGTGTGTTCACGTGACAACTCTATTTATAACGCCATATAAATAACTCGTGTTGTTATAATATCCATTCAACTTGATTGAAACTTCTGATTCAGTTCCCCTGAGTGGGCACGGGTGGCCCAGTTGTCTAAGGCGCCGCGATTCTCTGTGCAGAGTTGCGTCCCTTAGGGGTGCCAGAAACCTATGATTGTGGGTTCGCATTCCGGTTCGCTCCGATTATGTTTCTAGGTTTATCAGCACCATACCCGTGCTCGTGGGTTTCACCGAAGTGGTGAACGTCTGAGACCTGCCTCACTTCGGGCTTTCCTCCCACATTAAGCTGACACGCCGTGATATAACTGTAATACTGTTAGAAGCGGCGTTAAACCCAACTCACTTATTCACTCAGTTCCCTTGAAGACTGATTCGGTTTGTAATATGACATCATCCCTTAGTTATATAAAGAGTGAGTGAGTTGGGTTTAACACAGCTTGGAACATTATTCCAGTCATATCACGGCGTGCCAGCTTGTTGTGGGAGGAAAGTCTGAAGTGATGCAGGTCAGACGTTTACCACTTTGTGAAACTCACGAGCACGGGTATGGTGCTGACAAACCTAGAAACATAATCGAGGCGAACCGGGATTCGATCCCACGATCAAATGTTGTTACTTATATTACTGAACAGATGCCCGTAATGAAACTATAGATACTGTTGATACATGTTGACCATTTGTGCACTGTCAGCGGATATAGTATAGGGTAACTGCAACGCTACACCGAAAAACCAGTAAATGTTCAGTAGGACTGCATGAACTGCAGCTCCAGTGTGGCCACATGTGTTCACATGAATAGCCCATACATTGAAAGTAGACGGTTACCTGCATGAGACCGACGTAGATGTAAACAATGAACATCGTATCATAATATATAACAAATATTCTAAATTACCATCTCTGGAATATATCTAAGCTTAACGAACAGATTAGGATCCAAGAAGCATATTTCAATATCACATTTGCCAGAACAACCACTCTTCAAATCAATCAACTCTTCGTCTTTATTTCTTGTGTCACGTGTACGGGTATCATAGCTGTGTTTTGGACCAAGGTTTCAGTGTTTCCGCGACTGTTTTTAGACTATTAACGTTTTGATAATGTTTGGAATCGTCCAATTTCCACGTGTATACTTTACTGTGCCCTGCAGCTTGGCTGTTAAATATTGTGTAATGTTGGTAAATGTGATTGTCGATAAGCTCGCAAGTATATGTGGGTTGAGCAATCATTTCAACAAAATGTAGGTGGAAGTTATGATTTAATATTTTTATGGGACTTCGGATTTTACAAATGAACTTTCTAACACTGAAAGATATGTACCTGTTCGTCAACCCAATTATTAAAACATTTACCCATGTGTACGTGTATTTTTCTCTCCCCTACGTCCGTGTATTTAAAGTTATTTGACCACACCTAGTGTTTATTGGTATTCGTGTACCGTTTGTGAATTGGTATTAACTTAATGTTCTGGGGCGATCCAGAAACCTATTTGGATTTATTTCGATTCGTATACTGCTTTATTTGCCAGTAAGAAAAATGAATAACAAACTGTTCTAACAAAACCACTCGGTACCCTTTATGTATATAAACACGTGTAAAGGGTGTAATAGTCACACGGGAGACTTGGCAGCAGATAAAATACATACTTTTACTGGAAAACCTGGGGCGATTTCCACACTTCTTACATACGACAAGTTTCAGTGTAGATCGCAAGGTGTGTGCATGAGTAGGAGAGTATGCATGTTTACAACGTCATGAATGGCACGGCCGATTTGAACGACAACATACCTATATAGGATTGTGTTTGTTTGTTGTGTAACGCCGCACTCAACAATATTCCAGCTATATGACGGCGGTCTAACACTTATCGAATCTGGACCAGACAAACAAGTGATTGACATCACGAGCATCTATCTACGCAATTATCACCCATATAGGAACACTCAAAGGGCACTAAGTTCTAAAGACATGTTGAATATTTGAGACTTCTCTCGTGTGTATCAACATGTCGGCGAATTTAAATCGTAAATTATCTTTGATACATATTTGATAGAAGTTCATGAGACACTTTAAAGACTATATTACGTCAACCCGACGTTATGTTTTAGTTAGTAAAATGGAGATTTAAAGAAAAGTTTCATTCTCTATACCGTGTATATTAATACCAATAATTGTATGACGAATGAACAAAGACTTGCATACCGATGGATAGTTCCTTTTCAGTTGTATAGTTTTATTTCACACTCCATGTTCCCTGTCCTCCACAAAGCAGACACGACACAGTTTGAAACACTGACAACTTACACCACGTATTAAAATAAAAATGAAGATATTAAACACACCGGTAAGGGACAATGTCGTAAACAAACAAAAATGTCCTGAACACAAAGTTTGACATCCATTTCGAACCCGGCTTGTCATTTTGACAAAATGGGACAACACTGCCCTGGCGCCGAGTGGTTAAACTCTATCTCGTCATCCCCATCAGTGTGAGTAGCTCCTTCAGCAGCTGGATGCTACAGTGTTACCAGACACAGGAGGACCAAGTATATACTCAATGACGTCGCTGTGTTTTTGTGGACATGGGATATGTTCGGAGAAATTACCGCTTCTTGTCGAATTGTCCGAGACTTTCGCATATATCTGTTGGACAATCGTGTCCCAATTGTTTATGCACGAGACACGTTTTAGTGTTAGTATTAGTTGCTCTTGGGTCACACGGGCCTCATCTTCCAGGGCCAAGGGCTTTAACTGACTATAAAAGTCAATGGAAACTGGACTTTTATGGTCAGTTAACTCACTTGCGTAGGGAAGATGCACGGGAATTTATAAACCAAAACTCGGTTTAACGTGTGTTTTGAAGACCTGTTTCTCTCTCAGTTCTACCTGGCAACAATAATCACTGCTCTTGTTACTCTTGCCTGTATCAGCACAGTGTTACTCAAATCAGCTCCCTTGGACTGCATCATTGCATCTCACATCATCCACAGGGTACTGCCTCATTGCATCTCACATCATCCACAGGGTACTGCCTCATTGCATCTCACATCATCCACAGGGTACTGCCTCATTGCATCTCACATCATCCACAGGGTTCTGCCTCATTGCAGCTCACATCGTCCACAGGGTACTGCCTCATTGCATCTCACATCGTCCACAGGGTACTGCCTCATTGCATCTCACATCATCCACAGGGTACTGCCTCATTGCATCTCACATCATCCACAGGGTACTGCATCATTGCATCTCACATCATCCATAGGGTACTGCCTCATTGCATCTCACATCATCCACAGGGTACTGCCTCATTGCATTTCACATCATCTACAGGGTACTGCCTCATTGCATCTCACATCATCTACAGGGTACTGCATCATTGCATCTCACATCATCCACAGGGTACTGCCTCATTGCATCTCACATCATCCACAGGGTACTGCCTCATTGTATCTCACATCATCCACACGTACCGTCTCAGTGTTTCTAACGCCATCCACAGGGCACTGCCTTGTTGTATCTCACATCATCCGCAGGATACTGCCTCAAAGTTTCTCACATCATCCCCTGTGTACCGTCTCAGCGTATATAACACCATCCACGGGGTACCGACTCAGTGTTTCTGTCACAACATATACAGGGTACTGCCTCAACACATCATCCCTTGGGCTCTGATCCATTGTTCCACTCAGCAGGGTGTCCACGGCTATGTTTGTAACGACATGTGTTCCCTTTCCTACCTGAATGTGAAGGTTTATTGTTCCTGTAGAGACCATAGTGGTTCCTTGACATGCTCGAATATCCGAAAAATAACAGGCTCCAAAATGCTTAAATGTAGTTATGTCTTCTAATAATACCCAATCTAGGTCCAGGCTTTCTAATTAGTTTCATATCGAAAGCTATAATCATTTCAGACTTAAGTTTACAAGAACATATATCGGGACTGATGTGCAAACGGTTGTCTGTGTGAAGTAATTGAGCGGACCAAGTTTGTTGGTGGAGAGAAGTTCAAGGTTATGTTTCTTTATTTTCCCTGTCTCCTGTGATGGTTTCTGACTCCCTCGACTGTCACTGGCTCCTGTGATGGTTTCTGACTCCCTTGACTGTCACTGTCTCCTGTGATGGTTTCTGACTCCCTCGACTGTCACTGGCTCCTGTGATGGTTTCTGACTCCCTTGACTGTCACTGGCTCCTGTGATGGTTTCTGACTCCCTCGACTGTCACTGGCTCCTGTGATGGTTTCTGACTCCCTCGACTGTCACTGGCTCCTGTGATGGTTTCTGACTCCCTTGACTGTCACTGTCTCCTGTGATGGTTTCTGACTCCCTTGACTGTCACTGGCTCCTGTGATGGTTTCTGACTCCCTTGACTGTCACTGGCTCCTGTGATGGTTTCTGACTCCCTTGACTGTCACTGGCTCCTTTGATGGTTTCTGACTCCCTTGACTGTCACTGGCTCCTGTGATGGTTTCTGACTCCCTTGACTGTCACTGGCTCCTTTGATGGTTTCTGACTCCCTTGACTGTCACTGGCTCCTGTGATGGTTTCTGACTCCCTTGACTGTCACTGGCTCCTTTGATGGTTTCTGACTCCCTTGACTGTCACTGGCTCCTGTGATGGTTTCTGACTCCCTCGACTGTCACTGGCTCCTGTGATGGTTTCTGACTCCCTTGACTGTCACTGGCTCCTGTGATGGTTTCTGACTCCCTTGACTGTCACTGGCTCCTTTGATGGTTTCTGACTCCCTTGACTGTCACTGGCTCCTGTGATGGTTTCTGGCTCCCTCGACTGTCACTGTCTCCTCGTGAGCACGTTCTCCACCAGCCTGGCCATCTGGTCGTAGTCCACCCCCGACACACACAGCATATGCTGCAGCTCCTTCACCCCCAGATCCCGACACTCAAGTGAGAGTGTTGGAGTGCCCTCACCGTCCACCTGGTCCACCTGGTCTCCATCCTCACACAATGACTCGCCCTTAAAGCGACTTCCACTGGTGCACATCAAATGGGAAATGTCTGTCTCGCTCATTTGTCAAGAAATGAAAAAAATGTCCTTTATTATAAGAACACTTTCAGTGAATCCCACCAGTAGATCCCGTCATCTGCTGCTTCCCCGCCCGGGTCATGTCATCTGAAACAGTGATTAATGAGTGAGTGAGTGGGTGTTGTTTCAGTTCACAGACATTAATTCTCAATTAAAAATCACGGCGACCTGGATGAACCTGACCAAGTAGTTGACATCGCGATCAAAGACGTCGGGATATCATGCCACACAATCAGCCAATGTCAGACTTTGTAACCACCCAGTCCTCAACCACCCAGTCCTCAACAGTTGGCTCTTAACCAAAACTACCATTGAAAATCCGGGTAGAATAGGTCTTCAGCAACCTATGCTTGCTGTAAAAAGCGACTATGCTTGTCGTAAGAGGAGACTAACGGGATCGGGTGGTAAGGCTCGCTGACTTGGTTGATGTATGTCATCGCATCCCAATTGTGTAGATGGATGCTCATGATGTCAATCACTGGATTGTCTGGTCCAGATTCGATTATTTACAGACCGCCGTCATAGAGCTGGAATATTGCTGAGTGCGGCGTTAAACAACAAACAAACAAACTTAACACAAATATAGAGCACTGGGGAGCTATTCTGTTCTTGACAAGTCCTACAGAGAAGAATGGAATCACTATTCCATCACTGTACGATGTAGAAAGTCACATCTAGCAGAAATACACTCTTCAAAAAAAGAAAAGCATATGTGTTTTGAGAATTCCAATTGGATTTTTTTTCCAAGGAATCGTCATAAAGACAATTCTTATGTTTGATTCCCGTTAATCATGTCATGTTTGTTGTGCATTGCGCGCAAACACATCTCAAAATGTTTTTTGTAAACGTTTATCAGCAAAAATGCAAAGGATGCACGGAAATTGCTTTCAGAAAAATGTTTTCAGCACAATGCACGTGCAAAATGTTGGAAACAAGAGTAGAGACACTGACTATAAAAGACCGTACAAAATTCATCAGTTTATTACGAATTTGCTGACGTGAACGCAGATCGAAAAATCCCAAGATTAACTGCAGTTGACCGAAATATCGCCATTGGACGTTTGGAAGCAGGGGAGTCCCAGTCTGCCGTTGCAAGACACTTCAACGTTCACCAAAGCACCATATCTCGACTATGGGATCGATATACCGGCACTAATTCGACTCAAGATCATCCCAGAAGTGGAAGACCAAGAGTGACCACCCATGCTCAGGATCGGCACATCCGGTTGCATCACCTTCGGAATCGATTTGCTACAGCAACGGACACTGCAGGACAAGTGCCTGGTGTGCGAAGAATTTCCGACCAAACCATCAGACATCGTCTGAGGGAAGTGGGAATTCGAGCGAGACGACCAAAAGTTGGACCTGTCTTGCGACGTCTACACCGTCAACGACGTGTCCGGCGGTGCAACAGAGTACAGGCATGGGATCTCAGGTACTGGCGAGGCGTTTGGTTCAGCGATGAGTCACGTTTTCTTCTTCAACGACGGGATGGAAGACAACGTGTAGACCGACGTCGACATGAACGTTTCGCGCCGAACTGCGTTCGACAGGCGGACCGATTTGGGGGAGGGAATGTCATGGTGTGGGGAGCCATATCCTACACGGGTAGATCACAGTTAGTAGTTGTCTAGTTGTACATATCCTTATGTTTAACTATGCATTTCTTTGAAGAGTGTATTAGCATATTTGTTCAAGACTAATGTGTAGACAGACACGACGCCTGACCACCAATGTCACTTGTACCCCCCACCCCCCAACCCCCAACCCCCCGATCCAGGCTTTACTCGAGCTGCAACCGTTGTCGACAGAAACCAGGTCAGTCGCAGATACTGGGACCAGGAAAGTCGCCATTCATAACACAACGACTGTGAGGTTATCGAGACGTTTTCGACAAGGAAATTGTGTTGTGAATAATATATTGTAAACATCATTGTATATAAACCCATATATAGAATACACACCAGAGGGATTCGGGGGGTGAGACAACGCTATACTACAAAGTATATGCCGTGTATCTTGGTTTCGTCTGCGACAATGTGCGTGCGTGACATGCATACCTCTATAGGCCCATGTGCATGTTTTTTGTGCATGCATGCATGCTCATGCCACAGTGCCTTTGTCGGTACATATCATTGTCTGTCTTGTGACAATGCATGGTCTATATGCATGTTTGAAATATGATTGCGTCATCAAATTGTTTAAACTAGTGTTCAGTATTTTAACATATTGTTATTCCACTAATTAGTTCACATATACAGGTGTGTGAAGCCATATCTTTGTTCTTTGTCACCCAGCTCAGTTCTGGAATAAGCAAGTTCACCGCCGTCCATGGTAGAATCGTAATATTCAGGTTCATTGTCCCTACATGTGAGCTCGTAGTTGGATGTGGTGAAGGGTCAGGAATGAATAAAGTGCTTGTAATAATCAATAACAATAATTAAATAATGATCATATTTACACATAATCATTCACGTACACAAACACCTATACATACACATATGCATAAACATACACAGATATGACAAGATTGAGGTGACCTCCCGACGTCATTCATAAGCATGAATACAGGCATTGCAAATGTACTTAACACGCAGTTATAATGATTGAGTCTCAAATGTCCCATAGCACGGGTATTGTCATAGCACAAACTGACCATTGTGTAGATCTTATATAACATAATATCATGAAACGGAAAGGAAACATATTAAAAAAATTAGTAATCTGTACAAAACCTTTCCTTGTGTGGTCCAATGTCTATTCACAAATGTGTATGACATAAACAGCCGGTGCTGAATACGGCACACAATGCAGTGAGACTCTATACTTACCCATGCATACTGCGCTGCATATGCACAACGTGTAACAGGTTGTATATCGAGAGGCAACGGGTCACAACAAGAATAATGTATGGCTGCACGACTTAGAACCTTGACATGCTATATTATTCAGATAACTGCACTCTGTAGCGTCTAGGACCCTCTAGCATTCGTCATTGTATCGAAGGTAAAGGTTTGAGTAGGTCAAGGCCACTTGAAATTGTATCGATCTGGCACGTAATTTAAAGCCCTCTACTTAAAGCAGTTGCTATACAGGTAGGACGGCCCAGCAGGGTATTTTGCATGACATGTGCTCTCACGGGAATCTGGTATGGGTGACATGACTGAGTGAGATCTATTACAAGATTTGCTTCACCTGAGAATGAGGTTGATCCCAGCTATAATGTGCACCAGCTGCACGGTGTCAATACATAAGCCACACTTCCTGTGTTTACGAAGGTTGATCGCATGGCTGACTATTCGTTAATAGATTTGTTTTTAAGTGTGCAGAGGTCTGAAAGGTTCCAGTTCCACTACTTGATTCTCGAACTGACTTCACTGTAGGGTGCTGGACTAAAGTCCCAATCCCTTCCACCAAAATATGACTGGAATATTGCTTAGGTGTGAATCACCCACTCTGTATATGAAAAAGAATGGGAGGTGAGTGTTGTTTTACGCCGCGGTTAGCACTATTGCAACTATATCGTGGCGACCAGCTTGTGTCAGGCAAAGCAGGGGTTGAATGCATTAGCAACGAGCCACCGCCGCCATTTTGAACGTCATTTCAGTAATATCACGACGTGACGTTTACCGTCATTCACGGCACATCATAATCGGGACGAAGCGGGGAGTTGATCCTGTGGTTAGCGGATCCTGGTCGTACCTGATTTCTTATATACAAAATGCACAGCTGTTGTGAATGGCGCCGCAATTCGCTGTAAAGTGTTGCGTCCCTTGGGCGTGCCAGGATCCTGTGTTCAGAAACTAGATTAGTCACCTGTGTACGACACCTGTGCTCGTGGCTTTGACCAATGTGGTACGCTTTTAAGGTCTGCGTCACTTTTAATATAACTGACATGCTGTTCAAACGTTGGGGGCACGGGTGGCCCAGTCATCTACGATGCCGCAGTTCGCTGTTCAGAGTTGCGTTCCTTAGGCACGCCAGAAACCTATGATCGTGAGTTTGATTCCCGGTTCGTCCCGATTATGTTTCTAGGTTTGTCAGCACCATACCCGTGCTCGTGGCTTTTACCAAAATGGTAAACGTCTAAGATCTGCATCACTTGGGGCTTTCATCCGACCTTAGCTGACAACGCCGCGATATAACTGGAATACTGTTAAAAGCTGCGTTAAACCCAGCTCACTTACTCACTCAACACGGCGTTAAACTCAGCTGACTAACTCACTATTTTCACTGCCAATATGTTCCAGGTGTGGATCGACGCTGCAGTGCAGATATTTTTCTCCGTGGGAGCAGGATTTGGCACACACATCGCCTACTCAAGTTACAACAAGTTCAACAACAACTGCTATCGGTAAGGTTTTATCTCTTTCTTTACCCACAGTCACGATAACTCTCGGCAAGGTCAACATACTTTAACTACTTTAAATCATGAGAATAGACAATGTGTTTGATTCTGCCTATGTAACCTCACTCTATCCTGCAACAGTTAATCTGTGGCTGGGTAGGTTTGTGTACAGATATAGTGGTTCAATGAAAACTGGGGCTAGAACGCTATCATGCTTGAAATGTGCCAAAAAAACAAACAAATTTATACATTTTCTTAGATAAGATGTCTGAGATACCCACCAGCAGTTGTGTATTATGCGAATTAATTTTTTTTATTTTTGATAGTTTTCAATCAAATCATATTTAAAACATATAAAACCATGTAGAGGTATTCTTTGAGTGTTGTCTAAGCGCCCAAAAATGTTCATGTTTTGGAAAAGATTTCACTAACTTTAGATATGTCACCTGAAAATCAAACAAGTGATCCAATCAACTGAGGGGTGTAGTTTCTGTTGCTCCTCAGTTTATGTCGGGTGGTCGGGTTTGGTGAGGTTATTTTATTAAGCATCGTAGAACCTAGACGGAGTGAGACTCATTATATCGACCACTAGTTATCCCTGGTCAGACGTGTACAATACGCCGTGAGATAGATGGGGTATTTCTGACTTTGGCGTAAAACAACAAACACACTGTCCAGATTTATTGAATTATTTTGATTTCCTGCGCTCTTTGTAGCATATCAAACCACAGTTTAAGCATTGCTGGTTGTATTATATATGTCGGTGACTTTGGCAACGTGGCGCACCCGCTGACCCGTCACCCATAATTAATTATGTTGTCATGGTGCAGCAGAACATACAGGGCCATAGACACCTCTGAGTAGATAGACTGTTCTATGAGGGAATTATGAATGTATGAATTATGCCTCTGACGTACATCTGATTGTTCTTCGATACATCCGCCACCAAATCAGTGTGTTTATTTGTTGTTTAACGTCGCACTCAGCAATATTCCAGCTATATGACGACGCTCTGTAAATCAAGTCTGGATTAGACAAGCTACTGAAGGATATCATGACCATCGCAATTGGGGTACGATGACTTCCATTAAGAAAGTCAGCGAGCCTGACATCCCGATCCCGTTTGTGGCCTCTTACGAAAAGCATTGGTTGCCGAATACGTATTCTAACCCGGGTCTTCACGGGTACCCAGTCAGTGCATCATTGAAATGACTTCGTGCTGGATCCAGGGTATCAGTTTGAGTAAAGGGATATGAAACAAACTTGAAGATGTGACTGAATAAGGTTTGACGCCGCACTCAGCAACATGCCAGTTATGTTGTGGTTGCCTAGCACTCGAAATCAGTGATTGATAGTATGAGCAGACTGCCACGCCGCTGGGGCACGATGACATACGAGTAGGTCACACAACCAACCGTCACTCCAAGTCGATGCTTACGACAAATAAGGTGTACTGGGAGGCTGTACAGTAATCTCTCTGGGTCGTCATTATGCAGATGACACACACGACACAGTGACTTACAAAGTACATTGGTTTGTTCCAGCGACTGCCTCATCACCGTGGCCGTCAACAGCTTCACCAGCCTTTTCTCCGGCTTCGTCATCTTCTCCTACCTCGGCTACATGTCCCTGAGGACACAGAAGGACATCTCCGAGGTGGCGACTGAAGGTGGGGACGTCATCTCTGCTTCTCAGATTTGTTTGTTTAAAAAATTCATTATTTTCACGAATGGATAGTTGGTAATGATTTATGTATATTTAGAAATAACAAAACTGTTTTATTTTGACTCTCGGGTAAATTATTTCAAATTTTGTCCGAAAACATGTGTCTATACCTCGGCTACGGCGACAGACGACAGCATGGTGTGACATTAACTATGAAATCCATAGAGCTTAGTAAATGTATGTATAATGTTGTATTACACTGCGTTACCATAACGATGTTCATATTAAAGTAATTAGACAACCTTTCAATGAGAAAAACTGAAGACACAGGTAAAGAATATTTTCAGAGCTCCCTATTTTCTGTTTTCTTATCTGGACCAGCATATACTACAAACGTGCAAGCGATTATTAAAATACTCGTTTAGGACCCCATTGAAATAGCAAGGAGCCTTGTAGCATGCATTGTAAAGATCAGCTCGCGAAGGACCATATTGGCAAGCCTACAGTCACTCATATGTTCTCATAGCATAGTATGGTGTTTGAAATCACACGGTATATTCTATAGGGTAATACGAGGTCATGTATAGATCTGACATCGTACTATACTCAAATTGAAAAATAAAATTGAGAATAAAAAATAGAAATTACATCTCTGTTAATAGTTCATATTAACCATGAGATGACGTCATTTCCTACTGTTGCTGACGTCATGTACACTCTGTTAGCTTTTCGACACAATGTTTAAGAAAAGACACACCTTGCCTTCACTCACTATAGCCAGTTATGAAGTATGAATTTCAGTGATGTTATTACATAAATTTATGAATCCTTCTCGTTTCGCTCGGGCAATAAACAAATGATGACGTTTCGCAACTTCAGTATGACATACATAGACTTACGTAAATAAATATAACGTCATCTCCAGAAAATAACCGATCTCGATAATATCAGTGCAAACCTTTTCTATATCTACTTTAACCAACTAAAAAATTATGTGATTTGATCACCCATTTCTTTTATAAATTGTGAATATTCAAGTGTTTGTAAGGCTACAATGCTTGTACCTCCAGGTCCTGGCCTCGTGTTCATCGTGTACCCAGAGGCCATAGCGACACTGACCGGGTCCACGGGATGGGCCATCATCTTCTTCTTCATGCTGCTGACCCTGGGCGTGGACAGCGCGGTGAGGACACGCCTACATCCGTACTATCCTTAGTGTAGTAACAACCGACACGTCTACATTGTTATACGTCTTCATTGTTATACTGGGCTTGAGCCCCGTGCTGATTCCGGGGGAGGTCCCTGTATCCTTAGTGTCGTAACAGGCGATACATCTAGCCAACATTCTATCCAACATAAGCATTCTATCTAGCTGAAACATTTTACCCAGCATAAACATTCTACCAGACATAAACATTCTACCCAACATAAACATTCTATCTAACATAGACATTCTATGCAAGATTAATATTCTACCTAACATTAACATTCTACACAACATAAACATTCTATTAGGCATACACATTCGATGCAACATAAACATTCTATGCAACAGAAACATTCTGTACATGAACATTTTATCTTACCTATACAAATAATCCAACATTGATATTCAACCCAACATAAACATTCTACCAAACATTCTATCTAACATTCACAAATCATCCAACATAGACATTCTATCCAACATTCTACACAACATAAACATTATATCGAACATAAACATTCTATCTATTCTAAACAAATTCAACCCAACATAAACATTTTATCTAACATAAACATTCTCTGCAACATTAACATTCTAACATAAACATTCTATCCAACATAAACATTTTACCCAACATAAATAAATCATCCGACATAAACATTCCACGTAAAATAAACATTCTTTCCAACATAAACATTTTATTCAACATGAACTTTGTATCCAACATAAACGAATCATCCAGCATAAACATTTTATCCAACATTAAAGGAATTTAAAACATTAATTTCCCTCGTGACATATTTTCCGTAATCACTCGTACCTCGTGGGTTATTCTATAAATCCAACATAAACATTCTATCCAACATAAATATTCTATCAAACATAAACATATTCGACAAAATAGCAAGTTACCCTCTGTATGTACAACATTTGTTCTCAGCTGCTTCTCTGAATACTTTTCGTCTTCCTTACATTCCCAGTCGGCATTGCGTGACTTGTCACCATTAATAGATTATGCAGATGGGCCACTGTTGTTGTATGATATGTGTTGTCTGTAACCTAGCATCGCTGCTCAACAATTACAGCCATATAATGACGATAACATGTATTGTAAAACCTGCCTGGTTGTTAAATGAGATTCGAGGCGCTGGTAATGTTCTTGACTTGTCACGGCATATAAACTGTTCTTTTAATAAATATTTAAAACATTCCTCAGACACAAATTGAAAAGTGGTTTTCGAAATAGCGACAGGAATGTCGTATTTATTGTTAGTACAATTATTTGATTTTGTGTTTAAAAATTCTATTCAAAATGGACAATTTGCTAGTGTATTTAGCCTTTATTAATATATAATCTGCTAGTCCATATTAGATAAATGGGGCATAATGCTGTAAGGTAAATGAACAAGTTGAACGACATTTTGACAATGTGATATAATATTATTGCGAACGTCTTGACAGTGACATGTAATCATCTTGTGTTTCAGTTTGGGGGTCTCGAGTCTCCCCTGACGGGGCTGAGGGACGAGTTGCGTCATCTGATCAAGTACAAGTACTTCCGGGAACTGTTGACCCTGGGGGTGGTGGGGTCAGCCTTCATGTTCGCACTACCCTGCCTAACAGAGGTCAGTCCATACAGACCCACACGCATTTCTGTTTGTTTGTTGTTTAACGCCGCATTCAGCAATAGTCTAGCTATATGATGGCGGACTGTAAATAATCGAGTCTGGACCAGACAATCCAGTGATCCATCCAACCCACCCATCGATTCTGACCACCCGATCCATTTGGTTATCTCTTACGACCAGCATAGGTTGCTGGGGACGAGTTCGAACCCGGAGTCCCACGAGGTCTGTAGACCGTCATTTCATTGGTCCATACTGACATGCATCGCTCCATGTCTGAACGTCTGAACATGTCTGTCCATGTGCCATCCCACGTGCAGGTAGAGGTCCGCAAAAATTAGGGACCTTTCAATAACTTTATACATACATTTCTTTCCGAATAAAAAACATGCAACCATTGAGCCTTTGCAATGTTTGGGCGGACGAGTAACCTATTGGTTAAAGCGTTCGCTCGTAACGCCGAGGACCCGGTTCCGATTCTCCGCATGGCTACAATGTGTGAAGCCCATTCCTGGTGTCTCCCGCCGGGGAGTATTGCTAAAAGCGGCGGAAAACCACACTCACTCACTCACTCACTCACTCACTCACTCACTCACTCACTCACTCACCTATTGTGTATATTACTTGTGTCGTGTGGGAGTCCCCAACATCAATGTTGACTGTCTGGTCTTGTGTTCAGGGAGGAATGTACGTGTTCACGATGCTGGATCGTTTTGCGGCCGGGACTTCTATTGTGTTCACAGTGTTGTGCCAGGTGATAGCTGTCTCTTGGTTCTACGGTAGGTCCATGCCTGGTTCACCCGATTCAGAATATGTAATCAAGATGTTACCTACCTTGCCTTTCTGTATGGATATAACGATTATTTTTATATGGACACAGCAAGATATTTTTATAAACATCAGCAGCTCGAAACAACACCGATTCCAAAAATTCCTCATTGTATAACATTATTGTAATGTCCGTGCGTCCGTGTGTACCATCTAACATTTACATGTGACATGCAGGCATGAAGCAATTCTGTGACGACATAGAGGCCATGACGGGGAGCAGACCAAACCTGTACTGGAGGATCTGCTGGAAGTTCATCAGCCCAGCTCTACTCCTTGTGGGTAGTTTTAAACAGTCTGTAGTAACTTACTAAACTATCTGTCATTGCCCAACTCTACTCCTTGTGGGTAGTTTTATACAGTCTGGGGTAACATACTTAACTATCTGTCTTTGCCCAGCTCTACTCCTTGTGGGTAGTTTTATACAGTCTTTAGTAACTTACTAAACTAGCTGTCATTGCCCAGCTTTACTCCTTGTGGGTAGTTTTATACAGTCTATAGTACCTTACTTAACTATCTGTCATTGCCCAGTTCTATTCCTTGTGGGTAGTTTTATACAGTCTGAAGTAACTTACTTAACTATCTGTCATTGCCAAGCTGTACTCCTTGTGGGTAGTTTTATACAGTCTGGGGTAACATACTTAACTATCTGTCTTTGCCCAGCTCTGCTCCTTGTGGGTAGATTTATACAGTCTGTAGTAACTTACTAAACTATCTGTCATTGCCCAACTCTACTCCTTGTGGGTAGTTTTATACAGTCCGTAGTAACTTACTAAACTATCTGTCATTGCCCAGTTCTACTCCTTGTGGGTAGTTTTATACAGTCTGTAGTAACTTACATAACTATCTGTCATAGCCCAACTCTACTCCTTGTGGGTAGTTTTATGCAGTCTCTAGAAACTTACTTAACTATCTGTCTTTGCCCAGCTCTACTCCTTGTGGGTAGTTTTATAAAGTCTGGGGTAACATACTTAACTATCTGTCATTGCCCAGCTCTACTCCTTGTGGGTAGTTTTATACAGTCTGTAGTAACTTACTAAACTATCTGTCATTGCCCAGTTCTACTCCTTGTGGGTAGTTTTATACAGTCTGAAGTAACTTACTTAACTATCTGTCATTGCCCAACTCTACTCCTTGTGGGTAGTTTTATACAGTCTGTAGTAACTTACTTAACTATCTGTCTTTGCCCAGCTCTACTCCTTGTGGGTGGTTTTATGCAGTCTCTAGAAACTTACTTAACTATCTGTCATTGCCCAGCTCTACTCCTTGTGGGTAGTTTTATACAGTCTGTAGTAACTTACTAAACTATCTGTCATTGCCCAGTTCTACTCCTTGTGGGTAGTATTATACAGTCTGAAGTAACTTACTTAACTATCTGTCATTGCCCAGCTTTACTCCTTGTGGGTAGTGTTATACAGTCTTTAGTAACATACTTAACTATCTGTCATTGCCCAGTTCTACTCCTTGTGGGTAGTTTTATACAGTCTGAAGTAACTTACTTAACTATCTGTCATTGCCCAGTTCTACTCCTTGTTGGTAGTTTTATACAGTCTGAAGTAACTTACTTAACTATCTGTCATTGCCCAGTTCTACTCCTTGTGGGTAGTTTTATACAGTCTGAAGTAACTTACTTAACTATCTGTGCTTGCTCTGTTCTAGTCCATGTCAGCTGATAGTATTGTTCATGACCTAGGAGTAACCTTAAACTATTTGCCATTGTCCAGTGGTACTGCTGGTCAATAGACAGAATTACCTAATCTCTAGATCTGTCCCAAACGGATAGCCCCTAAGCTGCTCTTCATCTGACCAGAAGTACAAAACCTTGAGAATAGTGGATAAACAGGATTATTATGTCATTGTAAATCTCTCTATATATGACCCCTGTCATCTTGATATAATTATCATATATGAATTAATATGAATTTCTGTCATGTAACAACGTTAGTGGGGCTTTCTGAGAATAAACTGAACTTGAACTACAATGTCTAGAACTCTATTGTAACTCACCCCATTCTACTGATGTTGTTTGTAGTTGGATAGATTGTATCATTTAGGATTGAGTGTCTCAGCAAAGTAGTGACTGACATAAAGTTTTAATAAACTATTTTGTTCCTATTCAGATAATAGTGATATCGAGTTTCGCTTCCTATACCCCATTGGAGTACATGACTGCCACCGGGCGCTATGTGTACCCGGAATACGCTAACGTCATCGGGTGGATGATAGCCCTGTCCTCAATGTGTATGATACCCGGCTATGCTATCTATAAGCTAGCCATAACCAAGGGAACACTAAAGGAGGTACGTATCCAACCATTACACTTGAATAGGAAACTTACATTTGGTTAGCAGGGGTTAAGCAAATATACTTACAATTGATTATGAGGGGTTGGATGAATATACTTACAATATGTTAGCAAGGGTTGAATGAATTTACTTATACTTGGTTAGCAGGGCTGGATGAATATATTTATAAATGGTAAGCAGGGATGGATGAATATACTTATACTTGGTTGGCAGGGCTGGATGAATATATTTATAAATGGTAAGCAGGGGTGGATGAATATACTTATAATTTGTTAGCAAGGGTGGATGAATATACTTATAATTGATAAGCAGGGATGGATGAATATACTTATAATTTGTTAGCAAGGGTGGATGAATAAACTTATAATTGATAGGCAGGGATGGATGAATATACTTATAATTTGTTAGCAAGGGTGGATGAATATACTTATAATTTGTTAGCAGGGGTGGATGAATATACTTATAATTTGTTAGCAAGGGTGGATGAATATACTTATAATTTGTTAGCAAGGGTGGATGATTATGCTTATAATTGGTAATTGGTTAGGAACAGAACATTTGATGCCTGGGATTTTATCGAAAAAAATTAATTGTCCAAGAAAATGCTTGAATTCACCAAGCGTTCTAAGCCTAAGTGTAGAGTTACATTGGTCGTAGGCTACGAATGCTTTGAGGGTGTGGGTCAAGAGGCTAGGCCAGGTTGGTTTACATAAGGCACGCTGTACTATAACGTTTACTTTCAGTTGATATTTTACGTTTTTCAGCGATTTGCCTTGTGTATATCGCCTGAAAGCGAACATGAACAAATACGTCAGAAAAAGCAAGTGAAGCGGTTCCAGGTAAGTAGAGAGAAGAATATTGAACGGCTATCAGAGAACATAATTTACTGTGTAATACTGTTTGGTTTGAACGCACCCATGATTCATTAATGTGGAAATTCGTTAATCAGGACGATGTCACTTTTCACCGTTTTAACGAATCAAGGGAACATATTTGTTGTATGTTTCTTTGACAAGTGTTGACACTGTACAGAAAGTGATCGTTCAGAAGACGGGGTTTCCGAACTAACGGGGTCCTGGTGAACGGGACTTCACTGTACCCAGGGTCACCAGCTTACCATGGACTTTTTTAATAATTATTTCATCACAAGCAATTACATCTACAAACCCGTTCCCAGTATTTTTACATAAGTTATATCAATAGTATCACCTTTAATGTTAACTTACATCATACCATCTTCCCGAGGCAAGGTGGTGAACTGACTTTAAAAATCCAGTTTCCACCCTTGCCGAACTTGGCTGGAATTCCTGGGCTCGATCGTAGCGTCACCAGTGGTTATTACGAGTTATGTCCCTTTTAAGCCTCTCCTATGGACCAATCAGATTCCATCACTTGCATTTGTTTCAAACAAAACGGTGGCGCCCAGTCAAGACGATCTGATCGATAATCAAGATCTATGTTATGATAAAAACGGATCTTACATCGCGAAGTGCATCAAATCACGCGGGCATCTTTATTAAAAACATGAAAAGGTTTGGAAAATATCTGTTGACAACGAGTTCTTTGCAAATACTGCAATCGACCGAAATCTGCGCAACAGTTTACGAACCGGATTTCGATTTCGGTGCGCGATTTTGATTGGACTATGCATAGACTTGTCAGTCCAGTCAAAATGTAACTCCATAATACCAGCCAAGTTCGGCAAGAGTGGAAACTGGACTTTTATAGTCAGTTAACTCTCTTGCCTCGGGAAGATGACATCATACAGGCAAAGCTAGACTAACATTTGTCCAAGAAATAAAGTTATCTTATTGAAAAGAATATATCTACAAAATATAAAATATAATAGAGCCCAGAACAATGCCTAATCTAGAGCTAAGGCAATCTAGACTGGAGTTGGCTTCCTTTCTTAATTTATTTTCCAGGATCGGGGAGACAGACTAAGGCAAACTAGGCTTGAGTTGGCTTCCTTTCTTAATTTATTCTCCAGGATCGGGGAGACAGACTAAGGCCAGACTAAGGAAATAAATTTCCAGGATACAGTAATCCCTGGTTCTAATTATAAACTATTTTATTCAGAGGGAACACTGGCTGTCAGTATGAAGACCAGAGACGCCATTCGAGACGGCATTCTTCAGGAGGGACCACGTGACGGCGATAGTAACTAAAGACGTCTACCTGCCCATGGTTGGAGACAAGTATAGTGTGGCTCATGAACAGAGGTCATTTAGCTAGGGAAGTTTAAAAAAACAAGGAGTTGTTGCGTGATGGGCGACGGACCATGAGTACAAGTCTCATTTGTGCAACTAGGGAAGTGACTGGCCAAATGTGGACTACAACGATGGACTAGATTCCTAGATGAATATTGATATTTGAATATAGTCTAGCATACACGTATAGGGCGGTAGGCTGTGAGGTAGAGTATGTCGCAATCTGTTGAATACATTTAGAAGTAACGATGAAACTACACATCATATATTGTGACGTATTTCCCCTCCTTCGAACCGTTTACAGCCATTTGGCTCGCCTCGGTCCCGGTTATCTATGCGAGGAATTCATATTGTAACTGGATTTACTAGTTTCACTCGTTCGCGTGATTAAAAAAGTACACAATCTGTTGGCAGTTGTCACCTTCATATAGACATGCTGCTCGGTGTGAAACTTATTAACATTAAAAGCTCTGGGGTAATACCAACTATAAAGTTGGTTTACGGTTTGTGCTGAAATAATGCAATATCACTTCGCCGTTGCTGTTATTATTTAGGAAACGGAATAAACCGAGTGGATCAGAAAATAAGGAATATCTGTTCGGAAACATAAAGCATAAAACATGGAACACCATAAAGCAGTGAAACACAGAGAATGCCTAGCAACGTAAACATTCGATATTTACGCATAGTCCTGGGTTTCTAAAGCTTATATTTACCACGGAGTTGGTGTTCTCTGGGATTGTGATTTAGGTAGCTGAATAATGTTCCTACATCCCATGCCAACAGCGCCAGTACCACCACAGTGATGTGATGTCTTAATGTGGATTGAGTGTAGATATTGATATGATGTATATGTAAACGGGTGGGGAGTATCTCAGTGGATTAGCCTTACTTCAGAGGTAAATACAACAAGTGGAGCTCTTAAATATATAGAAGTTAGAGAGTTAACTTAAGAATCACCGCGATTTGTATAAGGTGATGGTATCGTGAGTTAATTTTAGAATCACCGCGGGTTTATATGATAACATTATTAATAACATATATATGTAATCTATGAACTGGGTATATGATTAACAAAAGTATGCATTGATTCGAAATAACGAGTCTGGCCAAATGAGTTGATTCTTGCAGGGTTCCCATTGTTCTTTTAAGGTACTGGTACTAACGGTTATACAGAACCTTTTTTTGGTAAAAAGTACTTACATTGTGATATTGTTATACATCGTTTCAAAGAAAGTGTTGTGAACAATGTGTTTAAGTAGACAACAGTCTAGATTTGGATACCTTTCATAATAATATGTATGTTTGTAATTTTCATACATTTGACCAAAATGTTAACACTTGATGATGTTTTCATACGAATACTGTAGTTTACGTCCGGTTGAGCGTCTTGTGTCCCGGGATTTATGATGTGCGCATATTATACATATACACCTGGAAAACGCTTATTTAATATCCATTTAAAATAGAAGTATATTTAGAACCTATCCTGCGTTAATTTTCTGACTAAAGTGGCATACTCGTATTGAAATATAGAAACCGAAATATCTTATATGATGATATGTTTTCTGACTGTTCAATGGCAATAATTATATTTGACTGTTCTTTCAGATGTTATCTCATTGAAATCAGACGATAGTATTCGCTACCGCTACAGCAAAGATCTGAGGACATCCCATTACTGGTCACGCCAGAACGACCTTTCGCGAACTGTGACCGACCGATGACCGACCAATGAAGTGACTAACGAGATGATCAAAATTAGCCAATAAGAAAGCAGCTTTACGGCACTAGTTTCAAAATGGTGGTTTCCATTTCAGATTAGGCTTGAAAAAATATTTGACAAAGTTCTCGATTCAAAATTTGAAAACTGAACAAAAGGACATTCTGGAATGTCTTATACAATCTATCAGTACTTCCCACGGGCTATGAAAATTCTTTTTTTTTTTAATGTTTATCCCATTGAAGCGAAAGACAGACGGTGTCATGCATTCGGAATCAGTCTTTTAGCCCGAAACTCTCGTTCGGAATACCTCATGTTAATCTTTTCGAGGTTGCATGATTAAAAGAAATACATTTCGACGGCCACATTCCTGATCTGGTAAGCGACGCTCTGATTGGTCGGATGAACGGTCGTTCTGATTTCCTCAGATCTTTGTTTAGCCATAGCATAGGCCTAAATAACTTTAGGTCCAGGGTCATAGCGGGAACTAAGATCTGATTTTAATTAGATCGTTTCAAGTGCTCATCCTCTGCTTCTTTGCATCATTTATGACCCAGTGATCGCGGCAATCAAGGGCAATGTTCTTGTTCCAGCTTTATAGTAGATATCGGCGGTTTCGACAGTTCAATGTCAGATGTTGGTATATCTAACATACATCGAAGTTCGGGATATATGAAAATGAAAGATGGAGCTTTTGTTCAGGTGTAAATAATAGTTGACGTAGAGTACAATTTAGTAAGTGTTGTATAATATGCAATGTATTCTTGTTGTTGCAGTTTAGTCTATTGACAAATCTATACATTTTTTTCCTTTTAGAAAACGTACCGTTGTTAAGGAAGAGGGCGACATTGTTAGGACATGTTTCTTTTCAGGAAGGTTCAGTCAGTCATCAGCTGGAGATTGTGAAATGTTCTTCCAGAATTCGTCGAAACTGCCTGTATATTTTAGGATAGAATAATAATGCCCCTGGTCATCTTTTTGGGAGAGATGGTTGTATTGGTACAATGTAACGTGTGGGTATTTTGTATAGTAGTTAGAAATAAATACGAAAGTAGTAAAATTTGTTCTGTTCGTTTCTTTATTTTGCCACAGCCAATCGAACAAGCCATTCCATATGGCATGTCCCTCCGATTCAACATTTTGAACATGAATCCAAGCGGTTTGTCGCTGATATTTGCTGAGCATTGTTCCGTCTCTTGAACGTGAACGTGGGTTTGAATCCCAGATTGGCCCTCAATAGGGTTCTTAGGTTGACAACACCTGAACCCATGCTCGTGGCTGCTTCTGAGTGGTGAATTATGAATGTCTACAATCTGCGTCACTTTGGGATTTCTTCACAGCGTTAACCACAACTCACGACAGTTCACCAACACAGAGATAGCTCTGAGCTTTAAATGGCTTGGAGAAGGATCTATATTTTTAAACAGTGAACATCCGTTTCTTACACATCAGATCTTGATGGACAATGTCTCTCACATCAGATCCTGGAGGACAGTGTCTCACACATCAGATCCTGGTGGACAGTGTGAACATCAGTGACTCACACATCAAATCCTGGTGGACAGTGTGAACATCAGTGTCTCACACATCAAATCCTGGTGGACAGTGAACATCCGTGTCTCACACATCAAATCCTGGTGGACAGTGTGAACATCCGTGTCTCACACATCAAATCCTGGTGGACAGTGTGAACATCCGTGTCTCACACATCAAATCCTGGTGGACAGTGTGAACATCCGTGTCTCACACATCAAATCCTGGTGGACAGTGAACATCCGTGTCTCACACATCAAATCCTGGTGGACAGTGTGAACATCCGTGTCTCACACATCAAATCCTGGTGGACAGTGAACATCCGTGTCTCACACATCAGATCCTGGTGGACAGTGAACATCCGTGTCTCACACATCAAATCCTGGTGGACAGTGTGAACATCCGTGTCTCACACATCAAATCCTGGTGGACAGTGTGAACATCCGTGTCTCACACATCAAATCCTGGTGGACAGTGAACATCCGTGTCTCACACATCAAATCCTGGTGGACAGTGTGAACATCCGTGTCTCACACATCAAATCCTGGTGGACAGTGTGAACATCCGTGTCTCACACATCAAATCCTGGTGGACAGTGAACATCCGTGTCTCACACATCAGATCCTGGTGGACAGTGTGAACATCAGTGACTCACACATCAAATCCTGGTGGACAGTGTGAACATCCGTGTCTCACACATCAGATCCTGGTGGACAGTGTGAACATCAGTGACTCACACATCAAATCCTGTTGGACAGTGTGAACATCAGTGACTCACACATCAAATCCTGGTGGACAGTGTGAACATCAGTGACTCACACATCAAATCCTGGTGGACAGTGAACATCCGTGTCTCACACATCAGATCCTGGTGGACAGTGTGAACATCCGTGTCTCACACATCAAATCCTGGTGGACAGTGAACATCCGTGTCTCACACATCAAATCCCGGTGGACAGTGTGAACATCCATGTCTCACACATCAAATCCTGGTGGACAGTGTGAACATCCGTGTCTCACACATCAAATCCTGGTGGACAGTGTGAACATCCGTGTCTCACACATCAAATCCTGGTGGACAGTGAACATCCGTGTCTCACACATCAGATCCTGGTGGACAGTGTGAACATCCGTGTCTCACACATCAAATCCTGGTGGACAGTGTGAACATCCGTGTCTCACACATCAAATCCTGGTGGACAGTGTGAACATCCGTGTCTCACACATCAAATCCTGGTGGACAGTGAACATCCGTGTCTCACACATCAGATCCTGGTGGACAGTGAACATCCGTGTCTCACACATCAAATCCTGGTGGACAGTGAACATCCGTGTCTCACACATCAAATCCTGGTGGACAGTGTGAACATCCGTGTCTCACACATCAAATCCTGGTGGACAGTGAACATCCGTGTCTCACACATCAAATCCTGGTGGACAGTGAACATCCGTGTCTCACACATCAGATCCTGGTGGACAGTGTGAACATCAGTGACTCACACATCAAATCCTGGTGGACAGTGTGAACATCCGTGTCTCACACATCAAATCCTGGTGGACAGTGAACATCCGTGTCTCACACATCAAATTCTGGTGGACAGTGTGAACATCCGTGTCTCACACATCAAATCCTGGTGGACAGTGAACATCCGTGTCTCACACATCAAATCCCGGTGGACAGTGTGAACATCCGTGTCTCACACATCAAATCCTGGTGGACAGTGTGAACATCAGTGACAAATCAGAGAGACAAACAACTTCAGCTGATCCAGTTTATTTTGACCCTTGGTATAAACATTCTCACATGTTCATTTGTTCAAATAGACTTCACACATAATACAATTTCATCAACATATTCATTCATCTTACTTTGTCACACAGCAGTCTGGGGATACTTAAACATTGTAAACTCTAACAGCTAAAAACATTTTAGTAACCTGTCTCTAGACAATACAAAGTGATAAGGACATATTACTTTTAATGCCCCATATAATATAGGTGAAATATATCAACTGTTTATTTTCTGAAGTCTACAGGGATTAAGCCCAATGAGTGAGTGAGTTTGGTTAACGCCACTTTGAACAATATTCCAGTTATATCAAGGCGTGTCAGCTTAATGTGGGAGGAAAGCCCGAGTTGATGCATGGGTATGGTGCTGAAAAACCTAGAAACATAACCAGGAATCAAACCCACGATCATAGGATTCTGGTGTGCCCAAGGGACGCAACTCTGCATAGCGAATTGCAGCACCAAGACGATCTTGGCCCCGTGCCCCCTAAATCCAATGACTGTTTGCATCCTTATAGAGGCAAAAGAATTTGTGTACCATTAACTGAATTATTATCAATAATAATGATATGTACAATGTAGCTTTACAGATTGTTCTACACAACAAACCTCTTGCCAAGACAGACAAGAATAGATTACTGCTAGGTTAAACAAGACAGCCACACCTCAAAGTTTCTTTCACTTTTCAGCTGCTGCATTTTTTAAATGAAAATAATGGGACACCTCAACAAAAATTGTGTAAAGAGTTTGACATTTTGAATTTGATAAAAAATTCAATATATATAAGGTACTTTTTCCTTTGAGTTATGTCTTACTGAAAATATAAAAAAATGACAGTACACCTCTAGTGCATTGTCAAAGTAGGTATTGTCAATGGTAGGTAAGCATCACATATTACATGAACTGATTGTCTTCTTGCAGAAATAAACCATCCTCTATTATTACATCATAGAAAGGGACATACATTAATATACAAAATTTCATTTTCTGCACTGATTCATATTTAAAGAATATCATATATCAAGTAATTACTTTCTAATATTCACCAATTGAATATATTATTCATGAGAAAGAACAAAAATGTCATAATCTCCTATCAGATAAAATCATTATTATTTTGTTTCATAAAAAATTCTGACATTGTTGTAAAGACAAATACTTACTTTGTAACTTAAAATATGCCCCAAAAAGAGGGTAACAAATGTGTACACATATACAAAATTAATAAAATGCAAAATTAAACTAGAATGTGATATAGAGAACCTACATCTTGCATGGACATGGACACTTCTGAGGACTATACAAGCATGGTCCTTAAAGCATAGAAAGATACAATCATTTCTCATAATGTTTAGGAAACCTGTTATTTTCTTTGTATCATATTCCATGTTTTTCCATTAACACTTATCATACATCAAGAAATATCTTCTTACAAGCAATTCCTGTAAAAAATACTGTGGTAGCATTGTTTCAAAGCAGCACAGAACAATCAGGCCACAACAAATTCATTTTAACATTGTATTCTAATGATACTATTTTCCTTAAGTTAGCAAAGGGATAAGGGAACATCTGTTTTTTTCAAATGACATTTGTTTTCGAGGACAAAAAATCCATAAAATCTTCTCTGCACATTAACTGATTAAAGGAGATTAATAGATTCGGAACATCATAATTCATTTGTTGTGGCCTTGTGTTGCCTGAATGTGTTTTATTGTCTGCAGTAAAACTTCCACTCATGCAATAGTACTCATCATACAGGAGAGGGGTGGGACCTGGGAGTTTGAAAAATAAATAAATAATAATTTCTACCAGAAAAACATAACTTTAGCAGAAAAAAATTTCCTCAGGTTTTATCGCTGGACATGAATATCCTGTAAAAAAAATTGCTTGTGAAAAGAATTTAAATCCTAAGGCTTATCTTTACAGGACTAAACTGCATGTTTTGAACCAGTGACCTAAACCTATCCATCCCAGGTGTCGCCCCAGAATATCAAAAGACGACCCCTCGGGAAGAAACTCAGTTACCGGTCACATCTCTAAACTTCAAATATTAGTATTCATTCAATAATTATGTTAATAACGTCACACAAATGTGTAAATATTATATCAGTAGTTTATAAAAAAAAGTACAGGCCACAAACAGAGGTCTAAAGCATGCCAATATAAGCAATAGTCTCATTGCTCTATTTCACAAAAATCGTAAATTTCAGAATTGGGTTTATTTTGACCTTTCCATTTCTTAAATACATAACCAAAGCCTGCTTATATAAGATCTTGGAATACACCAATGAGCAGCAAAACACATTATCGGCATACTTTAACTGGACACAGCTCACACTGACGTCATGCATCTGGCGTGACCAGTTTCATGTCCGTAATAACAAACACTCAAGACATTTTCTCAGAGAAGATCTTTTTTAAAATGAAACCTCTTAAACCTACTATTGCTCCGATAGATTAACACTTTTAATTAAATATGTCAGGCAGGACAGAAATCTTTCCCCTGTTTTCTTAGTTTCTTGGATGCAAGATGCAGATGTAACTTGTTGTGATGTTAGGGTTATATTCCCCCAAAATCTAAAAATACATGTTATAACAAAAATGGAAAGAAAAACAAACCACATTTTCAATCAAAACATAGCACTGGTTATTATTTTTTTTTAATATGAAACATTCAGACAAGAAAAGAGTGTCTGGCCAAAGCATACCACTGGCCAATCTTAAGTTTCTTGCCCAAAGGAAACAACCAGGTCAAAATATTTCAAGAAGAAATGTTAGTTACCGATGTGCAAATACAAACTGTTCAACATGGTCAACTAGGAAATCTGTTTCAATCACTTAGGCACAAAATATTCAACACACTGGAAAGAATAAATTATTGCAAAAAAACATGAAACTACCCTCAGTTGTGTATCTTATTTCAATAAATATGCAATGAACATGTTCTCAACATTCATACAGCACAATGAACCAAGATGATTCTCCCCAGGAAGATGTTCGCTGTACAACAGGGTTGTCAGGATGCTTATACCAGTATTGCAGCTATGTTCTGATAGGGAAGAACGCTGCTTATCTTCCTAAGGCAAGGGAGTTAACTGACTATAAGTGTTCAGTTTCAATTCTTGCCCAACCGGGCTAGAATTCTGAAGTCATATTTTGGCAGAACTAATGAGTCTATGCATAGTCCAATCAAAAGCACATTATGAAATTGGACATCCAATTCGTAAACCTTTTTAGACTGACAGAAACTTTACATGACACAAATTGTAGTCTCACCTGTTTCATATATTACTATTGATTTAATGATGAATATTGTCATATCGTACGATTAGACTATTAAACTTAATTTTTTGGTATATAATATTGACGTGTTAGGAGGCCTAAATTGATGGAGTTGAAATTATCACTCAGTAACCAAAATGAATCCTCACAATATGTAGAACATTTTCTGAAAAGATGATATTCAGTTTCTTAAAGGTCAGCGTTAATACCTTGATGGACAGACTGATGACTGACGAAGCCCATGACATGAGTGAGTGAGTGAGTGAGTGAGTTTGATTTTACGCCGCTTTTAGCAATATTCCAGCAATATCACGGCGGGGGACACCAGAAATGGGCTTCACACATTGTACCCATGTCGGGATTCGAACCAGGGTCTTTGGCGTGACGAGCGAACGCTTAACCACTAGGCTACCCGACCGCACCCCCCATGACATGAGCTTGCATTGACCATGTCAAGGTTAGCTAACACAATGTGCAAAATATTAATCAGTATTTTAAGAACAGAAATATATAATGTTAACACCAAAAACACTTTTCTAGTTCCGCTTAATCTGAATTACTTGGTTCAAGAGTTAAAAATAGAAACACTAAGTAGCCATTTTGGTTAGGGTCAGAGACTATCATTTAGATGTTAAAATCTCAGCAACTGACAACATAATATTTCTCAAAAGGATCTCTTTCTTTTTCTTCAAAAATCCTAACAAGTGTCCCCATGAACAGTAAAATATGTGTTAAGTAACTTATTCAATGAACCAATGGGCAAAACAGTTCCTGTCTCTGTACACAGCATAATGGCAATATCTCCATTCTCCTCTATACGTCCCACATTAGCAGCAATAAAACGAGAATGGTTTAATGACCCTGTACTAACTGAAAATCACATTCAAATTTTCAAACTAAAATCGCAAGCCATAATCTCACTAAGGTATTAAATTGTCACCATATTCCCCACAACATCCACAACACACGATCACATGAACATGAATTCTATGTTTGTCTTGCTATCCCATGTGGACTATGTACAATACATGTTGCCGTACACAACACCTATAAATAAGATATCACATTTGTAATAGCTGTGACACTGTCGTCACCTCATACCTTGTCAGAAACGTCTTGTGCACATGATTGAATACAATACTTATTGCATACACAAACACAGGGTAAGTTGATGGTCTCACAATGTGTCCAGTGATGGGGTTCCCTATTCATCCAAGCTCCAATGACAACAGTTCAATTATTCATCTTTGGAGGCACACATCACGTTTTGTATTCAACACAACTCAATCTAACTACCTGTGACTTGAGTCCAAACACTTGGCTGAAGTTCCTGCATGTCTGTGTGTCCTAGTTCCTCTGAAAATGGCCTGTTTATTTGTATCAACACTACATGATCTAAATGGGATCTTATGATGATGCAAGCAGGCATAAAGCTTTTCAAAATGTGACCTTCGACAACATGAAACAGCAGTCACTGAGAGTTTCGATGTTCACCGGATTCTGATGTCTTCCGGCCAGGTCAGGATAACCTTCAATAGCAGGATTACTTAACCATCAGCAACAGTGACTTGCTCGCCTCTTCTGCCTTGACACTTAGATGACGATGAGTAGGATCTCATGGCTGGTCATGGAACCCCAAGCCACAGGAACTGACCGCAGTCATATCCTGTACTATAGGATATAACTCCCATACAATCCAAAACATAGCATTTAAAAAATATTGCTATCAACAATGTGTGAATGTTTAGCGGAGTGATGTCCTCAATGCAGCCAGTTTTCTGTGCCCTCAGTGTCTTGTAGACGAAACTTTCACGCTATCATTTTCCCACACCATAAACCACACTCTGTATCAAATAAGATAATGCCAACACTACAAAATGCACTCCACCATGTTCAAAGGATGATTTTGCCATATTGCAAAGAGCTTACCATGTAATCCAAGAACTCAAAAATATAATCCTTACCCTTGCTATGACACAAATGTGATCTTGCCATGACACAAATGCCATCCTGCCTATCACACAATGATCATTTTACCTCTTCTGAATCGGACCTTCCCAGCACAAGGAGAAACAAGCCACATCCAACAAGACGTCCTTTGTTAGTGCTGAAAGTTAAGTCTGCAGCCAGGAACACAGGTGATGGCAGTACAACATGGCAGCAACAGGGAGGTTCAGAAAAGGTTTGATTTGTCAAATTGTGTCTGTTACTTCACCCATGTGAGAAGGAACTAGTTCCACTGTTCTGGCATTCCTGTGAATTCATCCAACAATAACAACATAGTTTCCATGTCAACCTCTGGCACAGGGCTGTAGGGGTCATGTCAAAAGTTCGCATTTTACTTTTGAAGGAGGGAGCATATTTTGTACTCATCTTTTCCACCAAGTGCCATTGGAGATTGTCGCTCCAAAATTCCCACGAAAAAATTTGATGCAAGCTTTTGACACACCCCTTACTTCATCATACTCCTGGCACTTTAGCTCCATATATAAGCTGCTGCAGCTTGCGAGGTCGAGGACGCTTCCGTTTCGGCCGGGAGCGACTTCGGTAATATTGATTCAACAAGAAGAGCACTACAAGTCCAGTGCTGAGAAAAGCTAATACTGGGAACACATTAGATGTGTCCTGTACAACATGCGGTCCTCCATACTGGGGGTCCGCTATAAGCCCGGGTTTGTCTTTAATCCCCGAGATCGGGTTCAGTAGATTGTCTTTCCCCTTCACTGGGGGCAGAGGGGGTTCAAGCTCAATGAACATCAGTTTCTGATGTTGATATAGGTTCCTGAAACAGATGGAAGTGATTGTTGGATACTCTCCTATGTCAGTCTGGAGCATACAGTTCCCTGTCATTTGGAAGATGCTTGTTTTAATGCATATACTATTTCATGGTTAACATTAAAATGTGAGTGAGTGAGTGAGTTTGGTTTTACGCCGCTTTTAGCAATATTCCAGCAATATCACGGCGGGGGACACCAGAAATGGGCTTCACACGTTGTACCCAAACATTCAAATGATGGTGTCACCATATATATTCCAGTTACATTAGGCATGTGTGGCTGATCCACTTAAACAATGTACAGGGATTCTACCTATGCTACTTATGATAGCATTAATTTATTGAGCAGATGAGTCTCAGCACACAGGACGTGGGTTACTAGCCTGCGTTACTTATGATGTGCTGTCTTATTGAGTGGATGAGGCCCAGCACACAAGACGTGGGTTACGTGCCTGCGTTACTTACGATGGTGCTGATCTATTCAGCAGATGAGGCTGAGCCAGCAAGACGTGGGTTACTAGCCTGTGTTACTTACGATGGTGCTGACTTATTGAGAGAATGAGGTTGAGTCCACAAGCCATGGGTTACTAGCCTGTGTTACTTGCCTGTGTTACTTATGATGGTGCTGACTTATTGAGAGAATGAGGTTGAGTCCACAAGGCATGGTTTACTAGCCTGTGTTACTTACGATGGTGCTGACTTATTGAGCAGATGAGGCTGAGCCAGCAAGATGTGGGTTACTAGCCTGCGTTACTTACGATGGTGCTGACTTATTGAGCAGATGAGGCTGAGCCAGCAAGATGTGGGTTACTAGCCTGTGTTACTTACGATGGTGCTGACTTATTGAGCAGATGAGGCTGAGCCAGCAAGATGTGGGTTACTAGCCTGCGTTACTTACGATGGTGCTGACTTATTGAGCAGATGAGGCTGAGCCAGCAAGATGTGGGTTACTAGCCTGCGTTACTTACGATGGTGCTGACTTATTGAGCAGATGAGGCTGAGCCAGTAAGACGTGGGTTACTAGCCTGCGTTACTTACTATGGTGCTGACTTATTGAGTAGATGAGGCTGAGCCAGCAAGATGTGGGTTACTAGCCTGCGTTACTTACTATGGTGCTGACTTATTGAGTGGATGAGGCCCAGCACACAAGACGTGGGTTACTAGCCTGCGTTACTTACTATGGTGCTGACTTATTGAGTGGATGAGGCCCAGCACACAAGACGTGGGTTACTAGCCTGCGTTACTTACTATGGTGCTGACTTATTGAGTGGATGAGGCCCAGCACACAAGACGTGGGTTACTAGCCTGCGTTACTTATGATGGTGCTGACTTATTGAGTGGATGAGGCTGAGCCAGTAAGACATGGGTTACTAGCCTGCGTTACTTACTATGGTGCTGACTTATTGAGTGGATGAGGCCCAGCACACAAGACGTGGGTTACTAGCCTGCGTTACTTACGATGGTGCTGACTTATTGAGTGGATGAGGCTGAGCCAGTAAGACATGGGTTACTAGCCTGCGTTACTTACTATGGTGCTGACTTATTGAGTGGATGAGGCTAAGCCAGTAAGACATGGGTTACTAGCCTGTGTTACTTAGGATGGTGCTGACTTATTGAGCAAATGAGGCTGAGCCAGCAAGATGTGGGTTACTAGCCTGCGTTACTTACGATGGTGCTGACTTATTGAGCAGATGAGGCTGAGCCAGCAAGATGTGGGTTACTAGCCTGCGTTACTTACTATGGTGCTGACTTATTGAGTGGATGAGGCCCAGCACACAAGACGTGGGTTACTAGCCTGCGTTACTTACGATGGTGCTGACTTATTGAGCAGATGAGGCTGAGCCAGCAAGATGTGGGTTACTAGCCTGCGTTACTTACGATGGTGCTGACTTATTGAGCAAATGAGGCTGAGCCAGCAAGATGTGGGTTACTAGCCTGCGTTACTTACGATGGTGCTGATCTATTCAGCAGATGAGGCTGAGCCAGCAAGATGTGGGTTACTAGCCTGTGTTACTTATGATGGTGCTGATTTATTGAGCAGATGAGGTTGAGCCCACAAGACGTGGGTTACTAGCCTGCGTTACTTACGATGGTGCTGACTTATTGAGCAGATGAGGCTGAGCCAGCAAGATGTGGGTTACTAGCCTGCGTTACTTACGATGGTGCTGACTTATTGAGCAGATGAGGCTGAGCCAGCAAGATGTGGGTTACTAGCCTGCGTTACTTACGATGGTGCTGATCTATTCAGCAGATGAGGCTGAGCCAGCAAGATGTGGGTTACTAGCCTACTTTACTTACGATGGTGCTGACTTATTGAGCGGATGAGGTTGAGCCCACACAAGATGTGGACATGTTGGCAGGGGACGATGACGAGCAGTACCCAGGTGTCCCTCCAGCACCTTGGAGTACCGGTGTAGATGATTCCCTGGGGAGAGATGTCAATTCAGCAACTTAGTGGGAGCATAAACAGATAATGAAACTATAGCCGTGATATTGCTGGAAGATTGCTAAAACCAACGTAAACCATGCTCACTCATTCACTATTTTGTTTGTCAACTTTTAAACTTTGGGGCAACAGAGACTTCCTTTATTCAAGTCCATTCTATACATGAAGACACACTTCATCAGCAAGGCAAGAGCTTATTCATCCTTTATTTTAGCACATTCTAATCCACACCCAACCCAGTCCACATATAAGTTGCTTCATAACAAAAGCAAGGGATACCAAGGACAACTACAGCCCTGAAGTGCTCTAATCTCATTCAAATTAAATCTTAGTTCTCGGTATGGCAGAACAAAGAGCTGAGGACATCCCATTACAGACCAATCAGAGCGTGTCAGAATATGTTTTCTAATAATGCAAAATATTTAACACAGGGTATTCCGAACGACAGTTAGGCTACGGGCTTAATGACTGAATCCATACACTCTTGGCCATCTATTAGCCATTCGAGAATGTTCTTTTGTTCAGTTTTCAAATTTTTAATAGAGAATTTGTCAAAACATGTTTGAAGTGTAGTCACCAGTTTGAAACTAGTGCCATAAAGCACGAGAAGGCTGCATTCAAATGGGCTAATGTCGACTTCTTGTCACTCAGTCCATTGGTCAGTAAAAGTTCGCGAAAGGCCGGTCTGACGTGACCCGTATTGGGATGTCATCAGATCTTTGTTTAGCGGTAGCGAGAACTAAGGTCTGATTTAAAAGAGATTGCACAAATTCCATAAGTCAGCACAAAAAATCTTGTGAATCGGTAAATAATGAAAGAGGAAGGACAATGTCCGTATGATTTTATCACTAACCTTCCATCCTCTCTGGAAGATCAATAGCCACGGACAAAGAGACCTTCTCCTGGTTGGAGAAGATTGGCAGCAACGTGTTGTAGGCTGTATACTCCAGCAGGGCACTCAGCATCCAGAAACAGTCTGAAACAAACACACCCTCAAATATCACCTAACCAGATCAGTCAGTGTTTTAGTTATACGACGAAGCTTGTTAATAGTCTGGGCCAGACAATCCAAATGCAGCATTTAGCAATATTACAGCTATATTTGTGATGAAACCCACTAGAGGTACAATGTCGGTGCCTTGACACAACTCAACATACAATACAAACAAAGTCTTATTAAAGTAGTGGAGGAATAAAATATCTGCTTGTTGACTTGTACTGTGAGGCTATTCCTGCCCACCTTTCTGCATGTGGCTTGTATCCAGGCAGTTGGAGTCTCCATACAGCACCACCCGGCCTCCGCTCCCTGCAGGAATCTTTGTCTGATGTAGCCCCAGCACCGGCACACTGTCCGTCATCTTGGTGTCTCCCTTCAACACCTCGTAACCTACACACAGAGAGTGTAAACATCAACACCTCGTAACCTTCACACACACAGTGTAAACATCAACACCTCTTAACCTACACACACAGTGTAAACATCAACACCTTGTAACCTACACACACAGTGTAAACATCAACACCTCGTAACCTACACACACACAGAGTGTAAACATCAACACCTCGTAACCTACACACACAGTGTAAACATCGATACCTTCCAACCTTCATATAGAGTGTAATAAACATCAACATGGACACTTCTTCAACACCTCGTAACCTACACACACAGAGTGTAAACATCAACACCTCGTAACCTACACACATTATCATGGATAATGACTTCAATAGATTGGAGGAATCAATTCACTGATGCACCGATGTTGCTGTTTATTGCTGTTTTGTTAGCAAGTCTAACAATTATTGTCAACATTCTACACCCGAGAAAACATTAGTTAACATGTATATGGTAATCTGAAGTAAAAGCTGTTGTTTTTCTAAAAATACATTCCTTGAGCAATGAATGGTTTAAAGCAAGTGTGTAACTCTTACCTTGATTTTTCAAAGACTGGAGAACTAGAACCCCTTCCTCAGGGAATTTGGCTATACTGGTGCCCGACGCGTAGTACACTGGAAATGGAACATCATTTTCATCAATAGCAAGAACTAGATCATGTTGAAATTCCATTAGGAGATGAAAGTTAGCATAACTTGTATAGCACCTGAAGTGTAACTGATCCCCTTTTTGTCTGTGTGTCCATGTGCATGTGTGTTTGTTGTTTCATGCCACACTCAACAATATTTCAGCTATATAATTTGCAGCCTGTAAATACAAAAGTCTGGACCAGACACTTAAGTCTGTATATTGTGAATAACGTTCCACGCAATCTGGGCATGTTGAGACGCCATCAACCAAGTCACCTGATCCATTAAGTCCCCGGTTATGACCAGCCTAGGCTGCGAGGGACCAATTCTAACCTGGGGTGATCCGCTCTGATTCTGAGTAGGTCCAGTCAGCCTGGTCAAGATCAGGGACTGAATTACGAGTGTAAGAGTTATCTCCCTTCCTTAACTGTCAACACCAGTATATCACACTGATTTACTTACTGTCGTGATCTCCTACTGTAAAATCTCCTTCGTACACTTGATCACTAGAGGAGGGAGAGAAATATGAACAGATACAACAAAATTACTCAAATGTGACATAACTTGACTCTTGCAAAAACTTGAAGTAGCCTCATATCTTTGATACAGTGCCTTTCCCAAGCATTCTGAAGTGCTATGTTGCCATGGGGAAAGGATTCAAGGATCTTTTCGATTTCCAATAATATCTTATATATAATATATTTTTCACAGTCCTGGTCTTTCCAATCTATACAAGCCATCATTAATCAAATATAGTAATGAATGTAGTCAGTTATCTTACAGCACAAACCTTCTTACATCCATTTAAGGGAGCATAATGTCAAAGAGTTTGAATGTTATCAAAGTTGCCTGCAAGGATACACACTTATACCATACAAAGCTTCATACCTGAATGCCATTCCAAGGGGTGACAGGAGGTCGTTAATGGCTGGAATATTAGCTCCACCAGTGTCTGGCATCCACCACTGTCTGTAACATCCCAAACATAAAGCTATGTCAACAGTTGGTCATCACAGGTGTCCTTCACCCAAGTACTGCAACATGCTCAACACCAACTCCACTACATGACCTTCCTATAACAGATTCAGGGGATGATGACACACAATCAGCCAGGTGTCCTTCACCCAAGTACTACAACATACTCTGCACAAACTCCACTGCATGACCTTTCCATAACAGATTCGGGGGATGATGACACACAATCAGCCAGGTGTCCTTCACCCAAGTACTACAACATGCTCAACACCAACTCCACTACATGACCTTCCTATAACAGATTCAGGGGATGATGACACACAATCAGCCAGGTGTCCTTCACCCAAGTACTACAACATACTCAACACCAACTCCACTACATGACCTTCCTATAACAGATTCAGGGGATGATGACACACAATCAGCCAGGTGTCCTTCACCCAAGTACTACAACATGCTCAACACCAACTCCACTGCATGACCTTCCTATAACAGACTCAGGGGATGATGACACATTCAGCCAGGTGTCCTTCACCCAAGTACTACAACATGCTCAACACCAACTCCACTGCATGACCTTCCTATAACAGATTCAGGGGATGATGACACATTCAGCCAGGTGTCCTTCACCCAAGTACTACAACATACTCAACACCAACTCCACTACATGACCTTCCTATAACAGATTCAGGGGATGATGACACACAATCAGCCAGGTGTCCTTCACCCAAGTACTACAACATGCTCAACACCAACTCCACTGCATGACCTTCCTATAACAGACTCAGGGGATGATGACACATTCAGCCAGGTGTCCTTCACCCAAGTACTACAACATACTCAACACCAACTCCACTGCATGACCTTCCTATAACAGATTCAGGGGATGATGACACACAATCAGCCAGGTGTCCTTCACCCAAGTACTACAACATACTCAACACCAACTCCACTGCATGACCTTCCTATAACAGATTCAGGGGATGATGACACACAATCAGCCAGGTACACAATGTATCCACCCAATCTTCAATAATCCCTTGCATGGGAAACTAGGATCCTATTCTGCTCTGGAATCTCTACAGGAACGTATGATGTAATATGGGTGAGTGTTTGCATTTATTTCCCTGTCTATCAAACATGAATACAATGTCACATAACTGTACTTCCATCATCAGCAAAATGAAGTATGTGTTATTACTGAAACACATACCTGGTATTTTCATCGTAGAACTTAACCTTCTTCATGACGGAGACATTATACCAGTCGGCAAACACGATGACAGACAGCCCTTGATCGATGTCCCGCTTCAACTTGGTCACCTCTTCTGGGAAATACTCCTCCTCAGCATCAACAATCAACAGAGTTCCTTGCAAACAGATGAAAGACACAGCTCACCAATCTGGGACATGAAGGTACAGAAGATACTGGCTCAAGTCACAGTCCGACAACTAAGCTGTATCACGGCATAGCGACATAATACTCGGCAGGTAAACAAATGGCTGATACAATGATCACACAATAATTGCTGGCTTGTGATAATATTGTCTATAGTCCTTCACTGGTGCTAAATAAGCAGGATCAATATTGTAAAACTTTCTCCTCTCAGCAGCCATGTTTGCCACCTGATCCCCCTTTCTTGCAACCAAAGAGCCCCACTCCACAATGCAACCATAAACTCAGGACACCAGGGATGAATCAACTGAAGCATCTCCCCTGAATAAATAATACACATTATTCAAGAGGGCTACTTATTGAGCTCATCATTATCAATTACAGTCTCATGTTTCTCTCATCGAGTGACGAGGGGAGAGGAGATATTTTCAAGAGTGGCAAAGCCCTCTTTCCCCAAGGAATACACAGCGGTCAAGTAACAAAAATGGCTCGATTGACGAATTAAATGAGAAATTTACAGTTTATAACGAAACTTATTCAAGAGAATAATAACAAATGACAAGAAGCCAGACACTTGCGATAAAGGGAGACAACTTGCAGGGAGGTAGATCGTGTGTGACAATATTTCTGTCAAAGTGTTATGTTAACTGCAGCAAAATATCAAGTGTTATGTTGACTGCAATGAAAACATCACTTTTCACAACTTGAGGAAAGCCAGTCTTTCACACTGAAGTATGTAAAGACCAATGACACTCACCATACTGACTAGCATCAAAGCATGTAAATGGAGAACCTGAAACACAAGCAAAGAAAATATAATCAAATGTATTTAATATGTACCCAATGAAAAGTACAGGGTTTCCAAGTATTTAATTAAAATATCGCACTGATGGCAAGCGCTTGGCAAATACTTTCACTCTCAAGATAAAGTCATACAAATATGGCGAAAACGAAAGTTCTCTGGAAGGTCTTTTGTACCATAGATGAGACTCGTTAGTATTTTCATCTTGGAGTAATTAGAGCAAGAGTAAAATGCTATCATGCAGGATGGAGATTTGTTTTTTTAGATCTGAAACAGATGGAATATGATGTGCAGACATTCCTCCTCACCAAGAACCTCTACAAAGTATCCACTGCTCCTGAGATGCTGGTACATATCCTTGAAGTTGGTGTGAATGTGATCCCCATTCCTGCACAAACAGGAAATAAATCAATGGGAAATCTAGTAAAACACCCGGTGTTGGGACCTGTCTCAAATAGCGACATTGTGTGTGCTGATCAGAATAATACTGACAACCTAGGCTTGGAGGCATAACCCTGAAAGAATATTGTCCTGAACATCACTACCAGTGGTCAGAGGTTGAAAACAAAATACAACAAAGCAGCAAAAGCCTTTATCTAAAGTGATCTTTTCATGGTATAGTCAAGAGGCAGCAGCAAGCTACTTGGAGCGTTACTGTAAAGGAATCAGATACGTAAAATATATACTTCGCTTTTAATATCTACTATTCAAGACAAATCTTATTATTAAACAGAAATTTGCGTCACATTATCACATAAGACAAGTTAAAAAGAAGAAGATTTTCTAAGCATGAATGTTGATGTGTTACCAGTCGAGAGGATCGTTCTTCATCCTGAGATTGTCTCGAGGGAAGTAGCCCGGAGGATAGCGGAGATTGTGGTACTGATCCCACAGAATACGTTTACTGAAATACACACAAGCATGTCAACAGACTGATTGCCACGTCCACCTTGAAAATCCAGTGCATCATATCTCATATTACAATACCCGGGACCTATTTACTGCAAGCAAGTATTTACATGATTTATGAGCTGAGAATAAAAATCTAGTGCACACTGATCCAATGACCGGAGTAATAATGTAGCACTTTGAGCATGCACCGAGTGTATGGAGGCTAGCGCAATATAGGTATGTACACATTATTATGATGATGATTATGATTATGATTATTATTATTATTCCAGAGTAGTATGGTAGAGATAACTCTTGTACATGTGATTTTATTATTATTCAGTGTCTGTTATTTAGTGTTTCCTATTCTGTAGTTATCTTTAATGTATAATTATTGGTTAGGATACTTGAAATGTAGTTCATGTGTCCTTCATGTTTCAAGCCTTTCACAAACCCAAGCCACGACCTGCTCAACTGATTGGCAAAGCTAACCCTCTGAGTTAACCCTTTGTCTCACTGCATGTACTCAGTCAGCAGTCTTGTGTTTGCACAGACAAATTGACAGCAAACCATTTAAATCAGGTGAGTTTACTATGTTTACCTTTTATATATATTTGTTGCAGTATATTAATCCTGTACTATTAGTAAACTAAAAGTGTTTAATATTATCTAATCTCTATATAATCTATTTAAGTAATTGCAGTAAACTAGGCTTATAAATTGTAAGCTTTTGTAATTTCTAACATACAACTTTTCTGTCTCTTTATTCTTGTATGAATGAGACAAGAGTGTAAGTTCTGTTTACGGAATAGGTTATGTTTCAAATGTTTTGTGATTAATTCTGTGTAATATGTAGGAGTTATATCACATTATGTAAATAGTATAGCTGTATTACTCATTGTTATAAAAGTAAAGTTTATAGTTAGATATTATTCTGGAAAGTGGTGGCAATGTGGTCGAGAAGACTCCCCGATTTCAACTACAGGTTAGGCAGACCATTACATGTGTAGTCTGTTTTACATTGCGTAACATACTAAATGTGTCACACAATAATTATCATGTAAACTAGTACCTACCTACCATCAAACAAACAAAACGTAATATCTATTTATCATATGCATTTATCATTTGTAAGAGATCATCATAATCTTATTACACTTGGAATAATTATCATCTTCCTGTACATTGTACACAACTATTATAAAAGTAAAACATATTGATTACATTCTACTGATTTATTTTAATTATTATTCCTTTTTATTCTTACTCTTTCATATTACTCTCTGATTTGTGGAATAACCGGGTCACACCCACAGCACGTGTTTGACAACTTCGCACCTTCACAATCTCATTAAAATCAGACCTTAGTTCTCGCTGTCGCTAAACAAAGATCTGAGAACATCCCATTAAGGGTCACGTCAGAACGACCTTTCCTCCAACCAATCAGAGCCTCGCTTACCAGATCATGAAAGTGACAGTCGGAATGTGTTTTCTAATCATGCAACCACGAAATATTTAACACAGAGTATTCCGAACGACAATTACGGGTTTTATGATTATATCCATACAATATAGGCCATCTATAAGCCATTCCAGAATATTCTTCATATCAGTTTCAATTTTTTTAATCGAGAATACGCCAAAATATGTTTCGAAGCGTAGTCTCCAGTTTAAAACTAGTGTCGTAAAGCTCGAGAAAGCTGCCTTCTGATTGGCTAATGTCGATTTCTTGTCGGTCATTTCATTCGCGAAACGTCGTTCTGACGTGACCCGTAATGGGATGTCTTCAGATCTTTGTTTAGCGGTAGCAAAAAATAAGATCTGATTTTAATGAGATTGGCACCTTCACTTCCTGCTACAGTAGTGAGACTGAGGAAAGGAAGTCCTGTACCATAAGATACTCACAGATCTATACAGATGGCATGCAAGCTGAGTACTGGAAATATAACTACTTGTATCAATCATGCAATTGTATTGGATGGCTATTGTGTGCATTGGTGCAAGCTCAGTGAGTGAGTGAGTGAGTTTGATGGGATTAACGCTGTTGTGAACTGAAATCCACTTATATCACAGATTGTCAGCTTAATGGGAGAAGAAAACCCTTAGGTGTCAGACATTTACCACTGGTGAAATCCACCAGCACTGGTATGGTGCCGATGAAACATAATTGGGGCGAACCAGGATTCGAACCCACGATCATAGATTTCTGGCGTGCCCGAGTGATGTAACTCTGCACAGCAATTATCGGCGTATTAGGTGACCGGGCGACCTGCGCCCACTATTGCCAGCTTAATGTGGGAGGTAACCCAAGGTGTTGCAGGCATTTATCACTTTGGAGCAAACCAACAAGCATAGAAATAGTGAGGACTAATCAGGGATACTAACTGGGGCAACCTGGGAATCAAAACCATGATGAGGGGATCTTGGCAGTTACCTCTTCTGAACTAAGTGACCTTTGGGCCACCTGACACTGATGTCTGTGAATACTCACCTTCGTGGGGGAGTTGGAATGATTTTAACCCTGATTGGGAGTTTTACAGTAGATTGTCTCACATCTTTTTCTTCACTCTGAAATCAATGAAACATAAAACTGATCACATCCTGTAAAATGAACAATACCAACAAAAGTTATAATTTGACAGATCTCTGCTTTTGTCAATCAATTATTTTATCAGTACTTTCAAACATGGATTGAATATAATCACCATATTGTTGTTAATTTTCGTGCGCACCATATCATGTAAAGTAATGTTTGAAATGAATCTATTACCTCGGCAGGCGACTCCACTGTAAGAGTTATCTGTCCCTGCGCAATGCCTTCCCACGTTGCTGCATTCTTGGACACAGTTACAGACACGGCAAGGAACCCTGACCACGGCCACAGCACAGGCGAGTAGGAGAACGCCACTTCGATGTGGCTGCCAAACTGAGGCGTATACGGTTCCCACTTAGGCTGCAACAAGTCAAACGGTTGTTACAACAGATGCATAAATATACAGAGAGTGAGGTCAGTTTTACACAGCTTGTAGCACTATTCCAGCAATATCCCGGCTGGGGACAATAGACATATAAGCTTCTCACATTGAACCCATCTAGGGAATGGGACTTGGTTGTGACCATCCTTCTCTTTCACCACTAGTCTCCCCAACTGCTCCATAACTGTACAAGGTTACATGTGGGGAAAATTAACTTGAAATGGTAAAAGGCAGAGGGAGTTATGTGTAATAATAACATGTTTACCTTATCAATAATCTTTCCTGAAACTCCCATTCCATTCAAGATTGTCACCTGGAAAAAAAGGTCTGAATGTTGAACTCATTTCAAATAAAACTAAAACAAAATGTGATTCAATCATTCCTACTGATGTGTCATTTCTTCAGGAATATGTTGACATGAAAGAACTTGCACCTGATTCTAGTAACCTACTTGTTGCCAATTATCAGTGTTTATTTGAATGGTGCATTCTACAACTGAGACAAAGAAATAAATTGTGCTCCATTTTGTCCTGAACACACCCTAGACTGTTAGTTTGTTCCTTTATCTTCAGATCATAAGCTAGGTGATGTACAAACGGCAACATTGATTTTAATGTTACTGAACATCTCCATGTTCCCTCACTAATGGGATGGAAAAGCCAAATCACTGAATCAATTTTTTTTAATAAACATCGGAATATATTTTTATGAATGTGAAGACAAAAATGATAAAGAAATCATCATCATTTGTGTTACATCAAAAGGAACTCGGAGTGCCACTCACGTTGACAATGACCGGCATGCCCCCATAGTAGATGGGCTGTGTACAGTAGGGCCACATGTAGGGGCACTCCGTCAGGTCGATGTAGCTCGGACTCAAACTGAAACAGTCGTCTACATTATCTACTGTCAAACATACATATTAAATTAAACATAATACAACACATAAATATTTACATAAACATCATTGTTTATTTATCAAGAATAATGTCATTATTGTCAATAATTTTTTACTTGATATCCATACATTAGACATGTGGGTACCTGGCCTGTGGTTTGTAGGTGGTGAGGGTTTGGTAGGCTCGGAGGAGATCCAGTTTGCCATAGCCCTGCTCAAACATGTTGAAATCAGGCAGTCTCCGAGCAGAAGCCATCAGGGCCTGCTTCATGCTGGCTGGGTTGACAACATCTGCCCGGTCCAGGACAGCGCTGAGTATTGTAATAAACAACATGTCGATAGTGTTACATGGCATTTATTTAGTTCAATATGTATATGTATAAATTGAAAGGATTGGACACAAGTTGTCGTAACTGAGACAGTTTTCACCGAATTATCCATCCTTTTCAAACCTGTTATCATGGCTTAGGCTAAAAAAACTAATAGTCTTAGTTCTCAGGCACCGTCCATGTTATCATAAGTTCGCCACACGTTTTGTTTTCATTTCCATTTTTAAAAAATAATAATAAAAAATAAATCCTTAAATATTCCAAATCCAAATTGTATTCCAGTATTTTACTTATCAAGGAATACATTTATGTAGGGAGACCTTTCCCCAGGTTGATTGTACACAACTGTCTACTTGGTTACATACTAATTTGAAAACCCCCTACCAAAAAAATACCCCGCCTGCCCGCACTATATTTTCAAAATCCATTGCCTGAGTACTAATTCTTTTGGTTTTTTTTAAGCCTTATATCACGTTCTATGTTTTATTATACTATATCTAAGGACGCAGTATGCACATCCTAACAATTAATGCATAAGAACATTATTTAGGAGTTAACTGTTTATCACACATCAGATACTTCTAACATACCATATTTCTCATAAAGTGAAATAATAAAGCACACTACAACACCTTCAAATTTTCTATGACTGACCTGGCAAGAAGAGTTACTGCCCCTGCTACAACAGGTGACGCCACACTTGTCCCAGACAGAGATCTACATCCGCCCCTAGGAAAGTGTAGAAACAGGTGTAGGTTAATGGGATCAATGTATTGGTGGATGATTACCCCAAATACAGAGAGACAATGGCACCAACATTTAGATCTCAGCTTGATACTGATGCCATAGTCCCTCGTTAAGCTCCAGGTTAGAACTGGGTCTCCAGCAACCTGTTCTTGTAGTAAGAGGCGACTAACAGAATTTGGTGGTCAGGCTCACTGACTTGGTTGATGTATGCTATCGTATCCCAATTCCATAGGTGGATATACAAAATGTCAATCACTGGACTGTCTGGTTCAGGCTTGATTATTTACAGCCCGCCGTCATATAGCTCAGTGCGGTGTTAAACAACAAACAAACAAAATCCCCCATTAACCGCAATGATACAAGACACCTGCAATCTGGAAACCATATACATTTAATGAGATTGACAATGCTAGATATTTGTTGTATTCTAAACAAATGAACAGGATGACAAAGTAATATTGTATAGTTCTTCAATTCATAAATGTATTACCAAAGAGAACAAGCATCCCAGCTTGACATGTCTCCTAAACAGTCAGTTCTCTTCTGCTACTCATCCTACATCAACAGGACTTTGCCATTAACAGTCAGGAACTTCATCATGTGTCATTTGATTTACATGTGAGAATTTAAAGGCATCAGTCACCCAAGAAGAACTACACAACCGTTCCTAATTTATTCAACAGTATGACAGTTGTCGACCTACTTGAGAGCTGATCCCCGCACGGCCGATCCATAGGTGACAATATCAGGCTTCATGCGCCCATAGCCAGCAGGGAGTTCCTGAAGTAAAACACAATCAGTGGTGAGTCTACACAACAACAATCAACACTACTCTCTACCTTATAGCCACCATGGCTTTACAGACTAGAAATGTTCCTCGCCACATTCTTGGGGTACATATTTTTCTAATCAAAGGAACCTTTTTGTGTGAAAACTTTCCATTGGGCACATTCATATATACCTGTACAACTATGTACCTTGGTACAACCGGTACAATTGTGTACCTGGGTACAACCAGTATATCTGGGTACAACTGGTACAGCTATGTACCTGGGTACAACTTTGTACCTTGGTACAACCAGTATATCTGGGTACAACTGGTACAGCTATGTACCTGGGTACAACCAGTATATCTGTTCCTGGGTACAACCAGTATATCTGTGTACCTGGGTACAACTGGTACAGCTTTGTACCTTGGTACAACCAGTATATCTGTGTACCTGGGTACAACTGGTACAGCTGTGTACCTTGGTACAAATGGTAGAGCTGTATACCTAAGTACAACTATGTACCTGGGTACCAGTATATCTGTGTACCTGGGTACAACTGGTACAGCTGTGTACCTTGGTACAACTGGTACAACTATGTACCTTGGTACAACCAGTTTATCTGTGTACCTGGGTACAACTGGTACATCAGTTGTACCTGGGTACAACTGGTACATCTGTGTACCTGGGTACAACTGGTACATCTGTGTACCTTGGTACAACTGGTACAACTATGTACCTTGGTACAACCAGTTCATCTGTGTACCTGGGTACAACTGGTACATCTGTGTACCTTGGTACAAATGGTAGAGCTGTATACCTAAGTACAACTATGTACCTGGGTACCAGTATATCTGTGTACCTGGGTACAACTGGTACAGCTGTGTACCTTGGTACAACTGGTACAACTATGTACCTTGGTACAACCAGTTTATCTGTGTACCTGGGTACAACTGGTACATATGTGTACCTGGGTACAACTGGTACATCTGTGTACCTTGGTAATACTGGTACAACTATGTACCTTGGTACAACCAGTTTATCTGTGTACCTGGGTACAACTGGTACAGCTGTGTACCTTGGTACAACTGGTAGAGCTGTGTACCTAAGTACAACTATGTACCTGGGTACAACCAGTATATCTGTGTACCTGGGTACAAGAAGTTCTTGTGGAACCTGCACTGATGACCACACTGCTTTGCTCAAAGTGCATGACATGATCACCCTGTTAAAACTGATCAGTGTGCACTATAATTGACATGAACGTTGGTCACCCATCCACTTATCCCAGATTTGTGACCTATGCACTCTGGGCAAGAAATGGCCATGACATCATCGTAACATCTCGCTGTATAACCAACATGGACAATACTTCAGCCATATGACATTGTGTCAGCTGGATGTAGGAGGAGGTGAAGTGAGGTGAAATGGGGTTTAACATCTCGTTAAAGATTATTGCACTTACATAGTGATGTGCAGGCATGTGTGTGAGTGGCTGCTTGTACTAGTCTGGTCTAATACCAATTTGCAGTCCACTGAGATACCATGCCGCAGTTCAACATGAACAACCAACTCAGACACAGTATACTGACTCCGAGCTGATCAGTCCTTGTTTTAGACCCTTAATGCCAAACACAACGCAGGGAAACAACAAGTACCACCTTTTACCATCATGACGTGGCCGGGAATCAAACCCCAACTTATGCTCTCTGGGCATACACTCTACCACAAGACCACAGAGGTGGTCGAATGTAGGACGAAAGCCCAGATGTTTACAACTGTGTTGAAATCCACAAATATGGCTACTGATTGTACCGACTGACCTAGGATGATGACTGGGGAATATCTGGTACCTGTGACCAGCAGGTTACAGCAGTTAAGGGACACAACACAGAGTATCCTGTACACCGTAGACCCCAAGTTCCCAAACAGAGCATAGAAAAGATGAAGATGACCTACCCATGTGGTCATGCCGCGGGATGAGAAGCGTGCAATCTGGTGGTCGAAGTTGATACCCCCTACACCGATCACATCCATCTGGTCAGCCGGGTTGTTCAACGTTCTGCACAAGTAACATATACAGCTTGTAATACACATCAGCATTGTACATAGAATTAAACAAAAATGAAAATCTTCCTCCATTGATGAAATACACAATCTGTCTTACACTGCAGAATCATCCCCACCACTGCACTGGAGCAGTCTACATATAACTAGAAGCAATACTCATCTAACGGACAAGACCATCTTGACAAAACAATATTTGGAATACAAAGAATATGGTTGAATCATGCTATATTTAATATCTCTTTGCAAAACATAAAGAAAATATTTTACGGTGGTGTCCTCAGATACAAAAACATAAATGCATCAGAAATCACCTTGTCAACTGACAGCTATGTTACACTGCACTGTTAACCTGATCACGCCTGTAGTGTTACATGACTACTTACCCATACAGGGGGCCGTCATTTCCTATAGCTGATACCATGATGACTTTGTTTGCCGTCAGCTCCCACACCTGCACAATCAGACAATCAGTTACATACTAACAGCCTTTCTAAGCAAGTGCAAAAAACACTTTCATGAGAAGAAAGTTTTCAGAAAATGACCAGAATTGACCCATCATAGATCTGAGTCGTACATGATATACAGCGACAATTTGGCACATTCTGCAATATTCTAGCTATATGCTGGCAGTCTGTAACTAATCGAGCCTCGACCAGACAATCCAGTGACTGATATCATGAACTTCAACAACCGCAATTGGGATACAATGACATGCATCATCCCAAGTCAGCGAGCTTGACCACCTGATCCAATTAGTCGCCTCTTACAATAAGAATGGCCGCCTGTTACAGCAAGCATGGGTTGCTGAAGACCTATTTTACCCTGGATCTTTATGGGTCTAGTCCACTAGTCCTTATAATAATAATTTAGCTATAAGGCAGTTTGGCAAGGACTATAGGACTAGTGATACCATTTCTATCACTGCATATATCTTTTGATAACAGGATTTCAGATGCCAAAATGTGTTGTTCATTGTCCATCATACAACCTACACTGTTACAGATGAGCTGACTGGGTTGATGCATGTCATTGTATCCCAACTGCGTGGATCGATGCTCATGATGTCAATCACTGGATTGTCTGGTCCAGACTCGATTATTTACAGACCGCCGTCATACAGCTGGAATATTGCTGAGTGCAGCGTTAAACAAACAACAAACAAATGTTACAGATGAAGAACCATGTCTGTTGTATGATACAAGGATTCACACATCTGAGTCCATGGCAGTAGTTAGGATCTTTCTCAGCTCATGTGGTACACAAATGCTATCTCTACTAAAACCACAAGCCCTGTGTTTTTAAAGATGGACTTCATCATGAGTTGTAACCCACTACTCCGTCCAAGGTGTGTTTAATGAGTTTGTTCAGCACCACCGGTTCTCATCACCTTGTCAACAAAGGGATGATCCATGAAGTCTGGTCCGCCGATGCTGAGATTCAGGACGTTGATCTTCTTCAGTATGGCATAGTTAAAGGCATCCAGAAACCATGAGGTGTACGAGACCTGCAACAACAGTCATAGAACACAATAAAGGGAATGATTCAAACACCCCAAACCCCTGTCAAATTAATTGCTAAGGAAATCTCAAGTGACAATTACAACCTTGCTGAAACATGGGTAAGGTGCTGACAAACCAAGGCCTACAAGCTGGGATCTTAGTCGCCTTTTCCCCCTCTTAGGGACACAACTCTGAACAGCATTCTCTCTAAGGGACACAACTCTGAACAGCATTCTCTCTAAGGGACACAACTCTGAACAGCATTTTCTCTAAGGGACACAACTCTGAACGGTATATTATGGAGCCCTAGATGATTGCTCCACCCACGCCCTGGACTAAATAGGAGTTTAGAAGTGTGCGCAAATGAAAACTACTTCAGCATGTCAAGTATATAACTCAGAACCAATATTGACACTCAGGCTTAGTATTGAAACAAACTGAAAGTAAAAATCTTCAAAACAGTCACTATTTATCTTCATATTGCTATAATGGTTCAAGTAAAGCTGTGTTCTGTTTGAACTTCTGCTACTGAATACCAAAGGAAAATGTTTGAAAACTCCATACCTGATTATTAGTAAAAACTCTGAAAACGTAGATATCTGCATCTGGAGCGAAGCCAAGACATTCCTGAGAGCTGGCAATAACACCCGCCACAAACGTTCCATGTCCTAGGCCTGGAAACATGGCATCACAACATTCACACTTAAGTATAACAACAGTCTTTCATAATGCTAAAGATGTTTGAAAAGTCCTAAGATTTATCACAACAAATATTATAGTGTTCCCTCGCTATTGCCTTCTTCAATAAAGCGTGCAGTAAAGCATGGCTCCCAAAATTTACTTACATTTTTAATAAACTCAAGTTTGCCAATGACACAATGTTTGCCCCATCTCAAAAAACATTATCAGCTGATCACCATGAGATCTAACACCGGGAATACCAGTCAACTAATCCGAACTGAAGTACGCAATTTAATACCATTATAAAACTATCTGGTATACTATAACGCTCATCAATTATTTGGACCCTAAAGGCAGTGTTGTAGCGAGAGATCACTGTATTGAAATATTCAGTTCTAAATTATTTTTCTCATGTACATCTCTTACCATCATCTAAAGTCTTCTCATTTGTCCAGTTTGATCTGTCCTTGACCTTCCCTTTTTTAAAGTGAGGATGATCTGATGCCAAACCAGTGTCAAATATAGCAACCCTGACGCCGGCGCCAGTGAATCCCATGTTCCACAGAATCTCGGACTGGAGAGCACTTACAATCTGCAACACAATCACGCAAATGAGGGGAGATGTATATACAGATTATGTGAAACACAATACATATCATTACAATTTTTCAACTGTAGAACAAAAACAACGTACAAAAAAGGGAATACAATAGCATCAAACTTATCTTTCTTCAAATTTACAGAGTAAATCCTTTTTTCACACCTGTCACCATGTTTTCAATGCATATTCAAGCAAATCACAATTCAGTCACTGCTCTAATATACTGTACTACAGTTTCAACTGTGTCTCCAGTTTACAGCCAGGTGCTCTTGAACAACACCAGCAGCCGTCACTGAGACAGGAATTAACAAATACGTTCCCTATTTAAAGTGTAGTATTAAACATTATAAACACAAAAACTCAATCTCATTAAAATCAGATCTAAGTTCTCTTTAATAAAAGTTACACCTTACATTAATTAATAGTAAATATTTTGAACCATTGCGCCATACTTGACATGCCAACTTTTAATCGCTAGTGTGCCAGGTATTTGGCCATCCTGTCTATGAAAAGATGGCTTACACACCAGAGATAAGAGCACATGCAAGTATCGTCACATGTATCAGATCGTGAGCAAGGTATTGTGATATGGATCGGATCACACAGTTGGTGTATCGTCCCAGCCCCAGTTTGGAGTGAAAGTTGCATTCACAGCCATTCACACTGGTTAACTCACCTGCTTTGGCACCGATCTCATCAAGTTCCTCGACCTGTGCCGTGTTGGCCCATGCCAATATGCTGCACCCTGTCATTTTAGAGAAAACATTTAGTGAGAGAGTGAGTTGGGGTTAACACCGCTTTGAACAGTCAGTGTTAGTGTTAACACAAAAATGTGTGTATTACACGCATTAAAATCAACAAAATATGCACAAGTTACTTTGCATGTGTGATTTGCATGCAATGAATTTTCTTTTGCTGATATCAGTGTATCACAAAAATATAAGAAACACATCAAACTTTACAGACGAAAATGAATCTTAATTTGGAATTCCAAAATTTTAAGAACAGATCTTAACCGGATGGTGCTCACAACTCCGAACAGTGATTGGCTAGCAGGTTCACATGTCTGCCATCTGCACCTAAGACTTCTCTAGTCATCATGTCGACATTGCTACTTTTTATGACTGTCCAGCTGTCATGGTCCATATTATTGAGATCACATGATACAAATCTATGGTGAACTACATTTATAACGAACACGCTTATAACGCTTATGGATATAACAAACTTGTAGAATTTTCCTATTCGGAATATTCTATAAGTAATACGTTACCACTGTTATACCGAGGCTGTTGTCTCCCACAACTGCTGCTATAGCGAAATCTACCACAGAGATCTCAATTACCTCATGCAGCACGTGCGTAGCCACCTAGCTGCCATGTGACACCCTTCACTCTTGTCTCTTCGCTTGCTCTAGCAAGACGTACAATAAACTGCTCAAGCGTTCCTGTTTCTCGACCATTCGGTGATATTTATTACTGTTTATTCTCTCTAATAAACTGTGCTTTTACGGGGCGTTTGCTGTAACTACGCTTGGAAATATTTTTCCCGCCAAAAGGAAATATTTTTCCCGCCCTTTTTTTCTATATACTTGCTGGGTGTCTCGTCTGCACGTTGCGTCTTACATTCCCCTATTCTAGTATATTTTGGGTTTTTTACATCACTTATTCCTCTATATGTTATATGTGTATGTTCTATATTCGCATTGCTCGTTTATTTTCTGGTGAAAATACTCGTTTGTGACTATTTGTGGTGCGTGTGTTGTAACCATGTTTTGCTCTTTGTTCATAGTACAAACAAAATGTCTGACATGGATCTTTCGCCGTCCTCCACCCCCTCTACCCCCGCAACCAGGAGTGGTTACATTCAAGAAGCAAGAACGTTAGCAAAAACAAAATACAGTAAACTACGGTTATAATAAACTCAAAGGGACCTCTGATATTAGTTTGTTATAACCATAGTTCGTTATGAGCATGTGTAGAGCATATATACAGCAAATGGCTGGGAACACAACATAAATTACATTAAGTAATACGTTACCACTGTTATACCGAGGCTGTTGTCTCCCACAACTGCTGCTATAGCGAAATCTACCACAGAGATCTCAATTACCTCATGCAGCACGTGCGTAGCCACCTAGCTGCCATGTGACACCCTTCACTCTTGTCTCTTGCGAGAGCAAGTGCTCGGGGGACGGACGGGAGGGCAGCAGCCCAGTGGTAACGTATTACTTATAGAATATTCCGAATAGGAAAATTCTACAAATTACATTAAGTAATACGTTACCACTGTTATACCGAGGCTGACTACCACAGTAGGCGGTGGGGAGCACCTACAACCCGAATCCTGACCGCTAGCGTTCCTTCCGACCAGCGGAAGTAAACACCAAGGCGGAAGCACTCAATGCGCATGCACCTAGCTAGGCGTTACCCTATAGGAATACCAAAGCACTGTCAAGCGCATACCATAAGGCTCAATCGTCATTGCCAAAACGATTGGTGACTCCAAACGGCCCCACTGGATAGGTATTTCATCGCCGCAGCGGATGAGAACACTGTATCCGCGTGAGCTAATTCTTAAATCAGGTTAAACAGTCGAAAAGAGGGAAATTAATTTCATTCGGACCGTATATCCCAGAGCAAGCCTACTTAAAGTATGCATTAGGCGCGTGACCTAATTCCAGTATTTGTAAGCATGCATCACAAGGTTGGGATACACGACAGACAATTAAATACATAATTGTCAAAATACAAATAAGGACAAAGCACACAAAAAGCCGCCCTCACCTGTGGTGTGAGTGCGCTGGTTTGCGGGACCCCAACTCCTGTACCCACGGCAGTGGGAACATTGGAGTCGACCCAGATTAACCACCGTGCAAGGTCTGACGCCTGAGGAGGTCGGAATTGCGCTGGGCACACCCCTTAGGTGACCGCTTGCGCCGCGATCAGCGGCCCAAGACGGTGCACACTCTCCACGTCGTCATCAGCGACCTGTTTGAGGTAATGATGGCAAAAAGCGAGTCAGAACGCCAGTAACAACCTCGTAATATTCTGCGAACAGAGATATTCGAGTGTAGGGCAAATGTTGCCGCTAGCGCCCTGATCTCATGCGGGTTTGACCCCGCTACCAGTAACCCCCAAGACCGGTACGCCAGATTGACGACAGAACGAAGCCATAACGCAATCGAGTTGCGAGTTATGTCAGCAGTGCGATTAGGGTTACACGATATGAACAGACGGTCACGCCCTTGTCTGCGTTCATTCGAAGCCTTAAGATAATACTTAAGGGCCCTAACCGGACACAGCGATCTGTCCTCAGTATCAGCAGGATGTAAGATTTCCTTGAGTGATTTTACAGTGAATTCTCTCTCCGTTTGGCCCATGTCAAAGGAGAGGAGAAATGCTGTTTACTAAGTCACATGCCGGAACGAAGCACTACTCGAGGGTTCATACGGAGCTTCCGTAAGTGATTTCAACACTAAGGATAGATCCCAGGCCGGTGCCCGAAGGCGGCCTTTCTGAAGATCTTGCTGTTTGAAACCCTTGATAATACCCCGAATCACCGGCTCTTATGAGAGACTGGTACCCATAGCAACGTCCCCTACCGTAGCAACGGAACAGACATAGTTGGCAATGGAACCCCCCTCTCGCAAGTGAGACATGAAACGAGCAATATCCTGCACAGATACCTTATCTGGCGAATGAATGTGATGTTTACAACACCACTTCGTGAAAATAACCGAACGTGCATGATACACCTTCTGGGTGGAATCACGATGCATACTAACGTATGCCCGAGACGCCCGACAAGAAAAACCTTTACTCCTCAGACGCTCGGTGACAACATCCACGCGTGCAGATTGAACTGCTCTGCGTTTGGATGAAGCTGAGGGTGAGGGTGGATCAGGAGATCCGGTCTCACAGGCAGTGGGAGTGGCGACTGCGTGACCTGGGTCAGCAAGTCGGGATACCACGATCTGTTCGGCCACATGGGCGCGATCAGTAACATTCGACAGCGAACTCCTCGGAGCTGGCTTAGAATGTGATCGATGATGTGATCGTGATCGATGGCCCTCGGGTCCGGGACTGGTGATACAAACAACGGGAGTTGATTGTTGAACCCGGTTGCGAACAGGTCGACCATCGGACGACCCAAACGTTCGCACAGCCACTGAAACACTACTAGGTTGAGCATCCACTCTGTGGGACTCGGATCCCGGGGCCTCGATAGAGCGTCGGCCAGTACGTTCCGCACACCTGGGATGTGACGGGCGCGTACCTGGCACGGGACACTGTCCACCAGAGCGTAAAACTCGAATGTGAGATCGAGGAGCGAGTGACTGTGGGTTCCCCCCAGTTTGTTCACATAGGACACTACCGTCGTGTTGTCGGTCGCCAGCATGAGCCGGGCGTCGACGAGACGATGCTTCCAGTGATTGACTGCGTTTATCACTGCCTTGAACTCGAGACAATTGATGTGAAGACCTAGTTCGTCTACGCACCACAGCCCCGAGCTCACCTCCCCCTCTAGATGGGCGCCCCAGCCCACTAGAGAGGCGTCTGTATACAGGTTCAACGTGGCCCGGTAGGGCCGCATAGAGACTCCTGATAAGGGACCGTCCATCACTCCTGATGCGGGCGGAGCCGATCTACGAGGGCGACGGTCGCACTGTTCTCCTCCTGTGCTAACAACTGGATTGGAAACCGTTGCAGCGGGTGGAGTTGGAGACGACCCCGATCGGTGCAGTCCTGGGCGGACACAAGTAGCCCTAACAGCTGTTCCCAAAAGTGAACAGTCTGTGGCACCGCTAAGACTTTGGCAATCATCGCCTGAATCCTGTGCCACTGGTCTGGGGGGACAAAGAGGCGATGGGTCACCATGTCGAACCGACCTCCGAAGAACTTCAAGTTCTGTGAGGGGGTTAACTCGCTTTTGGGGAGATTGACAATCCACCCCAATTGCTCCAAGAGCCAAAGTGCAAAATCGAGCTGACAAAGACAGCACGTCTGTCATTCAATTTGCAACTAGCGAGTCGTCCAGGTACGCGAAGTACCTGACACCCCTCCTGTGGAGGAACCCAACTATGGGGGTGGTGAACCGGGTGAACAGCCAGGGAGCGGACGTGTGAATCATTCTGAGTTCGGCACTGTCCTACTTGGGAACGAGAAATATCCTGGAGTAAAACCCCAGTGTTATTTCTGGTAGAGCTAACTCCCGTACTGCCCCTTCTCCACCAACCTGCCGATGGCATCGGCGAGGATGGGAAGATCGGTTTCCGAATCGAAACCTGCCAACGGGCCAACGGTGAGCAGCGTATTCGCTCTGAGATTAAGCCGATAGCCGTACAGAATCGTGTTGACCACCCACGGGTCGTCGAACACTTGTTCCCAATTCTCCCAGTAAGTCTGGAGTCTGGCTCCCACTGGGGAGGGAAAGGGGGCCCTGACAGGCTGCGGCAGGCGCAACTGTCCAGGGCCAAGTGACTCGGGTTCGCCTAAGGGCCAACCGAAGTTAGCGCTGTCGGCATACGAACCCCTCCAATGAGAGTCACCTGGTGGGGCCCTTGCCATCCTTAGACGACTTGGGCTTCCCCCAGTTCCCAGTCTTCCCGCGAAAGGGCAGCTGATTGCCCATACCGGAGCCCTCAGGGCGGGGCTTCTTCCCAGAGGAAGAAGAACCCGACCCCTTAGACCTACCGGCCGCAGCAGCCTGGGGCGCGCTCCGGTTCGGAGCGGCACCCAGGCGCCTATGCAGGGACCTAACAAGAGCAAGTGTGTGCCGAGAGTCCTCGGCAACGTACTCCAGGGAAGCATTTAAACTGAGCAGGCAGTTGTAAATGCGCTGGTCACGGTCCGTGGGAGAACCTTCGACCAGACTGGCCGCTGCAGCCAAGTAAGTGTCTCCGTGAGACATGGCAAGCATGGAGTGCCGAGCGAGGGTGTCCAGCTGGTGCAAGGTAGCTTGCGTTACCGTAGCAGCCGGTGGGGCACGGACACCCAACCGCTCAACATGGGCCTCCTCGGTAGGACCAGCCTCGGGAAAGGCAAGGTCATGTACCGGGAATAAACCCTTTCTCCACGACGTCGGAGGCAACGGGAGACCCCGACCGGAGGCCGCCGCGAAGGCATTCTCCAAGGAAGGCTTGATACCGCGCAGCAAGGTTGATGCGGGGAAAGCCGTGTCGGAAGACTCATCGTATACCTCGGAGGAACCCACAGAGCCGTGGATTCCCCGCGGTACCGGCCGGGGCCGTGGCATGACCTCAAAGAGGTCATAAACCATGGCCACGCGGTCCTTAACCGATAGCGGGTGCAACGGTTCGGGGGAAGGACCGGTGACCACGGGAGCCGCCGCCGTACCGGTGGACCCCGCGGCCACCGAAGTGGCAGGGGACAGAACAGCCAGCGGCCTATCCTGAGATAAGGCCGCCAGCTTGGAGTCCACAAGTTTTGCAAGTAATGCAGCGACGGAATCCCCGACAGCCCACGGGCCGCCAAGGGATCCGCCGCAGCCGTGGTGGTGGTACCCGCAAGGGGACCCCGACCGGACGAGCCGGCCACCACAGGGGTGGAAACGGACTGCACATACAGCCGGTAGCGCTCGCTCGCGGCACACCCCGCAGCTCCTGGTTGCGGGGGTAGAGGGGGTGGAGGACGGCGAAACATCCATCTCAGACATTTTGTTTGTACTATGAACAAAGAGCAAAACATGGTTACAACACACGCACCACAAATAGTCACAAACGAGTATTTTCACCAGAAAATAAACGAGCAATGCGAATATAGAACATACACATATAACATATAGAGGAATAAGTGATGTAAAAAACCCAAAATATACTAGAATAGGGGAACGTAAGACGCAACGTGCAGACGAGACACCCAGCAAGTATATAGAAAAAAAGGGCGGGAAAAATATTTCCTTTTGGCGGGAAAAATATTTCCAAGCGTAGTTACAGCAAACGCCCCGTAAAAGCACAGTTTATTAGAGAGAATAAACAGTAATAAATATCACCGAATGGTCGAGAAACAGGAACGCTTGAGCAGTTTATTGTACGTCTTGCTAGAGCAAGCGAAGAGACAAGAGTGAAGGGTGTCACATGGCAGCTAGGTGGCTACGCACGTGCTGCATGAGGTAATTGAGATCTCTGTGGTAGATTTCGCTATAGCAGCAGTTGTGGGAGACAACAGCCTCGGTATAACAGTGGTAACGTATTACTTAATGTAATTTATGTTGTGTTCCCAGCCATTTGCTGTATATATGCTCTACACATGCTCATAACGAACTATGGTTATAACAAACTAATATCAGAGGTCCCTTTGAGTTTATTATAACCGTAGTTTACTGTATTTTGTTTTTGCTAACGTTCTTGCTTCTTGAATGTAACCACTAAAATGACAAGATCTCTAGTTTGTGGCATATACACAGGCAAAACACTATTTCCTGTTCTGCAAGACAATATCAAATAAATCAGATCTTAATTCTTTCTACCGTAAACAAAGATTGTATCTGAAACTATAATTTATCGGGAACAATGTTCCAATTTTGGGTCAGTTTAGTTGCAGCTTTTACTGTGTAAAATAGTAATACCCATAAGCGAAGCATTCTGGAACAGCTGATTGCTAGTGTCGGATATATTTCACATAGGGAACAGTCATAACCAGATATATAATATAAGTGTAATAACAGGATTTAATTGCGTACATCAGTAATGATTTGTTCACATGGAATTTCTGGTGTTAGGCGTTCACGGTGAAGTCTTGGAGTTGGTTGAAATAAATATGCGCATACCCATCGACACAGCTATACTAGATACCCCTTGATTCACCATGAACAGACAACAGTACATGCCGCAAAAAATGTCTAAACTTTAATAAAAAAAACTTTTGCACGCACTAACAAAAGACCTACAGCGAACACTGACAGTGACAGTATGCCAGGTATATCCCAGCATGTCAGCTTAATGTGGGATCAAATCTCGAAGTGATACACTATGGTGAAATCCACGAGCAAGGGTATGGTGCTGATAAACCTAGACACACGATCAGGGTGAGCTGGGATTCAAACCCATGATCAAAGGTTACTAGTGTGCCCAAGGGAAACAACTCTGGACAGCAAATTGCTGGGCTTAAGATAACTGGGCCTCCCATGCCCTATAAAACTTAGCAATAGGTCATATATATATATACCTAGATTTCATTAGACATGAACCTATGATGAAGCTTTTATTTACTAGGCCCAGTAATTTGTGGCTGTCTCCTGTTTACAATAGTACAACAGTTCCACTTACAAAAGTACTGTCTGCATTGTTGCAATGGCGCTGGCTTTCCCATGTGGTGTAATATCTTCAAGGTTCTTCTGTTATAACCTCATGATTATGATATTTAAAAAATAATTACCTCCTAGAGAAGTATGAAAGCAATGGCAATGGCCACTGTTGGTTTACAAATAACATTCAATGTGATACAAAGATGCAGAAAATTACTCTTTTTAGTGCTTATTGTGAAAAGAGCTTGATCCAAATTGTACAGATTAGCAAAATGTATCTATGCCCCCAGTAGTCGCCATGTTTAACAACATATTTTACATCTGCATAGCTTTCTGATGCAGTGACACTTTAAATCTGCGGTAGATCTCTCTACTCACCAGTGACAAGCTCTTCCTGTTGTGTGGCCGAGAGGAGTGGAAGGACTGGGACCAGTCCTTTTTGTCCTGACCCTTCCTGCTGCCATTACACGGGGAGCCCGGCTTCGGCTCTGCTGCACTGGCACTGTGCCCATCGTCCTCAACTGGAAAAGGACGTGGAATAGCATGACTGCGAGTCCATGACCTCAATGCTGCTAGTCCACAACTCACTCCAGACATTTTGTCGGGATAAAGTGACTAGTCCTGACAACGTGTCACAGGTACTCTTCAATTATATACAAACTCAATGACAGGAATTTGTGCTTTTAGGCCCTAAATTTGAAAAAGGTCAAAATTCAAATACAATTGGGCATTTTAACATTGTGCTGTATGGGTGTACCTCTGTAATATTTGAAATATTCACATAAAGGGCCCATGTCAGAAAAAACCTAGAGTGAACCCTGCTATAAGGCTGTAACTGAAATTATTCTAAATTTTGTATCTGATACGACAAAAGGGCACAAGGATCTTTTAAGTGATTAGATAAAGAAGTACAAAATAAGTAATAACATTGTCAAGATCTTACCTGGAAGAAACTTAAGTGTGCGCGTGACTTTCTTGTGAGGCGTGACAGTTTTAACAAGTGGGTGGTCTGTCAAGGCTTCAACACCTTCTCCGTTCTGGTCTTTCAGCTGAAAAAATACAAACAAGGTCAATGTAATGCTTCAGGGTTTGTCCTCAACAAAATGAAGGCCTTTTTAAGGCTTATTCAAGTCAAATTCAAGGCTAATATGATCACGGATCGCAATACCATTCATTTGGTAGAACGCTTGTAATTCAAGCAATCATCATGCAAACAAGGCATGCAACATCAGCTGAGAAGCTTAAATTACTCATTCTCAAGCAGCATTACTGTCATCTTCCCAAGGCAAGAGAGTAAACTGACTTTAAAAGTCCAGTTTCCACCCTTGCCGAACTAGGCTGGTATTATGGAGTTACATTTTGGCTGGGCTAACGAGTCTATTCATAGCCCAATCAAAATCGCGCACCGAAATCAAAATCCGGTTCATAACTGTCGTGCAGATTTCGGTAGATTGCAGGATTTGTAAAGCATGTGCACTGTGCAAATCGTTGTCAGCAGATATTTTCCAAATCTTTTCATGTTTTTAATCAAGGTGCTCACGTGATTTGATACATTTAGCGATGTAAGACCCGTTTTATCACAATATAGATCTTGATTATCGATCAGATTGTCCTGACTGGGCGCCACCATTTTGTGTGAAGCAAACACAAGTGATACAAGAAGTGGAATCTGATTGGTCCATAGGAGAGGCTTAGAAGGGACATAACTGGTAATAGCCACTAGTGGTGCTACGATCGAGCCCAGTAATTCCAACCTAGTTCGGCAAGGGGGGAAACTGGACTTTTAAAGTCAGTTAACTCTCTTGCCTCGGGAAGATGCATTACTGTATACATTCACAAACTTTCATCAGCACTTGTATTTCGCATATAAATAGTAATAAAAAAAAACCTTGTGTTTAGTTAGGGTCTTATTCAAGGTCTTTTCAAATCATGTTGTCAATTTAAGACCTTTTCAAGAAACAATCTAAAATTAAAGGCCTTTTCAAGCCCTGTGCTTACCTCATACCTCTTAATTAACCAGATTGTGACAATATGCTTTGTAAAATAAAGCCCTTGGCTGCCAGAAAAATAAGTTTAAGAGTAGGAACAGGGATAATTCTAGGGTGGTGCTTTGAGACGTTTAGTTGGATGATACTTGTGTGACCATGAACCAAAGTGTTTGTCTTAACCATGATAAATCAAGGCATATACTTAAAAGAACAAATAATCAGAATCAGATCATGTAGCTACAAGAATTCACATGACTAGCTAAAAACATAGCTGCTGTGGACTTTCCTGGCTTATCATTGATGATTGTGAAACTCTGCAAGCAAAATACCATGCTCACTTGCTGTTTAACAATATGATACATTAAAAAACAAGTCTTCACATGATGACTCCCCCCCCCCCCCCCCCCCCAATTCGAAAGAACAAATCATCTGATTGTTACAGCAAGTCCTACAAGAGGGATCCAGTGGTTTAAACTGACATATTTATTTCAATAGTGGAATCATAATGCAAAACCCGTAAAATGGAAATTTTCTACTAGTCCTTAAGATACCTTAACTATTGGGCAGTATAGCAAAGACTACAGGACTAGTGCCAATTTCTAAGGATGGGGATCTGTCCAACTTGATAATAGTATTCTTATCTAATCTGTCTGTCTGTACTTTGAGCACTTTGAGCTTGTATGTTTGGTCCTTTGTCGCAAAGATATAAGTGAGAGGTACATGGCTTATGCTGTAATCTGCTGCATTACCAACTGTAGTTATCAAGAGTTACTGAAGCTCACCTTTCCCATTAAACCCATGAAATGTTACATATTGCAGCTTAATAGAAATAAAGATACAAATGTTTACACTAAACATTTCCCTTCTGTTACTTTGGTTACCTTGACTCGTGAATAGCTATCCAGACAATCTTAAGGTCTGGTCAAAGTCAAAGTCAAACTCCTTGCAGTGGAAATTCTAAAAATCCCTAAATAGCAAAAGGCACCAATTGATAACCGGGTCTTTGTGTGTGCAAAGTTTCACGAAAGAATGCCTTTTAGTTTTAGAGGTGGGGTGAAATGGAGTTTAACGTCACGTCCAAGATTATTTCACTTATATAGTGACTTGCATGCGTGCGTGCATGTGTGCGTGCATGGCCATGGACATTTCCACCATAGAATACTTCGGCCATATGACATTGTGTCAGCTGGAGGTGAGGTGAGGTGAGGTGAGGTGAGGTGAGGTGAGGTGAGGTGAGGTGAGGTGAGGTGAGGTTTCATCGCGTCCAAAATTATTGCACTTACATAGTAATGTGCATGCACATGTGTGACAGCCTACTGTACACTGAATCCGAACCAACCAGTCCTTGCTTTAGCCCCTTAATGCCAAGTGCCAGGCAGGGTAATAAACAAGTACCACCTTTTAATGTCTTTCGGTATGACGCAGCCGGGGATCGAACCCACAACCTTGCGATAAGAACAGAAAGAAAATGGTTGATTGTGGAGTTGATTTGAAGAATTTATTTTTAGCTTTGAAAGACAAATGTTGAATACCTGGGGTTGATAAACGATAAAGCGATAGAGATAATTTGTATTGTGTTCGTTCTGTTACCTACCATGACAACATCAAAATCACTGGGATGTTCATTCGCTGGATTGATGCGAGGAATTATCTTCCATGATGATATTCCAGATTCTTGAAGAGCGGCTGTTATAAACCTTCTCCTGGCAGAGCTCTTGAAGTACCCATTGAAAGATACAATGTATTCTGAAACATCAAGTTGTATACATGAGTAACTGTATAGTTTAGCAACAACAAGTGACAGTAAGTGCCCTTGGCAGGCAGATTGGGACAGAATTGTGATTTTTCAAAATGTTTTATCATTGTTTGCCAGAGCATTCACCATGTTCACCATATTCAATACAGTGATGTAAAGAAAAGCTGTTAAGACTCTGCCTCTTTAGCATATTCAGTGGTCCTGTTGTTAGTGAAATGCAAGTCTCTTCTATCAGTCCCTCCATATTCCGTGAATATTTGGCAGAAATGCCCACTTGGTACAGAAATGTACCTATCTTGCAGAAAACAACATGTTGTGCAGAACCTGTGCAGAATTTTGCATTTATATGCTGCACAATTCGTCAAATACACTGCAGAATTTCAACATGTGAGTAGAAAGCTGATCTTAAACATGTGAACAGATATTTATGTCATTTTGAAGTGAAGTTGACTTTTGTATTATTGCTTTTCAAAAGAGCATGTCTGTATGTTTACACTACTGGTCTGATTCGCTTCAATAAGCTATTCTAGCAAATGCCTGCCACAAGTCAAACAGGTGCAAAACTAACCAGAAATTAGGAAAAATTAACTGCAGAATTTGTATTTTGTGGACGCGGAATACAGCAGGGACTAGTCTATACAGCCAAAACATAAGTAACATTACCTAAACCATGTTTACAGCATAAATGGAGAATTTTTAAAATTCAAACTTCGGAATTCTTAATGACATTTGCTGCAGACTTGGGCCTCAATATTGACCTCTCATAAATCCCAAGCCTACACTAAAATTTGATTTGTTTCACTTGTGATGTTTCCGTATATTATCATTGCCGTAGCTTTCCTAAATAAGCCTGTTTGTAAACCTAGTTAATTTCATAATGCAGTTGTTAATTGTATACCATTTCTTCGTTTCACGGGGAATTCTTTTGCATACAGATTTATGGGTCAACTTAGCATGCTTATTGTTTCAATTTTGGGAGTTGACACGTAACACCTGAAACACAAGTATTTCTTTGTCTGGCCTAATGGCTGATCATATCTTACCATTATCAACAATAGCACTGCTGAACTCTGCATGTACTCTGTGAAGCGGCATGGAGGATGACATGTTACACTTGATGGAGGCCTGGGTGACCTTCTCCAGTAAGTTACACTCCGAGTCCTGCATCAGCTGCAACACTGCCGTCAGCAGCAGCAGCACCAGGCCCGGGTTGCGGACACTCATGGCTGGCTTCACCATTTCAATCCGATCCAAACAAGACACATCACTCTCTACATCGTCACCAAGCTTGGGCAAGTTTTAATTTTCCTCTGAATTTCATGCCAAACTTTTCTATCCAATTCACTGAAGCATGATTACAATTTGATCATACCTGCGTGGTGCCCTTTACTAACTTGCTTTGAGTTGAAGAGCTTTTAGTGTGCTTGATATAATGCACACATACACACAACTGTCCCTTTCACTTGGTGGTGGTCATCTTGAAATTTGACCAACTACATTCTGTAATTTGTAGAATATTGGTGCTTAAATCCCCTATGTCACCATGGTGAAAGTAGAGATGCCATTTTCAAACAATAATCAATAGATCTGAAAAAGAAGAAAGAAAATATTCATTACCATTATTATCTCTACTGGGTATCTGTCGACGTTGATAACATCCCAATCTGGAGATTCCTTTTGTGTTGGAAATAAATTTGCAAACTGGTCATCTTTTACGGCAAGCATGGGTTGCTGAAGACCTATTCTGGTCTGGTTTGCAACAATGCACATTGTTACATTTTCAAGATCAGTTATTTCACAGGTGCCAAAATTGTCTACAAGTTAGTTTCATGAAGAAGCATCACATTCATGCCTTGGCAATTAAGTTCATATAATGGTGAATGTCTGTCGCTGAAGGGGTTGTTGTTGACATAGGTACTACAGATATGTACTCCAGATACGTTTCTGTGTACAGAAATGTACCCTAGCCAAAATCAAAATACAGCAATGTACCCTAGGACGAGTTCATTCTGCATTGCGCAGAGCACTTAACCGGTTCCTTGAATTCCTGTGCACTTAGCCTCACTTTGTCCCACAGCCTGAAATGCTCTGTCAAGAACACCTCCACTGGGAGAACATGATACTCATTTTATCAGAATGTTGTTCCTAGAAGACCGCTCCTCTGTGGGAAGAGGTCTCCTAGAATGAGCATGGTTTTAGGCCGCTTTAGCAATATTCAGGCAATATCAAGGCAGGGGGCATCAAACATTATACCCATGTGGGGAATCGAACGTAGGCATACAGAGTGACGACCGAATGCTTTAAAACTAGGCTACCCCACTGCCCCAGTCTCCTAGAGAATGCTCGTACTTGGAATGAGATGATTGCTCCTGCTGTGACTAACTTTGACTGCTATTTATTAGTTTGGTTTGGTTTGTTGTTTTACGCCGCACTCAGCAATATTCCGGTGATATATGACGGCGGTTTGTAAATAATCTTGTCTGGACCAGACAATCCAGAGATTTACATCATAAACATTGATCCACGCAATTGGGATACGATGACAAGCATCAACCAAGTCAGCAAGCCTGACCACCTGATCCCGTTAGTCGCCTTTTACGACAAGCATGGGTTACTGAAGACCTATTCTATCCCTGGACTTCACGGGTCTGCTATTTATTATGTCAAACTTGACACAATTAGACCAATGTGAACTAAGATTTATTCATAATGATCAAGTACTAATTAATGTCTCTTTTTCATTTTTAACAAAATATTTTTGTATTTTCATGACAACAATTTCATATAGTTATCTACAACAAGTATTTGCCACTTGGGATATTGATGATTTTCTCTTCTTGTTATTCTGTGACATTGTTTTGATAACTACCAACCAACTTTCAGACATTTGTAGAAAGATTTCAGACAACATCCATTCTATTGTGCCAGCGTGTTATGTAAGAAACAAGCATACACATTGTATAATCCTTGATGTACAGTATGACCAGCATGCACTCATAATCAGGCAAACCGGAACAACGGTTATGGGTTGACGAATATGGACTCATAGGCTATTTAGGGTACTGGGTACATTTCTGTATTCTGATCTTTGCTAGAGCAATATTTCTGTATACAGAAACATACCTGGGGTATATAACTGTCTAAAGGAAAAGGGCATGAATTTTCATTGAATGACGAATCCGAAAAACCTACACTCATCACCAAACAACAGAAATATTACAAATTGAATGTTTGTAACTTTTGACATAAGACTGGGACATAACCATGATAACCTAGCAATACCCTGATCTGAAGGAATTACCAAGGGGGTACACAAAAATAACCTTAATATGAAAACATTCAAGGCCTCAGCACTAAATGCTGATTACTGACATAAAATAGACAAAAACACTTTCGTATGATAACAACAATTGACAAAAGGAGGACCATAAGAACACATGCTTCCCAATAATAATCATAATCATGATAATTGAATGTCATTGTCCAGCACTCTGCGAGTTTGTCAGTGTTAATCTGTACTACGCTGCTACATAAATAATCCAAAATGTAAAGACATACAGAAAATCACACAAGCAAGCTATCAAAATCAACAAATGTTCTTATTATCTGAATGAATCTCGGAGTGACCTAAAATCCTTTTCTAAAAATGTGCTCCACCGCTTTCAAAATCAATCAATCCTCTTTCTTTACGTGCGGGGTATTCAATTGTAATTTGTATCCAACATTGACGAAGAAATGCAATTCCGGAACAAACCTGAAGTAAACTGAGCACCAGTGTTCGGTCGTAAATTGTAAACAAAGACAATTATTGCTACATTTCTCATGCTCTATTCAACTAACTCTTCTTCCATATTTTTATTTTCATCCGAACCTTGGATGTAAGACACTTTCCCATTGGCTGAGAATTAAAAAGTTATCCAGGTACGTTTGCGGAATATGAATTGTAGAGTTGTAGGTGGTCGTTGTTCTTTCTGACACTTTACCCAAGTAAAATTATGTATATCGTTGACCCCACAAAAACACGTTAGATTATATCCTAGATACTAGACAATCATTTAATTGTACCACAATTTCATATTTATAACAGGGGTCAGTTTCGCTTGACTGAGTTCAATTAGTGCAGTACGTGAAATCGACTCCTGAGCTGTTATATTCCATGTGGTCTCCAACAGAAGACAATTGTATCTATAGCAACCGCATTTATGGTAGTAGGATGGTATGTACGCTTCCAAGAAATGAAGAGTCGTTGTAAAAATTAGTTGAATTATGAAAAGAAGACTTGTTCACAACCAATCGATAATGAAATCAGACCTTAAAATGGGAATGATCAATTCTACAAATATATGTTTCTATCATATCTGACGTCGCAATTGCTAAATGTCGAATCAAAGACGTATATACAATATTCATACGTCTTTAGTCGAATCTACGAACGTTGTGACGTTACAACCGGTTGGAAATATCACTAAGAAGCTGTAATGTTTACAACAGCTAATCAAACATAAACAAAAGCGGCAATACGTCCCCAGCTACCATGACTCGCCTCTATCCGTCACTCGACAAAAGAATTCGTAGACTATCGGCTTGTCACGAGTGTCCACGACTGTAATACCCACTTTTACATACGGTTCAAGTGATAACCTTGACCTTCTATCCCACTTCAGGGACAATAACTAGGAGTATTACACATAAGGGTAGAAATTAGTCTGTCGTCCAGACCCTGAAACAAATATATCCAATACAGCCCATGCAAGTCTATAATATTTGGCAAGTCTAGATTACTGCAGTATCTGAAAATTAAGAAAGTCTCTGGGCTCCTCTTTAATCGTTTATCTTTTTAAACTTCATAATCTATTAATAGTTTATACCTGTAATCTAACAACTGTATTTGTTCTCTGTAACAATATTATTTTGGGGAGAATTGTGGTATGTAATAACTTTCGGATATGTGCACATAACGGTTCTCGATGTTGATTGGTCACTTGAAACCATACTACGTCATATTGTTGAGAAAAATACGATATGACGTCATCCATTGCCCATGACGTCACAAATTGATTACATGACATAATTACATTTGAACAACAGGCTGCCTTCGGTGAAGTTTATCTGTAGGGTTGACATTTCATACGTTTTTCCTCATTTTCTCTCTTTCAAATGTCAATGACTAATATATGTATTATAGAGGATTGTATTTGAGTGTCCATGTCATACTTTGTTTACGAGTGTCTAAATTCGAGAGCGAGGAGTATGATATGGATGACATGAACACAAATATAATGTTCTATTTATTACCGAAGGAGATGTCTACATACAGAGACGAATTTTATTGTTTACCTATAAACACAGCAAGTCGCAACATCAGCGGAACCACAATTTGTCGAATGACGTCAAAAATCTTCAGCTATGACGTCGATTCTAGCGTGACGTCATTCCGACCTCACTTCACAATAAGATTCGCATGACGTGAACAATGCCATCGGATGACGGAAACAATACGCTGTTGTCTCGGGACATGATATGGCCCTAGGAGCACATATGAGTTTTATGAACCCCGATATGTTTGCCCAGTAGTGTTTGCAAACACAACAGCAACGACGCTCAAGATGCTTTTGGAAGAATTTCTTCAACTTATGGTAATTCAAGCGCCATGTTGTTAGTATGCAGGACACCTATAAGAAACTTTGAAAAGTCACATTAGCGCCGCGCTTTGAATATCTGACCAAACAGTCGGTCACTCGCACTGCCGGGATCCCGTCAGCTGAATTTGTTTCATGTCCGTACCATTTTGGGAAATCAGAGTGTTCGCCAAAGACATTCATGTTAACTGTACCACCCTATACTGAAGACGTGAAAGTCAACAAACTCAAGTCTGTTTGCATCTCAGTGACAGCGTCGAACGAAGGGCAAGGTCACCGCCGGAATAAGAAAAGACAACCGTGATCTATTCACAGCGTTTTACGCTAGAGATAAGGAATGTTATTGTTAACATTTGGGACATTTTGAGCCACATAATCAGAATTCAGGCACACTTCTACGGAGTTTTCGAATGATTTGTATCGGAAATGTTCACTTAGAGTGAACTGGTCGTGCAGTCGTGAACAAACAACGCCGCAAAATACGCTTCGAAGGGGACACTCATTGCACAACAGGATCATCCTAAGTAAGTCTTTATGTCTGTCCAGATAGATTAAACTGACTTCATTTCACCACGCTTATCCTTTTAAGTTAAATCAAATTGAAAGTTGCGAAAGTGGTCGGGTACGTCACGCTCATGGGGACTCTCGATCTTTTGATCGGTAGTCGTATCATGTACAATGTAAATGGATAGCCCATAGTTCGATTATATAATGTCTGTAGGAGCTCTGTGCATAACTTATATAGAATGAAAACCGAATGCGATGCGTGTGACTATCTTGTTTGGTTTAATAAAGTGTTTGTAAATATCTCATGCTTTCATGATATTGCTTCAGTTCCGCCTTGTAGTTGCAAAATGAAGGACGACTCGCGAATTTTTTATGAATGAAAAAAGTAGTCCCGGTGTGACAGAACACACTCCGGTACAGTGGTCGGCCGTACCACACACGTGTGACGTACGGGTTTAGTATCTTACCACCTGTATCTACACCACGTGGGTAATACATAGAGGGTATTATATTCGTGTTCATATCATACTATGTTGACATAAACAGGAATATAATGTTCTATTTATAAACCAAGAAGATGTCAACATACAGAGACGAATTGTAGTGTTTACCTGTAAGGACAGCAAGTCGCAACCTCAACGGAACCTCAACAATCTTCAGCTATGACGTCGATTCTAGTGTGACGTCATTCCGACCTCACGGCACAATATGATTCGAAGATGGCGTCGTAGGTAATAATATTTATTTATTATCGGGGTAAATATCAGGGTTCATAAAAAAACATATGTGCTCAAGGGGCATATCACGTCACACGAGACAACAGTGTATTGTTTCCGTCAGAACGGACGGCATTGCTGACGTCATTCGAATCTTATTGTGATATGAGGTCGGAATGACGTCACACTGGAAACGACGTCATAGCTTAAGATTTTTTACGCCATTCGACAAATTATGGTTCCGCTGCTGTTCTTATAGGTAAACACATAAATTCGTCTTTGTATGTAGACATCTTATTCGGTAATAAATAGAATATTATATTTGTGTTCATGTCATACTATTATATGTTTACGACACTCGTGCCTAAATTCCGGTATTTGATTCGCCGTGACAGATAAACCATAGTTCGTCGTAGCTCGTTGATTATTCTCTAATTAACTCTGTCGAGATCTGTATCTCACGGCTGACATAACAATCACGCCATATTTGAGTATACGAATTAAAACGCACCCCAATAGCTTATCAGATCGAGTGACTAAATTGGACCATAACACGCGAACACGTGGCGTAGCCATATCATTATATTATGTATGACATACCATGATTGACAAAACATTGGCATTAATTGTGCATTCAATCAATACGACGGGGACAAGTATCGGCTTCTTTACTACCCTTAATTCGTGGACACTCGACCCATGGTGTTTTGCGAGACCAAGAACAACACTAATGATTATTATATATTCAAAAACAATATTGATTTGATAAATAAGTGATTTCTCTGCAAATGTACATGTTATAAGTACAATTGTCATTCTGATAGACGTAGGTGTAAACACGGTTAAGTAAGACTAAAATAAACCGCAGACTACATATTCAACGGTGACAGTAACGGAGCGCTTTCTGTTCCATCAGTCGATTCCCATTTTGGCAGTAACCATACTTACAGTGCATTCTGGGATACTTGTCAAAATGGAGGAGGTTGTTGAGGAGGAAGAAGGCAAACACATTCGGCTAACTTGACCGCTCATGACGCTGTACTCACAAAAAGACAGAGACAGCATTCATTGACACTGTTTAAATATTTACACGATAGTCTTTTTGAAAATGGTACTAAGCAGTCCATTGTTGACACAGTGGGACGAAGTGTCATGGTGGTTGACAAATCTCGTCCTCAGTACAGAATGTCAGTTTACGTCTTTGGATACAACGGTGATGTAACTCTTCACACTTGAGGCTGATGGTCTCTGGTAAGAACTGTGCGGAGTAGTTCAATAATTACTTATTGTGATTTTTGTAACAGCCTGTTCTTTGCAACATAATACACCAAAGAATAAGAATATTGACTCGTATTATGACCTATCGACAAATCAGTCACAAAGTGTACACTTTTCGCTAAGTTAGAGTGCAAAAGGTGTGTTTTCTTTTGTATATTTTCCTGGAAGTAGTGATAAATGATGCAATAGCCTTTGAGGTATTGGTCTAAGTTCGTGATATAAACATGATGCAAGCCCATTATCAGGTCCTACATGCTATTTTGACACATTCGAAAGTCTATCGCATATCAAAAATAACTTCCAGACAGGTCTAGGAATACTTTGTTAAATGGCATACTTCATTTGGAAACTATTCATAGCAATCATATCAATTTCAAGCTAATGATTCTGTGTTCACAAATGTCATGAAATTTAAATGACAACACCATTATGTTCCATGACATTTGTGAACCATATGACTATTGATAGAAATGTCAGTTTGCAATGAGGAAAGATTCAGTTTATAGAAGCATTGACTGTGGACTCAAATGTTAAGACATGCTAACTATGCCATGATGTATTTGTCCACTAATTATGAGTCAACAGGAAGTAATCAAAGACTATTCTTGCTAACATATTAGAACTTGTGGAATAACATTACACAGCTAGTTTGAACAAGGTGTATGTTATATTGTTTGATCAAATGAAGTATGCATTGTGATTGTGTATTGACCGATGGTAATACATTGATGACAAGTTGAATATTGATAGTTGTCACCAATACATTGCTTGACTTTATCAATGGTATCCAGTATGTGTTACCTCCAACATGTTACTCTTCCATACTTGCTATGTTCTGAAGGTAGGGTTAGACTTAACCATGTTGACACAATGTTTAATACATAGTAAAGACATGAAAGATGCTCAACTATTGATACGTCTCAATGGTGCTTTAGATGACAAACCTATAATCTATGCTTATAATAACATGAATCTTTAGTTTATGGTTTGAATCTAAAAGTTGTGAAGTAATTTGCACTTTGTTATTGGAAATGAATATCATAAACATGATAAATATCATCATGATCATGAATACAGACAGGATAGAAGTTAAGGAACTTTATAATTTCAACATGTTAAATAATATAATTTACTTTTTATTTACAATTTCTCCATGCTTATCATTCTTATACTTTTTCCTTTAGGAAATGTCCAGTGGTGAAAACATTTCAAGCATGTCTGAGAGGGATTCCAGTGATGAAACTGGGCAGAACAGGAACTGTCTTGGCCACCAATTTGATCCAGGTTCAAATTCCAAACCCATCACCAGCCACATGAATCTTGTTGATGGATCACAGATGCAGTTGGGTGTTAATCTTTCTGACAACCACCAAGCAAATGGTTATGGGAGCATGTCAACATCCAGTGAAGATGATGATTTTGTTGATGCAGTGGTCAATGGCAGTGTGTGCAATGGTTCAGTTCATGAGAATGAAAACCACTTGAACAGCAGAGCATTAACTATGCTAACAAGTGAACCCAATTCTCAGTTGGAAGAACCAACAGATCATCGCTATCCAAATGGAATAGAAAGACATGGCTATATGTCTGCACCTAGTAGTGCTATAAGTGCTTCTTTTACAACATCTAATGGCAGGGACCGGAGTGTTAGACCTAAACAGCCAATACCACCTAGACCGAAATCTGTTCAGAAAAGCAAGAAATCATGTGAGCGAGAAACATTGCAGAGTTTAACTGAGCCTACCTTCCAGAGTGGACACTCTCCCAGTCAGTCTATGCAGCAACATAATGTAAATCTGCATAATACCCACATTCGACCTCCTGTGTGCATGCTTTCTGATGTAAATAATAAACAAAATGGTTGTGTGGGCCATCCCACATCTAATGGTGTTTATCACTCTCCTTACATGCCCTGTAGCAGACCTCAGAGTCTTATGTTATCACACATACACATGGAAAATAGACCGGCTAATATTTGTGGCAATGGTGAGTTTGATGAACCTGACTTGTTTGATATGGTTGATGAAGGTGCTGTCTGTGATTATGATAAACTTCTTTTAAGTGATGAACATAATTCTCCTTCCGAGAATAGTCGGAGCGAGGAAGCAGACAGTGAGTTTTTGAATTACCACTTTCCCAACACCCAACTGGATGGCATGGCTGTGAATTGCAGTCACTGTAACCATGGTACCGCAACTGAACATTGCCAGTATTCCGCAGACTCCCAACACGGAGAGTCATTCCATAATTCTCAAGGACAGTGTATGTGCAGGTCCAATCTTTCAGCGTCAGGTGAAGTAGATTTTGACAATAGTGATTACTTGAAGCTGTTCGATGAGATGGATGGTGAACACTATTCGGCAGAGGATGAGGCACAAGAAACCTGGGAGGATACAGGGGATTTCATTGACACAGATCTTCCAGCACAAACTCCCGGAATGATGTCAAGTTCGGCTGGGTCCTCCTCCTCTTCTCTCAGTGAGGATGAAGGGGCTGGAGGTCTCTTTCATCAAGTGAGTCGAGATTCAAAAGAAAATGACCTCTCGAGCAACAGACTCAATTCAGACATTGTTCCATGTGGAATCCTTGGTGACAGAATGTATGGACATCTAAAGAAGGGAGGCAATTTGTGTTTTCCAGTTGATGCTTCCATGTGTCCTTCTCAAAGATTGGTCATGGAGTCCAGTCATCACCATGGTGTCAACAGTAGTGAGAGTGAAAATGGAGATGATTATCAAGTGGACATGGTTCTTAACTGTGATGCAAATGAAGTGTTTTACGAGGAAGGAGCAGCAAGCTTAGAAGCTGCTGCAAGTTCCCGGAACATTCGGCCAGCAGGACTTCATAATGGTGCTGGGAGTGGGTACTGTGTTCATAATGACAGTGTTAGACTTGAGCCTACAGGTCCTGTACACCATGAGCATGTTGGCGGTGTGACTGCTGACTGCAGTATCGGGCCATCGCTGTTGTGTGCGGATGAAACTGTTCCCCCAGGGTCAGCCAGCTGCCAGCATAGCTCCTGCCCTATGGCCGTACCGGCTGGCTTGTGTGTGAACAACCTGAGCAGCATCTCGCCTCCCAATGTAGAACCATCGGCAGGGGGTTACCATGTTCCAGTGTCCAATTTCCAAAACGACAAAAGTAACAATCACCAAAAAGTGTTTATAAAATTTAATGTGACAAACCAAGAAAGGAAAAGAACAATAGGGCACATAAAGAGAGATTCCTCTCACCTCGGTTCCCCCATTTCCCCGGATGATCCGGAGTCTAGTCAGCTGGAAGATGAGGATGGGGACCTCGCTATAGATCAATATGAGTACCAGCATGTACCAGAGTATTTCCAGGAGCAGATGATGATGATTGCAGCTGAGATGGCCAGGACTCGAGTCAATGCTGAGTTAGTATTTACTTTCTTATACTTTGTAATCTGCACTGCAGTGAGACCATCTTACACAATGGTTATGCATTATCTGTGGACTAATTTGTAGAATTCTAAAACAGAGCTCAAGATAAGCTTTTGGTTATTTTGGTATTTTGCCCAGGGGTTTGATTTTGATTGGGTATCCACAATTTTTAGCATGTTTAGAGGGTATTCAAAAATATTTATACACTCATTTCTTGACATTTGGGTATTTTAACCTTTTTCCCAACAATCCCTGTAAATCAGTTAAAAATAAATGAATAGTAGTAATACTAGTATACTGTCTGCATCTGCTTATCACAAATCTGTTTAAGATACATTCTTTATTCGAGTTAGTTTGTTGCACAAGCTTTTCCAAATGTAACTGTAGGTAAGTGAATTTCACGATTGGGCTGATGCACAATCATTTTTATCATATAGCGATCAGCCAGTCTGTCTGTCTGTCTGTCTGTCTGTCTGTCTGTCCGTAATCATTTCCTTTTCCGGGGCAGAATTTGAAAACCATTCAGTGTATTTGATCGAAACTTGGCAAATCTATCAGGCACATACTGAAGTGGTGCCTTTTGATATTTTGGGATTTTTCTAATTTTTATTTTTTAAATTTTTTATAGGAATGAAGTTGGACATAGACTCAATTAGGGATGGGGTTGGTTTCCGTGGCAGAATTCGAAAACCATTCGGTGTATTTGATCGAAACTTGGCAAATCTATCAGGCACATACTGAAGTGGTGCCTTTTGATATTTTGGGATTTTTCTAATTTTTATTTTTAAAAATTTTTATGGAATGAAGTTGGACATAGACTCAATTGGGGATGGGGTTGGTTTCCGTGGCAGAATTCGAAAACCATTCAGTGTATTTGATCGAAACTTGGCAAATCTATCAGGCACATACTGAAGTGGTGCCTTTTGATATTTTGGGATTTTTCTAATTTTTATTTTTTTAAATTTTTATGGAATGAAGTTGGACATAGACTCAATTGGGGATGGGGTTGGTTTCCGTGGCAGAATTCGAAAACCATTCAGTGTATTTGATCGAAACTTGGCAAATCTATCAGGCATATACTGAAGTGGTGCCTTTTGATATTTATTTTTTTACAAATTTTTATTTTTTACAATTTTTATGGCCAGAATTCGAAAACCATTCAGTGGGTAAACAATGTAAGCTTCTTAAAGGGGAAGTGTACACGCAAAAATCACTTTCTTTCTTTTTCTAAACAAAACGCAATTTTAGAATTAGTTAGTATCTGTGTTTGAAAATATACGCTCATTTTTTTTCACAGTGAAAGTAGGAAGCTCACAATAGTGTTAAAATGATATGTCGTTATGAGGCCTTCGTTTTACGAGCGAAATAGGCCTGAGTTATCCCCCTTAGATTATGACGTAATTGGTGCCAATTCAACTGGGTCCCTGTCTATTCTCAACGCAAAAGATATCAAGGACCAGTTTGCGGTAAAACAACATGGTCTACGACACACTCCGGCGTAGTGGTGACTCAGCATAACACAATTCTGGCTGGCATCTGAGACGCTAGAATCACAAAACTGTACCTACACCACGTGAAGCGGCTCTAACAAAGCATGATGACGTCATAATGTTTATCAATTGGCACCAATGACGTCATATTGCAAGGGGCATAAGCCATGGTGTTTTTGTTATGGAAATAGAACACTTGGTAAATGTGAAAAATATAAATCGTTTTAATGCAAAAAATATGTTAATTAAATATGATGTTTTTATATTTTTGTCTATGACACTTCTATGTTAACACTTTTAATGTGGAAAAAGTACAAGAAAAATTGGTTCATTTCCGTGTGAACATGCCCTTTAAAGAACATTCAACTGTTGACTCATTCCTTACAGAATTGCACATTTACTAGTGGTTACTTTACAGACAGCTGCCTGACATCTTTCTGATGACTCTTGTTTCTAACAGTTGGAATATACATGATATAATCGTCTCATGTAATAGTTGTAATATACACATTACTTTTATTTCAAAAGCATGTTTATATTTTTTGTTGCATATTTGATACGCTAGGATTTGATTTGTCTGCATATTTCAGTTTATTTAATGCATATTTTACTCAAATATGTAGCTTACCTCGAGCTCTGCTAGAATGCTGATCGGTTGTCACAATGTGTGGCTGTGTGAGTGTGGTACCTATGCAGCCTGGATTGTTGCTTGTAGTATCAACCGTTGGTTTGCCCAGTCCACACTTGATTATTATCCCCCGCCCCAACGAAGTTGGCAGGGGATATAGAAATGGGTTCCGTCCGTGTGAGTGCGCGTGCGTGTGCGTCCCGAAATCGTTTCCGGAGCATAACTCAGAAACCTGTAAATATTTCTCTACGAAACTTTGCATGTCTATCAGACTCCTGCTGAACTGGTGCCTTTTGCTATTTAGGAATTTTATAAATTTGTATTTTTTACGTTTCCATGGCAACAAGTTGGACTTAGGTTCTATAAGGGTGGTGTTCGTTTCCGCAGCGTAACTCAAAAACCATTGAATACTTTCTTACAAAACTTTGCATGTCTACTAGGCACATACTGAACTGGTGCCTTTTGCTATTTAGGAATTTTAGAATTTTTTATTTTTCACGTTTCACGTTTCCATGGCAATAAGTTGGACTTAGGTTCTATAAGGGTGGTGTTCGTTTCCGCAGCGCAACTCAAAAACCATTGAATACTTTCTTACAAAACTTTGCATGTCTACCAGGCACATACTGAACTTGTGCCTTTTGATATATAGCACTTTTAGAAATTTTTATTGTTTATGTTTCCATGACAGCAAGTTGGATTTAAGTTTTAATATAGGATTGGGTTTACTTGAGTAGTACAACAAATAAACTGTTTAATATTTCCTTGCCAAACATTGCATGTCTATATATAAAGCGCATACTGAACTAGTGCCATTTGATATTAAGGAGGTTTAGAAATGTTTATTTTAGAATTTCCATTGCAGCTATTTTGACATGGGCTAAGAGAAATGTTGGGTCAGTTACCTGGTTTGGGACCATAACGTGTTAAAACGGGCGGGGGATATAGATGACTTTGTCAACTATATGCTTGTTTACCATGTTTCAAGGCTGCCATGATACATCTTGAATATTGTTACCTACCATATAAACCAACATTTGGTAACTCAGATTCTTTAACAGGGCTGGATTTAACATGTTTAAGGAACTTGATTTAACTTGCACCTGGGGCATGTTGCACAAAACAAAACCAGGTTCAGCAATAGAAACTGACCGTTTTTGTCCACTAGTCCTTATGATACCTTAACCATGTTAACTATTGGGCATTTTGACAAGGACTATACGCAGTGATAGGACTAGTGCAAATTTCTAACTCTGAGGTTGCAACCTGGCCCCATATAATTTACACATGTTAAGGCATAGACAAGACAGTTTGCTGCCAGTGTCACATAAATTGATGAAGCATTGCTGTAAAAGGTAATAGGCACATGTACAGATCTTAAAATACCCAGTTTGATTACGTCAAACCCAATAAAATATGACAAATTTCATGTAACACAGGGATTAGCGATGAAGTATGGTAAATAACCTTCAGAGGTATTGAGTGTGTTCAAAGGTCAATTTTGTATAGAGACATGCTTGAAATTGTTTGACATGCACTTGGTGCATATTAGGTTGCATTCTTCAATAATAGGTTGCAATGGTGCGGGTTTTAGATTGCTAAACCAAGCTCTGTTTAAGCATGTTAAAGTTTCACAGTGTAAATAGGTAAAGTTGTACAGATTTGAAAGCAAACTGTGATCATGGTGAATGGGCCAAATTATTAAGGTAATCTGTTTCAAAATCTGCTGACCCTATCATGTCTGAGACATAATCATGATGATAATTGTCAGTAGACTTTAACTGTGTCTATCTTAACAGATTTATATGAAGAAAACTTGGGTTTTGTCTGTCCTCGTTCGTCCCAACATGTCTGCATACCATCAGTGTTTTCATGTCAAAATTAAACAAACTGAGCCAGATATTATCTTCCCATGTCCAAAGATGAAAAAAAGAATGTTTAAACTTGTCAAAAATGCCGCCACCTTGTCTTTTCGCAAATATCTAAATACTGATTCCAATGTAACACTTCAATGGGCATAAAAGTGAATAAGATACTAGTCACTGGTGTCGGCGCTATACCATTTTTGGGTTGCAACAGTGCCTCATCTTCCCGAGGCAAGGGAGTTAACTGTCTGTAAAAGTCCAGTTTCAACCCTTGGTGAACTAAGCTGGAATTTCGAGTGGCAATTAACAGTTATGTCCTTCCTATTAACATGATTAACTAATCAGATTTCAAGTCTCATATCACTTGCAATTTTGTTTGCTTCAAATTGCCCAGTGAAGTCCATCTGATTGATAATCAAGATCTATTTTGTAATAAAAGGGGGCTTACTTTCTGCTATTGACTGAAATTTGCGTGGCAGTTTACAAACAGGAGGTTGATTTCGTTATACAATTTTAGATCTGTAGACTATAGACTTGTTTGTCCAACCAAATTATAACTCCATAATTCCATATCTCCATAAATTTGCCCCTTTTAAGGGTTTTGCTGTATGTTATCATTACAAGGACGAGTGGTCTAACTGTTAGTTTCTATTGCTGAGCTGACATGTCGGGTAATAACTTATATACTGCTGAAAGCTTTTCAGACATATCAAACGTAACTGATTATCTCAAATTTATGGTTTGTGATGATCATGTCAGGGATACAAATGTATTTCATTTCGAGTGTGCCACAGGGCACCTCAAGAAGATCTTAATGTGTGCCCTTTAGAATTTGTGTGCCAACCCATGTTGGCTGAATATAGTCAACAGATTACCCAAGTCACCAATTGGTCAAGGAGCCTGAGCTCCCACTTCTCACGTGTTACAGAGATTTTCTGTAACCAGTGCAGCTACCAGCTTTACTCATTGTCTACTTTATACCTCAAGGTCGGGTGTCTCGGAGCCCATCTACGAGGACATTGAACCGCTGCCTGAGACCGAGGAAGCTGGCAACATGGCTGCCTCGGGCCTCCCAGCAGATGCTCAACAAAAAGAAGCAGCCTACAGAAAGGTTAGTAAACAAAAGTTGAGTTGGCCAGGGCAAACAGACAATACAAGTCACATTGCCTAGCTTATGATGTGATCAGGATTATGGTCAGTTCACAAAAAATTGTAAGGTTTGTTCGAGGCTAAATTCTGAGAGTTTGGTCCCTTTTTCATGTTCATTGTAGAATGAAGCATAGACAAGAAGTCGTCATTAGCCAATCAGAAGGCAGCTTTCACGAGCTTTGCAACACTAGTTTCAAACTGGCGACTTCACTTTGAAACTTAGTATGACTAATTCTCAATTAAAAAAATGAAAACTGAACAAGAGAACATTTTGGAATGGTTAATAGATGGTCCAGATTGTCTGGCAGTACTTACCACGGGCAATACAACGTCTCTTCTGTTCAAATGTTTATCCCACTGAAGCAAGAGATAGCCGATGATTTTGAGGGATTCAGTCGTAAAGCTTGTAACTGTCGTTCAAACACCCTGTGTTAAACGTTTGAGGTTGCATGACATATTCCAACTGTCCCTTTCCTGATCTGGTAAGCAATGCTCTGATTGGTCAGATGAAAGGTCGTTCTGACGTGACCCATAATGGGATGTCCTCAGATATTTGTAAAGCAGTAGCCAGAACTAAGATCTGATTTTAATGAGATTGTGCTTGAGTCTAATTCTTTAGAGTTTATTATGTTTTATTCTACAATGAACTTGAAACAGGAACCTGAACAATCTCATTTAGTAGCTAGAACTTTGATTCTGTAGATTGAGCCCACTTAGTACTGTGGATGGGTTGTTCCGGCTCAGGTGTCTCTGAAAAGTGCTCACAGAATTAGGATGCAGTTTTTGTCATAGTGGACATGTCATGCATACCAGCCGAAGGGAAAATATCTCTTCCCAATTACTCATTGTTACATTGGAAAGGTGTATGTGCAAGAAAAGTGTGTTTTATGCATAATCATGATTATCATGTGAATATTTCTTGAACATTTGCTAGAATTTGCTTTGATATTTGGCACATCAGCATGAGCCTATATCCTGATGGCCTCCATGTTGAATATGTAGATTTAAGCTTCTACATCTGCAATAATTAGTGTATCACTAGGCAATGAGTGATTCGATGTAATACAATCAGGCTGTTTGTTGTGCAGAAACATCAGACTCTTTAGTGTTTTCTTGATTCCCCTTATTTGTACCCAACCTTGTTTATGAGGTAATGCTGGAAATTTTATATGTGAATTTAGGTAAGCTACAGTGCCTTGTAGCTTTTGTTTTGTATGATTGATGGTCAGCATCCAAATGCTAGAGAAATCAATCATAAGACATCACACTTGAATATAGTACCTCTGCTTCCTGCAGTGCTGCCCAACTCCAGTGAGTTATCATTTGTTGTAGCCTCCCCTGAGATTGACTCCGAGACGGAAGGATCGGCGGTCCAGCAGTGGCGGCAAGTCGGGTATAGAGAAGGTCATGATATGGAATGAGTATGAGGCCTACGTGCTCCAGGTGAAGCAGATAGCTACATCAGCATGTGGGCCCACTGCCGTTCTCAATGTCTTGGTGAGAAGAATCTCTTGAACTTTGGGCTATCATTGGAAATTCTGTGTTGTTCATAGTGTAATTTTGTTATATGTTGTTATTGACATATGTATATGTGTATAAGGGAAATTGCATTGCTCCCTAAATAAGATTAAATCACCTGATATTTTATCAGATAGCTTATTTCTTACCCTTATACATTTTCTTGAATGCATGAAACATTTAGTATGAATTTCAAAATTTGGTATCTGCATAAGCATAGATTTTATGTTTGTGCCATTCACAAGTAATGTGCAGTAGCTGCATATGGATGATAAGTAGTGAAAATATATTGAGTCATCACTTCTAAGAAGTTTGACATTACATTGCACGCCCCCTCTACACAGCTGTATTTTGGGGGAATACTGTGGGCAATATACTCAAGAAACTACATAGATGAGGGACACAGGCTGACAAATTATCAGATAAACTTTTATGTGGTACATTTTATAGTTTTTATACCAGTAAAATTGGTAAAAATACTAGTATTTGCCCATTCATCTGATCAAATCTACATCAAGGAGAAGGAATCAAGTAAAAGGGGTAGTTAAATTATGCTGGTTTACCACAGATTCACCAAGGTTGGCACAGTCTGTGTTGCCCTTGTCAGATGGTCTGCTGCTGGCCTGGAATACATGCTTCCATTGCTGTACTAGGGGTTGCGTTTTGTTTGTGTAAGACTAAGAGAGTATTAAGCTGACTGTTTCGATCTTTGTCAAAATGCCCTTTCAGAAAGCATTTGATGTGTGTGTTGACAAGGATGAAGTGTGTAAGAAGATCCACACCAACCTGAGAGATGAGCTTGGCTCCATCCCCACGTACTTGTTCTCAAGGGCTGTGGCGGGTAAGTATGCTACTTGGTCTAAGATTTTGTTTAACAGGACTTGATGACGTATTCTGCCTATTGTTTAGATCGCTCATATTTATCTACCCAGTTAGGTGATGTAGTGCAGAGATGCCAGCCATTACAATTTTGTCAGAATCGTTTGCTGCCAGAGCGTTTAAGTGAAATGTCTTACGAAGTTTGTCAAAAACACATCACCTGTAATTAACAGGATTAGATCTATTTTTGACCTATTCAGATATGGTCACATATAGAACCGATTACTAATCACATAATAATGTTTTGGCTTGTGATGGTTTGAGGGATTTGGGGGTATAAAATGCCATGCAGTAGATGATATATTTGTATTCAAATCATGCAGTCAATCATACAAATGATAATTTCCTATTTTCAACAAATGTGCCACATATTTCTAATGGCCTAAATTTAGGTTTGGCATCTCTTGTTGGTTCTTATATCGCGCAATTCATAAAAGGCAAGTTTTTGTTCGGCTGGCCAAAAATGGCTGCTGAAGATGGCCTTGGTTGATGTGTTCAGACAGCTGGCCAGATGAAGGCCTGATTACACTCTGCAGAAAGCATAGCTGGGATATTGCTGGCCACACTGTGAAAGTATGTTCGCTCACAAACTAGGTATTGCTATAATGTTTAGTGACCCCATGGGGATTCTGGGTTAGAACAGGGTCCCAGCATCCTATGCTTATAGGAGGCACCAATGGATTAGGTGGTCATGATATCAACCACTGGTTTGTCTTGTCCAGTCAGGAATATTACAAACCACTATCACATTGCTGGAGTTGACAGGAACAGCGTAAAGCAACATTTATTCTTCAATCAAACAGCATTAGAATCAATCCAGAGCTAGAGATAAGCTGCATATTTGCATAAAATACCCCCCAAAAATATTCAAAACACAATTACTTTCAATTAACTTGGGTACAGAAACGCATGCATTAAATGAAAAACTCAAATGTATTAAAACGGCATGCGTTAATACCCAATGAAGCCTTTCAGCATGCGTACAATGGAGCTTATTTGTGAAACACAATTGCAAGCTAACTTACTTTCCGTGTCAAGCCTTTTGTTAGAACCCTTATATACATCTAAAACATTATTTTATTTTTTTGAATTCTCAAAATGTTGGCTCATTTTAGGAAAAACCCAATAGAGTGATGAATAGATGAGTGAAAAAATATTGGTTACCTAATGAAAAATGTAATAACCCAATTAAAATAGAAATATTCAAGTAAAAACTCAATTGCTCAAAAAGTTATCTGGAGCTCTGCAATCCAATGAGCATTAGACAGCAAACAAACAAAGCTTCTACAATGAATGGTCTGTTGCCAGGCACCACGGCTGAGGATTTGCTGCATGGTATAGAGAGTCTGACTCAGGGCAGGATACGTGGTCGATTCTTCCACTTCTGGCCATCCAGGGATGTGCATCTGCTCAAATGGCTGGGGCAGTGGATGAAGAAAGGTCTGTACATCACAGCTTAAAGCATACTCTATGTCACCAATTTATTGTCATATTCAGGGCTATGAAAAAAGAAGTACATATAAATCAACAACTTTCCATCCTGCAGCAGTGGGGCTTTAGTCGTTCAGTACACATCATGGAGCCCAAACTTGGCGAGATTGTTACAAGACTGCTGAAATCTGAGTAAAAGAAATACTCACTTTCTAAAAACTCATTCCTCTGTCTAATTGGTAGATATTTTACCGTCTTTCATATTCTCCTCAGACTTGTTTGTAAGGGAACATGTGTCACGGTCCAAGCGAATTGGAAACATTTCCATGTTAGATTTGAAATGCAAACTTTATGTCTGATTTTCACTGTTTGTAGTAAAGATGGTTAATTTAGATGAAACCGTATACTTGAAGTATTGTAGATGATCAGGGTGATGATGTGATGTATTGTGAACCTAGGTGCAGTCCCTCTGGCTACTCTGAACCTACAGAAAGGGGTCAAGACGGGCTGGACAGTCCCCGATGCCTGGCACCATCAGATGGTCTATGGTGTGAGCTCTAAAGGTATTGTGTTAGAGGAAGATATGTGTTTTAGTTTGCTTCTGATTTCTTTTGAATGTGATTGCTCCAAAATGAGACTCCATAGGTCAAAAAAACTTTACGTCGTTTAGTTTGGATTGTTTTGTTATCACACAGCCATGTTATCTGATAGTATTAAAGTTTGTTTTCGTGACTCAACATAGTTATGTACCCAATATGCAACTATATCCACTCGTCCAAAGCCTGTCTAGTACAAACTCATGCTGTCGAAGTTCGCTAAGCTCATCATAGCTTTGGAATAACACTAGTGTATACTGAAATTAATGCCAGAAGACAGGTTTGGGACAGTACATATAGCAGATACAAAGGCCAATGCCTGGGCTGTAAGCCCTTTTAAATGATTTGGATGTTGCTAGGGCCATGTTAACATTGCTTTATGCCATGGACATTGCTTTATGTACAACATGATTTTGGCCTTGTTGGTTTTTATGATGCCATGTTTGCTCCTTTTTCGGGGACTTAGAGATCTAGTGCACTGGGGTGTCGTTACTCGCTATGCAGAGTTGCCTCCCTTAGCTGACTCAATCTTGTCATGGCTTTGATTCCACCAGTCATCCTGACTTAGGAATCTTGGTCTGTCAGCACCATACTCATACACCATTCTTTTTGGACTAAAAGTCAAATTCTACTATGACTTCTGATTGGTCAATCACAGGTTTGAAATCACTATAACAACCTCTGATTGAAACAACTGATTTGATAGGCATATCACCAGGGAAGCTGATATGTATATGAAATAACTTTGTACTTCATTCTCATTGATTGTTGGCAGGCATTTTATGATAATATACCAGTATTATATTTGCAACACAAAATGAGGAGTTGCAATTCTAAGAATATTCAAAATATGTGTGATTTTACATTTTAAGCAGGAACTATGATAGAAAATAAGGGGGAATGATTGACATGACATTCATTATGTTACAGTATAGGTTCTGAATTTTTATGGGTGCACAATGGAAATTTCACTTCATTTTCTTATGTGTTGATGACATATTTTGTCCAATGGAAATAATCAGTGATTCCTTAATTCAATTAAGCAGCCTTCTCCAGACATTAGTGTCTCGTCACTCAGTATCTCCTCACCACAGATATAACTATGAGTTTTGTAATGGTAGAATGTAGATATATATAGATAATATTACAGTGTGTTCGAATGTAGGGCTATTTTACCTGTGGATGTCATTGTGCTATGTTAAACACTGAGAGCTTGGTTCCACCAATTCAGCACTGTCAAGTCTACAGGTATCACAACTCTAAGTTGAAAATACAGTAGGTTTATGTTGTAATTTGCCTGACCCCTACCATGTTCATGTACAGGTGTGTACCTGACGAATCCCCTGGAGAACGTGGCGGAAGAGACTGTACTCGAACAGCTGGTCAGTGATTCCATTCTTCTGGTAAGACGCCAGGATGTAGTCAACCGTTTCCGTGACAACACTGACCTAGGGGAGATTATTCGACATCCAGACGACAGATGGCGAACTCTAAATGTTCTAGGTACAGAAATTGACTTTATTATTGATGATAGTAAGAATATTAAAATGCTTAAGATGGTTTATTTATTATGTTAAGAATTTTTTTCAATACAATTGTTTTTCCTTGGATTTGTGGTCCTTACTTGATTCAATGGTAATAAATAGTCACTGAACTGCAAAGCAGCCCTATATATTCATGTGACTGAGCAGCAGTGTATACAATCCCCTAAAGAATTATGAAACCTAAAGATATAAATGTTCATGCCAAAAATATGACTCATTGCATCATGACTTAACCTGACTTTAATAGGGAGAGAGCATGTAGGCATGATAGAATGGGGAGGCACACTTTTTCTATGATTCTTGATGTGAAGTTTTCCACCATTTCAGGACAAGTTGTGAATGTACTGCGCGAGTCCAACATGCCGCACCCCGTGTACAGAGCTCAGTTGACCTCCCACATCTCCATCCCCGCTGTGTACAAGGCTGGCATCACCCTCTTCGTCCAGGGAGAGTCGGATCTGTGGCAGGAACTGATTGCCACATCTGACTTGCCTCCCCGAGATTCCCCACACCCTTAACACCCGACAGTCTCCACTACACGTCCGCCTCTTGTAGTACCACCTCTGAATTGAATGAAATCACTGTTACTTGAAACACTTTCCGATTTCTATAAGCACTTTTGAGAATTGAGTGAATATGTCAAGATGTTTGCATAAAGGAAGAGTATGCATTTGTGAAGCATGGGCCTTCGGAGGGTTAGAAGAATCTGTGCCTGGATACTTCGGCATTTTCAGAGTTATCGGAGTCCTTTCATAATAATATACTGACAAGATTAATTCTATCTTAGTGTACATGGGCAATTATGCCAATCATATTACAGTCAGATATTAGTGCTCGCTAAAACTACACAAAGATCTGAGGACACCCTATTACAGGTCACGTTAAAACACCTTTTGTGAACTTTGACCAACCAATGAAATGCCTAACAAAAAGTTAGCCAATCAGAATGCAGCTTTCTCGAGCTTTATGCACTAGTTTCAGACTACGCTTTGAAAAATATTGATTCAAAATTTGAAAACTGAACAAAAGAAAATTCTGGAATGTCAAATAGATGGCTGAGATTGTAAAGCAGTACTTCACACGGGCAATGAAATGTCTCTTCTGTTTCAAATGTTTATCCCATTGAAGTGAGATGGAATCAGTCGACCAGCCGTAACTACTGTTCAGTATACCCTGTGTTAACTTTTTATGGTTGCATGGTTAGAAAACACATTCCAACTTGCAACTTTCCCAATCTGGTAAGCGATAAAAAGCTGGTCTGATATGACCCGTAATAGGATGTCCTCTGATCGTTGTTTAGCGGAAGCGAGAACCAAGATTTGATTTTAATGAGATTGCAATTATGCAAGCTTTAGGCTGGTTCTATGCAGTTCACCTTAAACTGGCATTTTTGCCATTCGTTTAATCTGCTACAAATTACTAATTGGCATTTGGTTGAAGTACATATTGGCTGATTGGTGTTAGGTATGAAATGATATGTGCATACTTGCCTCCTGATTCTTTTCCTGTATAAACCAGGTAAAGTTGCCACTCCATCTGGTGTGGTTGGCAGGAATCGGTCATTAGATGATGCTTAAACGTTCATCAGGATCATCGAGGAGGGAGGCATAGAGATAATTCAGATGGTTAGTGACAATGACAACAGGTTATGAAGCATAATGCTGCTATCGAGGAGGCTTCAGCTGATCTCAGCCTTACAGAGAACTATGTCCTGGGTGATATACATCCACAGCTGTGGCAGAAACAAACCAATGTATATGTACGAAGCAGAGAATACGTAGATAGCTTATGAGTTACTTTGAATGTTCCATCAGTGTAACCTTCTTAATCTGGACCTTGTTATTCTCAACCTCGGCCACTGGGAATAAATTGTCAATTTCAATTTTGATAGAAAGTGAACATTCTGGTTCAGTGTGGTTCCACTGTTTTCCTGTTTATGTTGGTAAAATATTTGAATAAGGGTGTAAAATGAGGCTTATGTGCTAGCTGTAATGGTCCAGGTTGCTGCAGGCACTTGACCAAGGTACCAGGTACCAGAAACTATGATAGTGTTTGACTTGAAGAAAATGAACTTTCTGTTGATTTTTTATAAAAACTTGCTTATGTAATGTAGGGCTGGTAAACGGTGTGGAAAAAAACTAATTGTAAAGATTTTGTTTTGTATTTATTTTGAAGGGGCCCAATTGTGAAAATATATACTGGTACCCGTGTGAAACAATAGTCAAGTATGGTTCTGATATTCATATGAATAACAAACTAACAGATGTTTTCTCTTATATAGTTAGTAAACTTGTTCCGATTCGTGTATAACAAATTTGATACTTATGTTGCATTTGTGGCCCATGTGTTTATCATATCCAAACTTGACTAAGCATTGGTGCTGTCTTCACAGAAATCATGGAAAATTATCTGATTGTTGAAAAAAATGTGAGTGATCTTCGGAGGAGGAAAACAGAACCTATTTTATGTGTACATTTGACTTGTGCTACTAGTGTGAATGAGACTTGTTTATGTGCTGTTGTATATATTGTTTTACCCCTGTTACTCTGTAGACCTGCTGTTGATCCTCCATGCTGTGCAGTGCTGGATCTGATCATCATCAACTTCTCCCTCACCGCCACCTTTTGTCCTCCGTCTGGTGTAGACAAGAACACTTGACATGCTTCTATAACAAATTGGAAATGGAAAACCTAATCAAAAGCACTCTTTTTTTTAATCTGCTGTATGCAAATATATGCTGACCACCAAAACACAATTAGTTAAACTAGAAGACACTAATAGGTTAAAATGACAAGAAATTTTTTAGTAACATGGAAACACAGTAGGAAGTTAGAAACATGTTCAGATAATGTTTTGAAGAACAAGTGGAAATCTGAAATGTGTTTTGGTTTTGTTATACACGTACACCTACTGGCTAGGCTAATAAGTCAACCTCTTTCTTAACCTTCAGAGATATAAGTATTAATATAAAGAGATTATGATATTGTGTCGTAAATAACAAGGTATTGAGTTGGTTTCTATCTAGATTTACATGGGCTAGATCATGAAACAAGGAATGTTTTTGGATATTGCAAGGGATGGTCTGTGTTGACTGTCACAGGAACGCGTCAGAGGAACACGTCAGAGGAACACGTCACAGGAACACATCACAGAAACACATCACAGGAACAAGCAGCCAATGAGCAATTGTCAACCTTGAATGGTGGAAGATGTCTGTTTCACTTGGCACGTTTAGTATCTCATGAATCTCAACCAAAATATATTTGTCCAAAATTAATCATGATTTCCATCATGATGTATAATGAAAACTGACGTGAATCGAGACCCGATCTTTGCCTGGTCCTTAACAGTTGTTGGGGCTAATGCTCCTGGAACAAAGCTGTCTTAGTGATACGGCTCTCAAAAGTCAATGTGAAAGAATTGTTATGGTAACAGTAAGATCTATCCAGTACATCAAGGTGTCTCTGAGTCCCTGCCTGTGAAGATTTTGCACACTGTTCAGTACAGATGTACCAAGCAGGGTCCCACATGAGGAAGCAGCTACTACAAATGCTTGATGATGAGGTCCTCATAATATTCCGGAGATCTATTTTTGTCCAACTGTGTAACAGACTACAATAGGCCAGTATTCTTTCTAGTGACATCAAGGTCACATTCTTGCTGTACTGAATAACACCCCTTGTTTTATTTATTATGAAAAGTGTTTTTTCCCCCTCACATATATGACTATTTGATGTGTATTTATATCCTACAGTTGAAACTCACTTGAAAAACCATGGAATGAATACTGTGAATGAGTGTGAATGTTTTTATTTGCTTTCTGGAAATGTAGCCAAGTAAATATCCACTTACTGATTCTCAAGGATGCAGCATATGATGCCAAGCGTAAATGTGGTGATAGAACTTAATATGCTACTGTTAGCCTGTGTGGCCAAAAGATGACTATTGCTTTTGTTAACACAATTATTTAGCATAATACTGGTATTACTTCTGTGTGCTTGCTCCAATTGATCACGACTCGTCTGAGCGGAGGCTGGCATTATTCTGTGAGAAAGTGTGTTTAATTCATCACAGATCACATAAATGTGTTAGAGATGTACATTTAATCCAGATACTTTGCTATGTACATTGTGAGATACATAATTGATGGAGTTGTTTGACCTGTGATTTTACTGTTTTGTCTGCAAAAACCAGTGGATTAGAAGCAGTAGTATTCAAGTTTGGTAGTATGGGTAGTTTTTCGTCAGTTCAGTAGTTTTAGAAGTTATTCTCAATTTTGTTTTTCAAGGGTCTTGTTCCCTAAACATGCTAAAAGTGATGGAGAGATTCATTTGATATTAACCATAAGGGTGAAGGTCAAGTGTAATAACTTTCTGAAATTTGCATTTTTCTTCTATCATTTTAGAGATATGCGTGTTTTATTTCATAACTGAAAAATCATGGTACACTGTATTTAGATGGGGGGAGTGGTAGGGTGGTGGCGGGACGAGTTACCCAATCTTGATTAATTATGTATAGCTACCAGGAACACTGATAACTTCTGAGCATTGGTTTCTCAGCAGTTGTGGATTTCATCAAAGTGGTAATTGTCGTTGACCTGTGTTCAGTTTAGCTTTCCTTACACTTAATGCAACAGAAATACCCGTCAAAGCCAGCTCACTCACTAAGTAAAGAAACAATGAACCACCATAATGACTTGTATACTGGTGCCGAGTTTCCTAGGTTTTTGCAGACAAGATACAAGTGTGTATGAGCTACTGAGGAAGTCGGCTGTTGCTGCAGTGGTGTGACCATCTTGAAGATGACAGCATCTTATGTACAGTGTGTGGTAGACAAGGAAGCCGAGAGAATGTGTATAAATATTGGTGGCCTATTTCTTGTTGCTGGGGCAACATCCTCTTGCTTTCAACATAATATGTATTTAACATACATGTAAATGCATTATTTATGAATAAATGATTACCTGAATACCACTACATGCATTGCTATTTTATACTTGCAATGTCCTAAGAAGGCCTACTCACAGACCACCGCGGTTCATAACTACCCGTCGTCAAGTGGTCAAGCATCCGCCCTGAAACCAGTGGTTCTATCCCCTGTATGCATCATACCAAATGGTACATGTTGTTATCCTGCCTGGTGCAAGATGGTACTTGTTGTTACCCTGTCTGGTGCTCAGAGACACACATGCACACACACTGTGACACACTCTCTGACATGTTGAGTTAATATCGGATTTCATTTTGAGTATTCAACAAATGACAAGTTTATCACAAAAATGCATGACACTAATAACATAGTTCACAACGAACACCACATATAGCATACCATATCACATTCTCTTATTCCTTTGTGTGCAGTATCTTAGATACATTGAAACAAAACCCATAAAGTCGTATATTTGTTGTGTTTAGTATGTTACAAACTTAATCATAGTTATTTCTGAGGAGTAAGAGTGATTACTGCTTAACGCCGCACAAGACGTTGATGTATTGATATTTGATTTTACACAAGTTTCATTTGAATAAGCTTGCTCACTCTCCCAATCGCGAACGTCCGAAGAACTTGTACCCGGGTGAAGGGATTTGATTAAACTGCAGACCTCAGTCAAGTTCATTCTACAAATACCAGTGTGCAAATACATAGAATTCGAATGACATGACATTTGATTTTGTTGATTGGCTCTATCTGTCCACGTCAGGAACTTCAATAAAGGGACATAACTCTATTAAGCATACCGCACACTCGGCTCGCCACAGCCTGGTTCCCTGGATGTGCTGGCGCAGCATACCCCGGGAACCAGGCTGCTGGGGTATTATGCATTCGTGACCAACTCATGTTATTCCGGGACAAGCCGAATAGCTCTTCTTGCAGGTGACGGAAAGGGGCGAGTGGTGACGAATGATCTCGGAATGGCAAGATTTGGCCACGAATGTATAACTAGATGAACTCAAGGTGTCCATACAATGCTTAATATTATATAGACTCCCTGTTACTCCGTGAGTTATTTTTATAGAAGGTTGACATGCATGAGCTTAATAAAATTCACCTGGCTGAGGCAAAGTCCATTGTCATTTTGTTATGTTTTGATTCCCAAATTGAAACAATATGTTAACCCAAAATCTGTACGTAAAAGAATTTAGTGTGAAACAAACAAACAAACAAACAAACAACAAATGGTATACAATCAATAATTGTATTACAAAATTAACTAGGTTTATAAATCAGTACAATTACTGCACAGAAATGACAATGGCAGTACACAATAGAATGGTAGTAGAATATTTAATAGTAGTATAAAATGTCAGATCAGTGGAAATGACAAAGACAAGAATAATAATCACCTCACCGCAACAGTGGTCCAGCTTCCGAGATAGGCCTAGGCTGTCCAGGATGATAAGTGATCTTCACACGAAAACTGGTCTTGATGTAATGTCAGATGAAATATGAGATGAAATGCGAGATGACGCGCCCGCTCCTCCCACATAGTCCATCTAGCCTCCAGCACTCTCCACACAGTGCCTGACCAGCCCATTGCCACCAGAACATCACAGAACACTCCACACGTTTCCACAACGCTTGACATCCATGTCATTCCAGAAGCCGACAGACAACTCGAGCATCCAAACCGGTACTTTCCTCACTACCGCCTACATCAAACAGCACCCACTCCCGACAACCAATCATTACCAAACACAATCCAACGAACCTCCACCGAATCCCAACAGAAACAATGCAACAGAGCCATTGTTCAACAATAAATCACACCACATATAACAATGTACACATACCAAGAAGCTTATATGGGTGTTCCGATAATACTTTCTATATAACCCGTGAAAATGCGGGTTAGAATTGGTCTTCAGCAACCCATGCTTGCCGTAAAAGGTGACTGTGCTTGTCGTAAGAGGCAACTAACGGGATCGGGTGGTCAGGCTCGCTGACTTGGTTGAGGCATGTCATCGTAGCCCAATTACGCGGATCGATGTTCATGATACCAGTAACTGGATTATCTTGTCCAGATTCGATTATTTACAGACCGCCGTCATATAGCTGGGATATTGCTGAGGGCTCTGACGAAGCTTTATAACTGGCAGATATAAACTTTAAAATCAGAACAAGGAACAATTCTGTTAACAATTATAATACTAAATCAAATTCGAAAAGGCGATCAGGGCTAAAAATGGCCAAAATATGAAACCAATTTATGAGGGTGTGAATGTTGTTTTACGCCTTAGTTAGTATTACTTTTTCTATAGCGCTGCGCCCTGACGTAAAAAAACGACACTGGGAGAAATAAACCAGTGGTTGACAGCATGACCAACGAACCGCTGTAGGATAGTATGACAGTAACGTTACACAGTGCCGGATCTTGCGATTTATGTCCTCCAGAATCTTCACTCCAGGGTGATATCATGTACTGTGGATAATGCAAACCGATGCAGGTGATATGGCGTCACAAACGATTTTATATGACGTCGTTCCAACAAACAGGCTGAGATGATGTCTACACATTGTCTCAGAAAATAAAAACAAATGCCAGACTGCCGTCAGGACGCACAGGCTTTAGAAGCAGGCCCCAACTAAGCTCTGCAACCCTCATTCAAAACACTGTAGCTTATTGTGACAAATAAATCAACACATAAATGTACTGCAGGTCATAAGGACTCATACAAAATTGAAACGACGAACCCAACACAAGATCTATCTGCCACAGGCCTACGGGCAGGCGCTTTTTTCGAACACTGCTAAGGGTTACATAAAGAATAACCGATTCGCGACTCGTACGAGTTCTGTCTCTATACACATACCAACGTAATTCACCACTTGACATAGATCTATACCCGCACATTCGATGTTAATATGCCTGACGGCGCTTCAATGATCACGCGAGAACATATAAATAGAAACCTACTCCTGGCATTAATGCGCTTACAATTCGTCGTATACATGGGGCTGACTGTCTATATAAAGGCGCGGACACCGATGATGTGCGTAGAGGTTGTCACCCTCTGTTTTCCATATCATGCCCCGTATCATCTCAAGACATCCTTATCTGAGGCCGCGAGGCCGAGGTTTAATACTGGTCGAGGGGTGATAAGCGGCATGCTATGGGAAACAGAGGGTCATAATACATGTATGTCACTTAATACTAACCGAACTGTCATAAACATCTTGCCATCAAGAGTTTTCCACTCCATTTCCAAAATGTCCCTCTCTGCGCCTTCCATCAGCCATTTTAACATCTGAATCAGTCTTCCTTTTCGTGTCCTCGTCTTTCGTACAGTCCACGTGTTTCAAGTCACTGATTTTTCTTCATTTTCTGTTAAAGAGTCGAGTTCCATTACTCTTGAGGACAAGGAAGCAAGTGTGCGTTCACTTACATCGTAGATCAAACGAGTCGCCGAAAACAACATGACGTCATCAAATAAATGACGACATCTTTTATTGTGACGTCATAAACGTTCCATGACGTTGCGTGCAAAACACCGAGGACTGATACGAGTTGTCAGGACTGAGGCCTGAGGCTTGATATGGCTATATCCTGATGTGGGCACTGACGTTTTGTTATTACCTGGGTGGCAAAAAATATATATGAAGACTGATACAAAGTGTACTAAGTGATACAATATATTCTCGAACGGACATCATGCGTACAATAGATATACTTTCTGATATATATTGTAGATAGTAGGTGAGTGAGTTGAGCTTTACGAAGCTTAATAGCAGTATTTCAGCAACATCACGACGGGGGACACCAGCAATATGCTTGGATATTGTACCCATGTGGGGAATCGAACCTGGGTCTTCGGCACGACGAGCGAACGCTTCAACCTCATAATAACCCTCTCTAGTCCTCGTTCCACAAAGCGATCTTAGTGCTACGATTGTCAGAAGCCTATGCCCCAGGGCCCACTTGCACAAAGTGATCTTAGTGCTACGACTATTGTAAGCCTATGTTAAAGTATGGTAGTTGCGATCATCTTAGCGCTAAGATCCCTTTGTGCAAGTGGGCCCTGAACGTGATTTACGATAATCTTAGCGCTATTATCGCTTTGTGGAACTGGGTCGGGTTTGATTTAAATACCGGACCTGTTAACGGTCAAACCTATTACACCTCTCGACGTCATTTTGGAGGAAATACGGTAATTATGAAAAATATTTAGACTATCATTTTTAAAATTAGAAATGAAATGACATCACATCATTTTCCAGTTTGGGTATTTCCGGCTAAGGCAAAGGTATTTCAACAGCTGACGTCGCCCGGGTGGTTTTGACCCTGCGTCAGCGAAAGTGGAAACCCAGGTTGAATCATCACACGGAAAATTAACGCCTATACAATGACCGCACGTACTTCATACTGTGCTTACCATAAGCAAACAGGCGCGTCTTTTGGCTGGTTAGTTTATTTGAAGTCTGACCGTGCCGCTTGGCCACATCACTATAATGACAAGCTTGTCACCACCATCACGTGACCTCAATCTGTGAGACCCTTTTACATTTGAAACCAGCGTTTTTTTAAAAATGAATTAATAATAACGAAAGATCTGGTACGCGAGCCACGTTTGTGAATGGATTATATTCCGCACCAAAAGGTATGTATCCTTGATTGAATGCCACGCCCCGTTAAAACATCCTAGAGTGTGTGCTTCAAGGAATATCAACAATAACGGTATGGGACACGGCGAACACGGCTAGTTTTGGAACGTTATCATGAGAGAGTGACCTACTCGTTGTGTCATGCCGCTTGGCTGGGTGTTCTGTGTGTGCTGTGTGTGATCGAAGTGTCAAGGAATGTTATTGAGGCGCCCACCCCCACAAGGAACGCTGGTTGAATGCATAATGTTCTGCTTGGGCACCCGGGGCTGGTCTAGCCTCCAGCTGGTTGGTGATAATATCCTTGGCGGTTGGTGAGATATGCGGAACTCTTATCGTAATAATACTGCGTGTTGCGCCAATCTACTTAACTGCCTAATTAGACTTAACTGCTAGCCGCGTGATTCCGTGGTGTTCCGAGTTGTGAGGGACTTGGTGGGATGTATTCTGAAAAGAAGGTAAGAAAAGGGTGAAGTTATGACTCTTGTATCTGCTGAATGGGAGGGTAGGGAGGAGGACATTTTCAAAAGGAGATTATTAATACTTGTTTTGAAGCAGCCACGGCAGCCACTTGTATAGTTATGTGAGGTTGTATGTATGGTGTAGTATCAGGTGATGTTTGTTTGTACGTTGTTGCCACACTCAGCAATATTCCAGCTATATGGTGGCAGTCTGTAAATAATCGACAGTCCTGTGTTGTATTAGGCGATGTAAGGCATGGGTTGTATAGTGTTGTATCAGGTGATGTGGTTGTATAGTGTTTTATCAGGTGATGTAGGGTGTGGTGGTATATTGTTGTATCAGGTGGTGTAGGGTGTGGGTTGTATAGTGTTGTATCAGGTGATGTGGTTGTATAGTATTGTATCAGGTGGTGTAGGATGTGGTGGTATAGTTTTGTATCAGGTGGTGTGGTTGTATAGTGTTGTATCAGGTGATGTGGGCTGCATAGTGTTGTATCAGGTAATATAGGGTGTAGTTGTATAGTGTTGTATTAGGTGATGTAGGTCGTAGGTTGTATACTGTTGTATCAGATGATGTAGGATGTAGTTGTATAGTGTTGTATCAGGTGGTGTGGTTGTATAGTGTTGTATGAGGTGATGTGGGCTGTATAGTGTTGTATCAGGTGATGAAGGGTGTATAGTGTTGTATCATGCGGTGTAGTGTGTGGTTGTATAGTGTTGTATCAGCTGCTGTTGTTGTATAGTGTTGTATCAGGCGGTGTAGAGTGTGGTTGTATAGTGTTGTATCAGGCGGTGTAGGGTGTGGTCGTATAGTGTTGTATGAGGTGGTGTATGGTGTGGTTGTATAGTGTTGTATGAGGTGGTTAGGGTGGGTTGTATAGTGTTGTATCTTGTGATGTGGTTGTAAAGTGTTGTATCAGGTGATGTGGTTGTATAGTGTTTTATCAGGTGATGTAGGGTGTGGTGGTATATTGTTGTATCAGGTGGTGTAGGGTGTGGGTTGTATAGTGTTGTATCAGGTGATGTGGTTGTATAGTGTTGTATCAGGTGGTGTAGGATGTGGTGGTATAGTGTTGTATCAGGTGGTGTGATTGTATAGTGTTGTATCAGGTGAAATAGGGTGCGATGGTACATTGTTGTATCAGGTGGTGTGGTTGTAGAGTGTTGTATCAGGTGGTGTAGGATGTGGTTGTATAGTGTTGTATCAGGTGATGTGGCTGTATAGTGCTGTATCAGGTGATGTAGGGTGTGGGTTGTATAGTGTTGTATCAGGTGATGTGGTTGTATAGTGTTGTATCAGGTGGTGTAGGGTGTGGTTGTATAGTGTTGTATCAGGTGGTTAGGGTGGGTTGTATAGTGTTGTATCTTGTGATGTGGTTGTAAAGTGTTGTATCAGGTGATGTAGGGTGTGGTGGTATATTGTTGTATCAGGTGGTGTAGGGTGTGGGTTGTATAGTGTTGTATCATGTGATGTGGTTGTATAGTGTTGTATCAGGTGGTGTAGGATGTGGTGGTATAGTGTTGTATCAGGTGGTGTGATTGTATAGTGTTGTATCAGGTGAAATAGGGTGTGATGGTACATTGTTGTATCAGGTGGTGTGGTTGTAGAGTGTTGTATCAGGTGGTGTAGGATGTGGTTGTATAGTGTTGTATCAGGTGATGTGGCTGTATAGTGTTGTATCAGGTGATGTAGGGTGTGGGTTGTATAGTGTTGTATCAGGTGATGTGGTTGTATAGTGTTGTATCAGGTGGTGTGATTGTATAGTGTTGTATCAGGTGATATAGGGTGTGATCGTACATTGTGGTATCAGGTGGTGTGGTTTGTATAGTGTTGTATCAGGTGATGTAGGATGTGGTTGTATAGTGTTGTATCAGGTGATGTGGCTGTATAGTGTTGTGTCAGCAGGTGTAGGGTGTGAGTTGTATCAGGTGGTGTTGGTTGTGGTTGGAAAGTGTTGTATCAGGTGGTGTAGGGTGTGGGTTGTATAGTGTTGTATCAGGTGGTGTAGGGTGTGGTTGTATAGTGTTGTATCAGGTGATGTGGCTGTATAGTGTTGTATCAGGTGGTGTAGGGTGTGGGTTGTATAGTGTTGTATCAGGTGATGTGGTTGTAAAGTGTTGTATCAGGTAATGTAGGGTGAGGTGGTATATTGTTGTATCAGGTGGTGTGGTTGTATAGTGTTGTATCAGGTGGAGTTGGGTCTGGTTGTATTGTGTTGTATCAGGTGGTGTAGGGTGTTGGTTGTAAAGTGTCTTAGGTGGTGTTGGTTGTATAGTGTTGTATCAGCTGCTGTGGTTGTATAGTGTTGTATCAGGTGGTGTAGGGTGTGGGATGTATAGTGTTGTATCAGGTGATGTAGGGTGTAGTTGTATAGTGTTGTATCGGGCGGTGTTGGTTGTGGTTGTATAGTGTTGTATGGGTTGTATAGTGTTGTATCAGGTTGTGTGTGGTGTAGGTTGTAAAGTGATGTATGAAGTGATGAAGGGTGTAGGTTGTATAGTGATGTATGAAGTGATGCAGGTTGTGGGTTGTATATTGTTGTATCAGGTGATATGAATGTAGGTTGTATTATGCTGCATGGTATATGTCGTATTATATTGAATCAGGTGATGACCCAATCATTTACATTCACTACCAGATTCATACCAATGTCTCTGGATATCGATACATTCCTTGACTACACCGCTACCAAATGTGGCGTCTAGGTTTAAAGCGTGTGCTGAAGCTGTACAAACTCTTGAAGCCGATGGATCATGACATCATGTCCGCACTGTTCCGCCTTCAGCAGATGTATGTATACAGGAGGCATACATATGATACGTGTGACAAACCTGATAGTGTCTTTGTCCCTTGGCAGTTGGAACACAGTGTATGACATAGGCATGTCGGAACCCAGAGCGAGGTCGATGGCACAGTTCTATTTTTTCAAATAAACTAGACATTTAGTCCCCACCCCCTCCTCCTACTATAATAAATAAATCACCCGCCCCTAATACCTATACCGGTTAACTTTCTCGTCGAAGGAAATTCGACCGTTGAAATATTGACACCTTCTTCAGCTTTGAGTAGGACATACTATGCATGTGACTTCTTTGTGTTATGGCGAGGAGTGTCATGGGAAGATGATCATTTTCTGGTGACAACATGTGACACGGACCCGGCTACAGGGAAGTAGATAGCGTTACCCTCCTGATCTGCTGATAGATTTAAACTTGGCTTCGCAAGCTGACTCATTGCACATTAACAAACATACATATTTCAGTTAATGTTATATATGTTAACGGCTCCAGGGCCAGGAAGGAGGATCGTGTGAACGTGACCAATACGATGCACATACTATTTGTTAAGGTTGATTAAAATCATATTTACTTTGATGATTGCTGAATGTTAAAGTTAGGTTATTTTAGAAATAATAAGTGAATACTGGTATGTTTTTATGCCGCTTTTAGCAATATTTCAGCAATATCATGGCGGGGGACACCAGAAATGGGTTTCACACATTATCCCCATGTTGGGAATTCAAGCCAGGCCTTCAGCGTGACTTTATAAACCACGAGGCTACCCCACGGCCCCTTTTAGAAATAAAACACTATATAATCATGATATACAATACTGCATACAAAGCTGTTTTGTATCCTGTCTTATTAGAGTAGACCGAGAATAGAGTAGACTGTAGGATCTTTGTAACCAAACAAAATTTAAAAAAATATATCTTGAAACAAAATCATATTTCCTTAATCAATTGAACTACGTAGATAAAAATACAGAGACCGGAAGAATAAACTGAATGTGTGTTTTTGTCACATGCAAAACTCAGCGCATCAAGTGATATAAATACAATATTATGAGTGAGTGGGTGAGTTGTGTTTTACGCCGCATTTAATACTATATCAGCCACATCACGACGTGTCAGGTTGATGTGGATGGCCAGCCCAAACAAGATTCATGTCAAGGGCCCTCTTGTGCACAAAGCGCATAATGATGATGATGATGATGATGATGATGATGATAACGACGACGACGACGGTGATGCTGCTGCTGCTGCTGATGATGATGTGCATATTTATAATGCGCTTAAAGCGCTAAATCATTACCCCGGTCAATGGATCAGTGTGCTGTCGATTTTCATTCTCAGCTCCCCGGGAAGTAATCAACCCAAGCTGCGTTACATTACGTCATTGGTGTCACAACTTTCTGCACTGAAATATAAATGACTTTCAACTCCTTTCACAATAAGTTGACAAACATGAATGACCCCTATGAACACAAATCGATCAAAAGTCTATTAAATGTTGTATGTAAATCCCACCATCCACTGTACCGATATAGGAAACGGAACCGACAGGCGGATGCGACTATCGGTTACATGTAAACAGAACTTACTATTTTCGGTAGTGACTCAGAAAGAGAAACCGAAACGCGAAACCGGCGGATGCGATCAACGGATAGGTGTCAGCAAGAACATTAACAGTTCGGGCGTTAGATATTTTATGGCATCGAACATACTGCGAGAACGTACAGTTTTATTACTCGTGACAACGGCGTGACAGCTTATCCTCATTTGTGACAGCCGGCCTAGATCGCCAACCCTTAGGTCTTATTTGCATAACGCAACCATCGAACTCGGGAACTGTTGTGCTATAAGTATTGTTTGTAAACGACATGGCACACGTCCAACTTTGAAATCATTCGATCATACAGCTTCAATATTTATGACGCAACAGACATAGCGACACGATATCATTCAAGGACCTGTGCGTTTTAATCTGATGGTGGTAAGTCTCGGTGGGTTATTTGTTTTTTAACGCTTTGCCGTTTATTTTTATGCATGTTAATCAAGACGTTAATAGTTCTGCGTTGTGATGTGACCGCTGCTTGAATGTCAAATGAGTATTGGAATTACCCGAGCGTGGTTACCAATTCCGCAGGTGCGTGGCTGCGGTTTATGTCAAATGTTATGACTGCTGTATGGTGTGGCTGGCATTGACGTGTAGCAATACATGTGTCATAAATGATCTATATTAATTCATATAGTGATATAGGATTTACACAAAAGAATGAACACGACAACAGGGTGTGTGTTATACTAATTTGTGTAAAGAAGAATTGTTGTGTTCATGTAAATTATTGTTACTTGTTGGAATCGGACACCTTGTCAGTGGCGTTGCTATGTTCGTTTTTTAGAAGTATACTTTTAGATGTATGTTTTGTGTACTGTAATGTCAGTTATACTTTCACTGTCATTTGCGTGTTTGGAAAGATTTAATTTCGTATTTCTTATAAACAATTGGGCAAAAGAAAGTATGCAGTTGAAAATTGGATTTGACCGAAGAGTTACAATCGTAACCAAAATGGTACTATACGCAGACTTGTTGTGTGATACTTATCGATATGAGGCATGTAATATCGCCTACGATACCCGTATCAAATACATCACCATCGAATAGCCATTTCTTGTTTGTTTCATTCTCGCCACCATCAAACATGGGTGTATACTTTCTTTTGCCCGTCAGTGTATTATTGAAAGATGAGATAACAAAACGTTGTCTGTTCAATTAACAGTTTTTAGACTTGAAGTATAAACCAGTTATAATATAAAGCTGTTTTAAGATCGTGAATGAATTTAATAAAATAGATGCAATGATAGTATAATAATAGTGCAGTGTACAATAGTGATAGTGCAATAACACATACAGAATCTGAAGTATTAAGCTACTTATCGACCGTGACCTAGACCTACGACTGCCATTGTGCATGGACCGAAGTCCATGCGACCTTAATCTGATTTCTCTTCCGACAACGGAGAAAATTACACATATAAGCGTTTGACACACTTCCTGTCGTATTTACAGTCATTCAGCTCTGCCGGATCATGTTATCATTCCCGCTCACATTGGAGTTGCCTCCCTTGGCTAAGGTCAGCAATGCATGTTGTGTGTGATGAGATTAAGTTGAAATATTTAGGACCAATACGTCAATCAAAATATGACCTTTATCCGCAGAAAAACTAGCTTGAATATTTGGCTATCTCAAGGCGCGCGTGCACTGCAAGGTTGTTGTCTGGTGTTAATGTTTTACTTGGATTGTCTGACCAGTACATCTTAGGAATAAGACCAGCGCCGAGTTCGATTCCCTGTTAAGGTGTGGAATGAGTAATCTTTTGCTCTGTTTCACTCTGTGGTGTTGACGATGGTTTGTTAAAAGCAGCTTAATCTTTAAACTTTACATAGCATATATTCAATATTTGTTATATATAACCAAGTAATATTTTGGATTTCGTTTCAGCCTGGTGCGCATGTGACTAATAAGTGATCTCGTGACGTCATGGGAAGCGGCGCCACAAAAACTCTCACCACCTCGCCGGACGAGCGCGGTATGGTGCATCGCGTCATCATTGAAGATAACGTCGTTTCGCGTGGCAAACGGAAGTTCACGTGCCCAGGTCGTCTGGTCGGGAGCTGGAGGGCGGGAGATGAAGTCGTAGTGAAAGTGCTGGAAAAATCCGTACCAGACGAACACTATTGGGATGAGGAGATCGAGAAGTGCGGACGGCTCAGAGAACACATCATTTCCTTTGGCAAGACCGTAAACCTACAGATAAAAATTCACGTCGAATACCCAATGACTGCCTACGTGGACAAAGTATCCAAATGGATGAAGGCGAAGATGAAACTAAAAGAAGGTGAATTTGTGCTTGTTGAGGAACCGCTTGGGAAGGACTATGCCGAACTGTTGAACTCCTGTGGTAAAGTAGAACCTAAACTGCCCCAAGCTGTTGCCGACCTTTTGGGCGAGCTGATGCACTTCACCTATCACGAGTCTTGCCGGAAGGAGATATTTTGTGGATTTCAAGGAACAGTTTCAGGGAATGTTGTGTCCCTTTCCGAACCGACTGTCCACTCAGTGGACACCAAATACAGGGAAGCGGACATGGGTTTGGAAGGCATCATAACAGCATTCGAAAGTCACAGGTGCACGGCAAGGTGTCACGGCTGGCTTAAGCCTGGCGGTGTCAATCACACCAAATTCGAGTCCATATGTACTACGGTGTAGGGCTGTTTTCTTTGCCTATTGTGTCGTTTGACAGGGAACCTGGGTACTCACAGATCATTCAGTGTGCAGCTGTAATCATGGCGTCATGTCGGAAGTGACGTCAGCCAAGGTCAAGGCCATCTGCTTTACGGCAGGTGGCTTCTCTGTGTATATATATGTCAATGGTGTTATAAGCTGTTGCGTTACTTCAGACTGTTGAATTATGGATTTTTCGAACATTTTGTGAGCAATGTTCAGCAATCGAAGTTGACATTGTTAGTATTGTCATTGTCACTTTATTGTTAAGGTGAAAGATTCACGTTATTTTACCACAAATGGCGTACAGTTTCCGCTGTGTAAGCGGTGTTATGAATAGAACCAGAGCTCCAGATAAGCTTTTGGTGTTGTGGGTATTTTACCCATGCATTTCAAAATCATTTGGTATCAGTAATTCTATCTGCGTATTCAAATTTCTGTTACCCACTAGTTTTTACACATGTGGGTATTTAAGTTAAATATTTAAAAACACTATTCATCTAGTCCCTGCAAACTGGTGTCGTGTGGGTTCGAGAGCTTTATAGGACTCAAAAATACCACGATACTTCCACAAGAAAGTGTGATGGCAAATGATCATGATCTGACTGTCATCGTGGAGTTTGGCAAGGTTGACGGAATGCCAACTTATAATTTCAATATAAGTTGCTCATTTGCTGATCGAATACGCAGGGTTACTTCACAATATTTTGATGATACGCACAAGTTTTATTTTTGTAGCGTATCTGTAATGTTCGTTGCGTATTTGATACGCTTGGATTATATTTTACTGCGTATTTCTGCATTTCTGATGCGTATTTCACGCAGATACGCAGCTTATCTGGGGCTCTGAGAACAATTCCATACATTCCAAGGTCATGTGCATGGAGTCTGGAATGACCGTTTCAGTCAGGGATGAAGGAAATATGTATTGAAAACACACAGCGTCTGGGAAACTATTAGATCTGGATTGAATTCTCCGCTTTATAAGATATTATATTGTTATACACGTAGTTCAATTGCATACATTTTCTATACTTACATTTAAACTAACGCCTTTCAGAATTCCAATGTCAGGCGAAGTTTGCAATATTGTACAGTGCAAAACAGATAACAGATTGTTAACGGATTTCTTTATTAACGAATCATGGGTGGCGTCATGTTCTTTTGTTTATGAGGGCACGGGATGCCCAGTCGTCTATGGCGTCGCAATTCGCTGTGCAGAGTTACGTCCCTTGAACACGCCAGAAACCCATGATCGTGGGTTCGAATCCGGGTTTATGTTTCTAGGTTTGTCAGCACCATACTCGCGCTCGTCGGTTTCACCGAAGTGGTAAACGTCTGAGACCTGCATCACTTCAGGCTTTCCTCACACATCACGTTGACACGTGGTATGATTGGAATACTGTTAAACCCAACTCACACATTCATTTGTATTTATCATCCCAAACTTATAAGGTTTGACCATATAATTTTACCCACCATGCAAATCGTGGTTCTATTGAGGTTATAAAACACAGTATACATTGGTGCTATGTCATACAAGCCAAAACATGACACAATTAACATCTGGTTTGTAATAAATATATATTGCAATCATATTCTATACCATCAATCGTCAAGTATGCACCAGATCAATGCACTGTGCACAATAGATGTATCAGCACGATGTTGTAACGATTAACTTTATACTTTTAGATTTATTTCATTATCCCCCGCCTTTGCCATACCATCACTACAGTAACACAGGCCTAAATGTACATGAAATATACTTACTATCGCCAATGTTAATCTTACCTCAGTATTACTATGCCTCGTTGACTTCAGTCAGCTCACGGGTTGATAAGTGCAATAAACACTGATCTCAGACTATGTTGTTATTATGTCATATATAGACTTTATTACTTAGAGGATAACCTACACTCTACGGGGGATTATGAAATATCTGTTTTAAGGGAATTAAGATCAGAGTCTTGGCGAGGGACAGTTAATCCGTAATTCCGAGTCAAGAGTAGGTTATTCTTTATGTATTACATGTATATATAAAAAGGTACATAAACGTGAGATCCATGGAGACATCAGTTGGCCTAAGTGTCCTTTTTGAGGTCATGAGCAATAGCTAACGTCAAAATCATTACGTCAATAAATTTTAAATGCTCGGTGTGAATTGCTGAAAAGCGTGTCCCTATGGATAATATTTATGAAATAAACGGCGAGAGGGAGTTGTTTATCGTACTATAAAACACACACGTTATTTTTTAGAGGGGAGTGTCAAGTGAGTCGTTCCCATTAGATGTATCTTGGCAACGCAAATAAACGCAGTGGCCGAGCGATCGCATCCAAAAGCGAGGGAGATATGACAATCGTCATTGGGAGAAAAGGTACAGGTAATGGACGTGAGGATTGTGCACGTGAGAATATGCGGGAAATATCCATCTGTGCATAAAATGGACTTGTCCGACTTTGCCGAGGTCGGATTCTACTGAGGGAGTCATCATTATTAAAATAAGGGTAAATATTATTAAAGCTTGTGTATTTCATCATGCATTATCCTTAAAGAGGTTGTACATAATGTTGATATCTCATGTAAGATATAACCGACTCGTGGTCGTTGTTTATCGTACAATAAAGCGTCCCTCATGATTTATTCTACCTGCAGTGTTTTATTTATGATAAACAACTCCATCTTGTCGTTAATTTGTTAAATAACCCGAACGCTAGCTATGGTCATAGCCTTATGATGATGTATATGTGTGTGTTCATCATCTAGATTATGTGTGAGTGAATCCCGCTTCTGGCAAAGAACATATGTTGTACCATCTTCCCGAGGCAAGGGGGGCTGGAGTATTGTCCAATCAAAATCGTGTTGCAATGAAATCGACATCCGGTTCATTAACAACATAGCGACTGCTGTGCAGATTTGGGTCGATTGCAGGATTTGCAACGCATGTGTACCGTCAACTGGGCGTCGACAGATATTATCCAAATCTTTTCATGTTTTTAATCAAGGTTCTCAAGTGATTTGATGCACTTCGCGAGGTAAGACCCGTTTTATTACAATTTAGATCGCGATCGGATCGTCTTGACAGGGCGCCGCCATTTTGTTTGAAGCAATAAAAATGATATGAGAGGTGGAATCTGATTGGTAAATAGGAGGGACACAGAAGGGAAATTACTAGTACTAGCCACTGGGGGCGCGACGATCGAGCAACGAAATTCCAGTCAAGTTCGACAAGGGTGGAAACTGGACTGTTATAGTCAGTTAACTCCGTTGCCTCGGGAAGATGATGTACTAGAGCCTACCCTGAAATTGCATCCTACTTTTTTTTTGCACTTGGTATAGAACTGGCCGTGCGGAATGCTTTGTCTTGTCTTGTCAATATGCTTTGTTCTAATGAAAGGAAACCTAACATTGGCATATATTCAAGTACAACAGCCCGAGTTCGGATGAAATGGAACACTGTACCTGAACTTGCCTTATCTATACAGTTCATTTAAATGGGGCGAGTCTTTACCGTGTCAAAAGCACTGGTGAATTCTTTGGTTAGTTATTTACTACAAAGGTCAGAGCGCAGGTTGCACGATACACTCAGGTGGGGATGTACGATGAGTTGGAGGTAGGGGTTGGGTTTTGGGGGGGGGGGGGGGGGGTCTTGGTGGTTGTCACTTGATGACAGGATGTATTTAAGTACTGTGAAATGTATCACGTCAACTGCATGTTTACACAGACACCAGTAATCTGTGACCTCACCAGCAGCATATGTACTCGCAGTGACACCATGATCACCGTTTGTTGCTAGTACAAGCAAATTATTAGAGAGACAACTTTTCGAGGCTCCTCCTGGGGACGCCGGTTAGGCATGCCATTGCTTTTCTTACGAAACGACAGATTTGGATCAGGTGATTTGGCTGATAGCGTGTCATCGGTGTCGGACGTTGTGAATATCAAACCCTGGTTTGTGACTCGATCATTTACAGGACGTCGTGATATACACTTAAATGTATTATGACTGCCGCTTAAAACAAACATCCTTCTCTAAACAAACATGGCTGCAACTCATTTAGCACTATATCATACATGGGGCGTTTTACTCAGGCAGTGTATTCATACGAGGCTCGGAAGTTATTTTAGTGAACGAAAAATAACACGTCTCAAACATCGATTGTTTTAACAATGACTTTATCTGACAGAACATTAAACAACCTTGTTTCAAACAACACAGGCAATCAAAGAAATCACGGGGTTGTTAGGTAGGGTTAATTAATTTACTTAACTGTTTAAACTAGGGTAATGTTATATGTCTCACCCATAAAAGTCACCCATCTCAATTTGTGTATTCACCCTGTAAGACCAGGTCTATTTCTCTCCAATACTAAAGTTAATGTCAGAGCCTGTATTAGCCCGAGTTGTCACCACCCCGGCATCATTTGTGGTTAGCAAATTGTTCTTGTTTGTGCCTGGTAAATGTTACTTTGTCCTTCAACTGTGACGGTTAGGTGTAGCGTTAAGTGACTCAATTCCAAACAGGCCACCGTCTGTACTGCTTGGACCGGAGTTGCCACATGTCTCAGGACCTGTCATAACCCGTTGATATTCCAGTCAACGAGAGTTAGCGAGAAGTCCGGGGTTAGTGGAGGTCCACATCCTTAATCTGGCCCCGTATACCATAAATAGGAACGATAACTATCAAAGTAACTGCCCCCTCCCCCGTGCTCGAAAGTGTTGAATGTATTGCAAATTGGTGCATCCTGATGCGCCTAATCTATAATTTATACCCCTACTACATCTTCTAAAACTTCGATAATATTTTTTTGGGTTTTTGAGACACAGATCGGCGATAGCCACCAAGTGGCGCAGAATAGGAGGCTTTAATGCTTCGGGGATCAGGGATGTTGGGTCGTAATCACCATTATCTATTGTCATTAGTAGACAGACAGACAGATATTTTATTTTCGTCTCACCGCTACACATCATATAAAACATGCATGAAATAGACGTTTTTATCATATAATGGGTAGGTTTCTCGGTAGGATAAAGCCAACGGATAAAAACGATATCCGTCGGGGTCATATGCGGATAGAGAAGCAAATATCAAAGGTCAAATAGGACTAGGCCTACTTTCACCGTTTATAAACAAACATGGCGTCGCCCTCGTCATTCGGCGATCGAGTCAGAATTAACCATCTGGAATCTGGATAAACTACAGTGATAATTGCCATCATTATCAAAAGAACAGTCTAATATACTGAAAATCAGTGTCTAACTGTGACGTAGCTAAGGCATTTTATAAATTTTGGCAACTTTGGAGATATAAATTTCGAAACAATTTTGCGAGGGCACGAGGCCTAGCCAAGCGGGATCAGTAGC